AAAACGGCGACCGTGGTCGCTGTTCGGCCGCTATGTCAAGGCCGATTGTGCTGGATATCCGACCAGCAGCGATGTTTCCAACCATGTATCCGGAGAGCGGGAAAGAGGGCTTCATCCGGACTGGACTTACCAGCAAGAGGAACAATTTGCGCGCGCCGCGGTTTCCCGTACTATGACTACCTGTGTTTGACGTCCGTTGTCCGGTCAATCCTACGCAGATACCGAGATAACGGGACAATTGATCGTTCGATCTTCCAGATCACTGTTAGCAAAGACCACCGCATTCAACTCGGCCCACATGATGTGCTCGCCGTCCCTTCGGCGCGCTCTCGAGAAGGTATGACGCGCACGTAAATGTTGGCTTGGCTCCCATTTTGAGATTCGCTTCCGCCAACGCTTCGGAAGGTTCCGTGACATTCGAATCAAACCCTGGAGCGCCATGGGTATCGCTCGATAGCATCGGGATTCAGCGGCGTGTTGGAATACGATTGTCGCCCAGAAACACAGCCATTGAGCGAACTGCAGCGTTGCTCGGACGTTAAGCACGAAACACGATCGATATGCGCCGGCTTCACATCATTGAAATCAGTGACACCTTGGATTGATGCCATATGATGAATGATACGCATGACCTGTTGCACCGCTCTTCCGTGAGTACCATTCATAATACCCACGTCCGCCGCTGTGAGGCTAAATGCCAGTGAGCCAAGGGGAGGCGGTTGATGCAGTCTCGAGACGAAGTAAGCATGGTGTGCAGCACGCTCCTCTAAAAAGCACCCTATCCAAATGCATAATGCATTGCACGTGCTTAGCTTGCATACGCACCCGTGTTGCTTGTGAAACAGGTCCTGAAAGCTGCCGTGTCTAGTTGTAAGAAAATGTTCTTTTGACGTAGGAACTCCTAAGACATCGAACACATGAAGCTCTCCGGCGGTGAGGATTCATCATAACGCTCGAAGAGTAGGGTTCTCATCGTTCAGAATCGATTCAGGAATCACTCCACCTACAGAACACGATCCTCAACAATCGCGAATCGCTCTTGCTTTATCCGTCTGCACTTGTCCACCAATAGATGTTTTTGATCGAAAGTGAATCCCTCCGTCAGACTCACACGTCCTCGGAAGCTCAGGGCGAGACGGCTCGGTAATACTCTGCATCAGCAGCACTATCGGCCAACAAGCATCCCTGCACGATAGTCTTATTGGAGGATGAATGAACCGGCGATAGAGTTCGGAGGACATGAATCGTCGAAGGCTAACTTCCTGCCTAGTGGGCTGCACCGCCTAATGGATGAGACATTGGCGGGTATGTGGATTCACACGGGCATCTCCACGAGTTCTTACGCGTAATAAAAGCGTCTAGGCTCGTTCACAGCTAATATGATATCCACACTCGAGGCAATTCCCAGCCGTTCCAAAAGTTCGCCACTTGCGCCACCGGGATCCGCTGCTGCCAAACAAGTCTGTAGAGAGCGGAAGGTATCTTATAGAATCTGTGACGAGTGTCCGACACAGCGCGCGCGCTCCCGCTTTCTGTGTCTAGTTCTTTCCTTTCCCTCGATTTTCTCTGCTCGGCTGGGAGTTTGACTTTCAATCATCGACTTGCTGATTGACTTATCTGCAGGCTATCGTGATGGTGGAAGTACCACCCGTGAGCCCTCTAAGCATAGCTGCTTAGCATGTGAAACCCCTCGAGTCTAGCCTAGGCCTCCTGGGCGGCGTGGCCGGGAGGCATGGCTATGCAAATCCGGCATCAGGAGGCGTTCGTCCAGTCAGCTGCGCTGAGCCGGCTCAGATAAAACCCCGCAAGCCTGAACTTCAAGTGCTGTGTCCCTGTCTTTGGCTATGTTTGTCTAAATGATTGTCGACGAAGAGTACACCAGGCTTGTTCTCCAGATGTTCGACGAACAAAGTCAAGACTCGGTTCTCAGAGAAGAAGGGTGTGGGTTAGCGCGCGGGTCTGCTCGTTCTTCTCTGTCATTGCGAGAGTAGCGAATGCGGAACTCGTACAGGGCGCATTGCTGTCAGAGAGCATTCAACCTCGGCCAGATTGTCGGCTGGAATAATGATTCGGGAGGTTTGCCTCGTCGGTCGCTGTTGGAAGGACAAAATATCGTGCAGTTCCTTCGCGTTGACGTGGATAGGAGGAAACTGGATGAAGAAGATCGATGTCAGCCATACAAGAGGTATGGAAAAACCCTGCAACATGCTGCAGTACTTTCAAACTCGACACGTTGTTTATCCTTCTTCGCAATTGTTCCTAGTCTGAGGGCATTGAATCTATGTCCAATGCAGCCTATGTTGAGGATAATGCATCAAGGTTACGAAGAACTCCCTTCAAGATGAACCGTTGCTTGCGAAGCCGATAAGACTCGTGGACAATTCGGAATGGTTGTCGCAGCTCGGTAGGTTTCGAGTCGAGAGCGGACAAGCTAAACCGAGAAGGAAAGGATGAAAGGATGCAGATATTGCTGGTGTTAGGTGGCAGCAGCACATTTGATTTCGACTTCGTGGCTTCTTCGTTGGACATGATCGATGCGAACCGACACTTGTTCTCAGATTTCAGGGGGAGACAGAATCGGCCTCTGCCGGAAGATGGAACCATTCTTCTTATGAGGGGCTCTGGCCCTCCTTGTTGCGGTCCAGGCAAATCCTGTGTCAACCAGAAACATACGACCTAGACCCCAAGTTCCCGGAACCAAGAGGGCCAGCAGGTTGTGACGCGTGAAACGAGGAGACAGGGCCATCAACCTCTTCAGCAACCGGAGCCGATACGCCGCCCCGGGACAAGCCAATTCAATGAGAGTTGAGACAGTGGGTGATCACAAAGGCGCTAAGGGCAGGGAACCGGAATGTGGCTCCTTGAGGAATCCACTCGTCAAATGACATTTCTTCGGAAATACTTCGACATGCAGGAAGGTGCCCGGCCTCGCATCAGAGAGGAGATACGACCTGGTTTGCTATGGACAAACAAAAATAGAGGCTTTGAGATAGAGCACCCAATGATGCGAAACGATTGCCTGTTCTTGTCCCTTTTCGCCACCCAAACATAATGCAAGCGGGAAACGTACCGCGAGTGACCTCCTTTCCGGCAGCATGCTCGATATTGAGGGAGTGCCGTTCTACTATTGCGATGGTGGTTGTGATGGACTCAAGGGGAATTCTTTCCCTTCGCAAGAAGACCCAGCACGTCTTGGACCCGGTCGCCGACTTTTCTGCGGCGGCCGAAGGTTCTCGACCAACGTTGGACAGCAGGGGGCCGCCCTGTTTTCCATGGGACTATTGCTTCGTTCCACAAAAATACCGGTTTCTCTCCCGGTACGTGCCAAGTAGCATGGCTTGCTGAGTATGTTCTAGTAGCGAGCACGGCAGTCCTGCGCTTTCCCTAGGAAAGATAAGCATCGGCACTTGTCGACAATGTACCTTTGACAGAGCGCGAGATACCACCCAAAGCATGGAATCATTACCGGTCTGATGCTTCGACGGTCTTTGAATATCTCTTCTGGGACTTCTGATTGGAGGGAGTGGGGTTGTTCGGCTTTTGTGAGGCTATGGAAAAAATGTTTGGACGGTAGGGATGCGGATAATATTTCCCTCGAGCGGTGATGGGCCCGCAAATTTTAGTGCGTCCAGGAGCCGTGTCCGAGCGACATTGTGTTTAAAACATGAAAGGAATGATCTGCGGTTTGAGCTAGGAAGTATATCATATCGGATCGGCTGGTGTATTGAGAGTAGGGAGTCACTCGCAATGTCTGGTTGCCACGGTCAGCGATCGCTGCTTGGCCATGACCGGGAATAAAGGATGGATGGAGGCGATTGCTTTATTGGCTCGTTGATTGACGATTGCCTCGGTGGAAGTGTGCATGCAGATCGGTCGTGGCTGGTGTGCTGTCGTGGCTGTCGGGGATATCTAGTAGAGTCACCATTCGCCACGGTCAGCGATCGCTCCGCTTCGCAACAAGAGGGGACAGAAAGAGAGGTTTTACCTGTTGTTCTCATTGTTTTCTTGGTGGTGCTGAGCTCGCATGGTCAAGTATCGGCGTCTAGATGAGGATGAAGCCGGGAGAAGAGGGAAAGTGCGAGGGTCGGAAGCTGTTGGCCACAATGTCAATTCCTAGGTAAGGTAGGTACAGAACAACACTAGTACCTCTCTGGGCAATCACTTGCACGTTGTCTACTTCCGTGATGGCTCCTACGGGTGTCATACTGTAATACTATTTAGAGTCTTTGCCATGATAGTTACTCCAATATCTACTATCTCTGCTCGAAACGTCAGTGTCATCTCTACTGTAGTCTTGAGATTCAATTTGGCTATACTCTACTATAACCTCGACTATAATGTCGACTATAATGTCGACTACAAGCTCTGCTCAAATTTCAGTCTTAACTCCTATGAAGAGCCTCATTGTGCTTCGTTCTAAGAGTACTGCCCATGTTTACCTCTAAGTAAGTGGTAGGGAGAAAGATATACTCCTACCACCGCAAGAAATCTACTAATAGCAGGCTGCCAAATAGCAATGGCAGCCATGTTCCCTCAACCGAGGCACGTTTTCCTGAAGTCGTTGGCCTGTCATCTTCCTCTCTGTTGACTCTTTCTCTAGGGCATTCTTGTGACATCAAATTCACTACTGCACTATTGCAATCCAACTACAGTCTTGCACAATCATGCTGCACTTCTACTACACCCCTACAGAATAAGCTCAACATCAGGAAAACATCCTCCACCTCCGGCATCAAGCCCATGGCATAGGATTGTTCAAAGAATCTCTCAAATCAAAAGCGTTGCACTGCAACTCAACATACAAAAAAGTATTCACACAGAAGGAATATCAAGAAAGACAGACACCAGATCATATCCCTTCTCGTCCTGCACCTTGACTTCATCCCAACTCAACCCAATCAAGAGCCAAGAAGATAGAATCCAACATCCCAAAACCCCATCTATCTCAACCTCCCTTGGACCACCAACCGCACCCCCCTCGTTTCCCCGGGGAAACAAAATCAACAAACCTCCACCCAAGCATCCAGCCCCAAATTCTTCAACACAGTCGAAAACCCCGCCGCCCCATTCCCCTGACACGCCCTACTCTTCTCCTCCTCCGCAACCTTCACCCTCCCCACCTCCTCAGCATTAGGATACTCAATATGAAAAACCGGCTTCCCCGCGGCCACAAACGGGGCATAAGTCTCACACTCCCCCATCTCCACACACTGCTCATTGACACACCACTGCATCTCCGTAATCACCTCGGGAATGATGCCCCCGGCGTTCTTCAATCCCACCGACATCCCGCGCGCGCGGGCTTGCTCCGCCAACCATTTGACAAACTCCACCGCGTCGGAGGCCGTCAGCCCCAATCCGTTATCGTTATCGTACCCGTCCACGTTGTCGGGGTCGACGCCGTCGCACCCCTTCTGGGCGGCGAGGTCGAGGCGGGCGGCGAGGACGCTGCGTACGTCCGGGGAGCGGATGTCGAGCCATTTCTCGTCGGGCCAGCCATCCAGCGTATTGCCGAGGGTGGAAGGGGGGAAGGCGGCTTTGTCCGGGCGGTAGGACTCGTAGCTGCCGGCGGAGAAGTAGCAGATTACTTTGCGGTGCTGGGCGTGGAGGTCGGCGATGGTGGCGGCGTCGTTGAGCCAGAGGTCGAGGTCGTAGACTTCGGTGGGGCTGGTGGTGGTGGTGCTGGGGTCGATGGGGTCGGTGAGGATGATTTGCCAGGTTGTGCCGACTTGGGGTTGCCAGATTGTGGTGTTGCTGTTGCTGCTGTTGCTGCTGTTGCTGCTGCTGCTGCTGCTGCTGCTGCTGGAAGAGGAAGAGGTCACGGGGCTGGAGCTGCTGGCTGAGGGAGCCACGGCGGTGGAGGGGGAGGAGATAGTAGTTGCGGTGAGACTGAGGGTAGGTGGGGTAGGGTTGATGCTCGCTTTCGAGGTGGTGGCATGGTTCGGGTTCCTCCACTTCGAGGCCTCGCCGACTTCCAGGAATAGACTCAAGGCCAGAAAAATGAATTGATAAAGGAACGACATGGTGAGCAGTCAATGACCTCACTGTCTTCAGGTAAGGAACGAACGTTTGCGAAAGAAGAAAGGAGTGGCACGGATATCAAACCCGGGACTTTTGTCGAAAGTAGTCGTACAAAAAAAGGAGTGTCACAGATATCAAACCTGGAAATTGTCAAAAGCCTGGGCAGCAGAAAGGAAAGGAGTGTCACAGATATCAAATCTGGGATGTCGTGTACGAGAAACCCTCCCCGAGTCGAGGCTTGAAGGGGCTCATACTTATACACTCTACAAGAAAAGAGGGGGTCCCCCATCCCATGGCGCTACCGTAGTATTCACCGATTGACATTCAACATCCAGATGCGCCGGGCCAGGGCCTACCAAGACAAGCCCCAGTTTCACAATTCACCATTGAAGTGAATGAGCCCGGCATGGTGGAAATAACGGTGTGTGCCTTTTTCTTGTCCAACAATAAAGCGATCCTTGCAAGTCTCCAGGTACCGGTACCTAACAAGTCTGATTCCGTCAAACCACGAGCAATGAGCGATAGATGTAGTGGTGGGCTGTTTCAAATCGTTGAAAGTCCCTTTGATTGGCGGTGGCGTTCGAAATCAACGAGAACCTACGCCAGCCAGGGTCTGACTTTCATTATCCGACGCCTGGTAAGGCGGGGTCATCAATTTCTTTCTCCGGGCAGGACCGAGAAGAAAGGGTCCAATAGCCCCCAGGTACCGGTACCCTGTACCCTGTTACCCTGGCTTCTAGACCGGCATGGCGCACATCACAGTCGCATGGCACCCAGGCACAGCACCAAACACGATCTGGGACCGCCCTGCTTCAGAGAGGGGTCACTTTCAGATCTCATCAGCTGATTTGTGGAAGCATACTAGGTAGTCTGATGCAGGGTCTTTTGAATTTGAGGGGCGGAGAATTCTCCGCGGTGGCTGACCGTCCCAAGGGCGCTAATCGGAGGATTGAGGGTGGGATGCAGTCTTGCATGCAATCCCGGCGGGTAACTTAGAGCGGGCCACTGTAACTGGGCCATGCTCGAGTCACCTTGTTGTCGCGGGTGAAACTGTGTGACAAGCACATCCGCATCGATTGTGGGTTTGGACATGTCAACTTGATGGATGGGTTTTGTCACCTGGTTGAAACCAATGATAGCGGCCTCTAACCGATCCTTATACCCGGAGCAAACAGACCGGGATGTGAGCGATGAGATGGATGACAAGCAGGGTCTTCGGACAGTGGGGGAGGGGGCCCCAAGATGACCAACAGGAGGTCAGAGCTAAGGTGAGATGGCTCTTGGCAAGATGGCAGCCGAAATGCGTAGGGACGCCATGGCTGAGGTGTGAGAACGAATCGCAATCAAGAATTCAACAAAGAATCACTTCTTCGAGTCGGAGGGAGATGCGAGGTTTAGACTGATCACCTCAGGACCTGCTTCTGTGTGAGATTCGACCGGAGGGGGCGATGACTTGGACTTCCATTAAGCGATGCCATCAGATCAACCATGCAATTCGTAAGAGCTTATGCGACATCACAGTGGACCTTTGTCAGGGTCAGGGTCAGGGCCAGGGCAAGGGTTTATTAGTACCACCTGCATACCACTAAGTACAGTACTCCGCAGAGCATCAAACCAGCGCGACAACAGGATACCTCACACTGGTCACTCTGTCAACCCATATCAGCAGCTAAGATCAAATGAGTCCGACAGCAAGACAACTTTGACGTCTTGGCACAGTAACTATACAGTTGCATTGTCGAAAGCTAGCTTAAGTTACCTTTTAGTAGGCCCGAAGAACTACCACTCCATACAAACATCGCCCAGCATCCGAGTCCCACTCAACCCAGCACATACATATATCATAAGACACAGCCACAAGCCCAAACACCACCCACCCCACATTGATTAAACAAAACCTCAAGCCTCTCCACCTTATTCCAGAGCATCGAACCTCAACCAACTGGAACCAAGTGGGTACCCACCCTCCACCCTCCATCCTGAAACCGATCTCAACCCGACAATCCGGATCAACAAAGAAGATCTCAAACAGGCCCATGACTCAATGGGAGCGACGACTGTTTGCCAGGGAGGACAATTCCGAAGCATACGTGGCTGTGAAATAAGGGGGTCGTCGGGGGGTGGGAAGACTTCATATTCTTTCTGAGATCCCCTTTGAAGATTGTTTTGGGCTGTTGAAAGGAGAAAAGATTTGATTGCTTTCTCTAGGGGGTGTGTTTTCGAGTACATAAGACTCTGCAGCCGGGTCTGATGTACGATACTTCTGCGATAGAACAAGGTTGTGTAGATCGTCGCTTAGGTCGCAGGTCCAACTTTGTAGCTCATCAAACACATCAAACACAAAACATCATTCAGCCATGATCTGCAACCACCTACGATCATCGTATACGTGTAGAGAATGCAGACCAATTGACACCTTGCGAGTAAGGACACCAGAACTAATTGGAAATAAGTAGCTAAATACAACAAATGCTATAGCGCACGACTCACACGACAATAAACATCAACAGCAACCCAATGCACCTCAATCAATATAGTCAGTCATAATCATTACATGTCTCCTAATAAGTACAACTTCATAGACATTACCGCTTCATACATCGCACGGTCCCTCCGATCACGGACCTCACACACTATACATTATCTCCTCCATATGCCCTCCCCCGTAAAGCTAATCCTAGGACGAGACTCGACGTCACGCCTGCAACGTCAACCGGAACGTCTTCAAATCACGTGGCGAGGGCAGAACAATGATATGGTCCTTCGGACTATCAGGGACATGGAACTCCTCGTCCTTCCAGGGCAGATTCCACGCCGGCGGGTGGATCGCCTGGGGCGCTGTGCTCGTGCCCGTGCCCGTGCCCGCGGATCGAGTGTTCGTGCGTAGCCCGGCGACGGCGGCGGCGGCGGCATGCCGAAGGGGTGACGGTGGGGGAACGCGCCGAATGTCCGCCTCGGACATGGTGCGAACCGGGCCCAACCGTGCTATCGGGCGCAGCGGGATCATTGGGCTCCCCGGGTCAGTGGAGGATTGGTGGTGGTCTGCTGCCGGTGTGGTGCGGATGGTGGTCGTTGGCGAGTTGGTTGTCTTCTCGTGAAGGCTCATGTATTCGTGCTGAGACATGCGCTGGGAGAGTCGGTGGGGAGAGACATTAGATATGCGACGTGGGGACGGGTGTTGTGGTAGGCTGTCTTTACGGGGCAGGTTGTCTAGGGACTTTGCGGCCTCTGGGTCAGATGGGTCACTTTCGGGTCTGCGAGCAGGAATCGGTTGGCGGTTGAACAGGGTCCGGAGGGTGACGCCCGGCCCGCGCTTGACTCGCAACACAACCCACGTTGCGAGAAGAACGCCTAGCATCAGGGCCGCTGTGCCCCATACCGGTAGTCAGTGCTTAAGGTTCGGAACATTTCCTTCAGTCGATCAGTGCGGCTTACCCAAGAGACCCAGGGCCAGTCCGACCCGTCCTGACAGTGAGAGAGCATGGCTTCGTTTCTGGAGGCTGCGCATAAATGGCTGGAAAAGAGTGTGTGACAGACGCGTTCGTCGCGAGATCGAGGCAAAAGGCATTCGTAAGTGTCATTAACCACCAGGGCTCAGCGTTGGTTCATGAGTCGCTCAAAAACGAGTGGATATCTTCAGGGTGAAGAAGGGAAGAAAAAGCTAACAGACCAGCTGCGCAGGGCACGAAGAACGAGAGCTGAAGAGAAGCGTCAGTGGCTTGGACGCTCGATCCAGCTTGATATATCACAGTATTTCAATCCAGCGAACGTCGGCAGGATATATCACAGTGCTTCGATCTGAATTAGCGAACGTCGACAGCTCCCAAGCAAAAGAGGGGGAAGGTTTGGCTTGAAACTGGGAAGTTGAGTTGCGTGGTATCATGTTGCAGAATTTACGTATCACTTTTAACCTTTGTGCAAGTAATCAAGATGAGACGGTCGGCCTACGAAAAAGCCTTTTCTCGGCCCCTGACGTGTTCTAGGCCAGGCATTGTGATCCAAAGATAGTCAGAAGGTGTCCTACTAGGAGATGGTGAAACGACGGATTGTGTCTGACTCGTATAATAAAGTATACTAACCCGGAGGCTCGGGCCATCGGCAATGACGGCCATACGCAGTAACCCTGCAGATCCGATGGCTGAAGAAAACACTTTGAGTGTCTAGCAGGTTCTGGCAGAGGAATCCGTCAGCATATGACATATTATACGTAATGTTATTATATATCACGTACAAAGCAGTGAGTAGTCAGTCTTCGCAGATGGTGTTGTGCAGTGGCAGCCAAGTTTCTAGCGTGTAAACATACCGTAACTACCCCAGGTTTCGGTTTCGTCAGTGGCTCTCCGACCAAACGACTCGCCGTTTTCACTAAGAACCCCAACAAGGGGGGCTTGCCCCATCGAAACGAATTCACATGGAATAGAAAGAAGGAGTTGGGACGATCCCGGTTCATGCAGTCTCAGCCGGAAGCCTGGCAGTAGACCAAGTTGAGTTGAGTTTCTTGAGTCAGACCAACAACTTTGGCGGTCGCAAAGCCACGCTCATGTCTCAGTTGAACAAGAACATGGGTTCGTTGATTAGTAGGCAGTGGTTCCATCCATAGTAATCTAGTAGCGTTTAGTACTGTACATAAGACGATTCGCGCTGCGCCATCGAGTGTCAGATAAGCAAACGCCGTGGGTGTGGGTGGAATTCGACTCCGCCTCCTTTCCGTCGTCGCTTTTCTTCTTCAATACTAATATTTCGACCTCGGCTTGCGCACCATACAATAGAGCTAGACTTGAGATCAGCAGGCATACACACAGACACCACACCACCATAAATTCCGCCCCAATAATGGGACAGTTGAATGTCCACTCACCATGCACACATCCTCCCCATCCCTACACTCCATCTCCTTCTTCATCTCAAACCCCATCTTCTCGTAGATTTGAACGTTGGGCTCATTCCGCGAGCTCTCCAGGTAGCATTTGACCCCCTCCTGGTCCGCCTTATTCGTCACAGCCTCGAAGAGCTTCCGACCAATACCTTTCCCCTGCGTGCCCGGTCGGACGGCCACGATATTACAGAAATAATACCCCTTGGGGTCATCCCAGATCTGGCTCTGGGCCTCATGCTGACGGGCCTTCCAGATCCAATAGCGATTCGTGCGCAGGCCCCCGCGGCCCCAATGGCGCAGGTTGTTCAATGCCTGGCGAGCAGTGAGCAACCACCCTTGCGACCAGGTATACCAGCTCTCGGGCTCGGAGGGTGATTGGGGCGGGAGCCAGCAGGAGACACCCACGACGCGCGAGGTGGCCATTCGGTCGCCGGTCGCATCGCCCGTGTCGTCATCCGGTGTCTCCTTGGCAACTTGAAAGATGGCGTTGTTGATGCCCCAACGACATCGAACAGCGAGAGAGTCATGATTTCGTTCTTTATTGAACTATTGTGCATTGGCGGACCTCACATGACGAGCAACGTTGGTCGGGGAGAAACCCCACGCGACCCGCGCCAGGAGGAGACCGATTAGCTTTACTTGCTCTTTTTATTGATGTATATCATTCCCAGAGATCGTCCTCTGTTGGGTAGGGAATTGAAGAACCCTTGCGCATCAAAGTCAAGGAATGAAGACTTACATTGGCAGCATCGAACACCCACTTGAAATATGGGTCCTCTGCGAAGGCCGATTGGATGATCTCGATGGCGTCGGGGATGTCGGCCTCTGTGAGGGGGACAACTTCAATAGCCATGTTGGCGTTGGGTCCTCTACAGCTGCAGCAACGTAGAGTACAGGTAAGCTTATGTTGGGGGTGGGCAGAGGCGAGGCGATGATGATTCAATGAATGAGCGAGAGAACGGATAGATTTGACTCAGCACCTGCAGCGCAGTAGAAAGTCTGCATACAACCAACTAACTACCTAACTCGGTATAACAATGGGCGCTCGTCCGATGGGATCATGTGACCTGAACTCGAAAGATTTGTGGTGCACCGTTGAGATGAGAAGTTATTCGAATCTTTGCAAGATGGGAAATAAAGAAAGACCAATTGAATATGAACCCAATGAAGAGGGAGGGAAGATAGGAAGATAGGAAGATAGATAGATAGATAGATGTATGGGGAAGGCAGAATGACGGCAGAGGCCGACCAAAAAAAAAAAAAGGCCAGAACAATTGGCGGCGGCGGAATGGAGCGCCACAGCTCGACCCAAAAAAGGCAGCTCCATGCGACTTGAGACTAATGAGTGTCAAAAGTCCCTCCTCCACCTTATCACCTGTCACGCCTGCTGCCTTGCTGCCTATATCGAAGCTAATTCATCTACGCATCTGCAAGCCCTCAACAGCATTACCAGTAGTCCTATGTAAGGGATCCCATCTTGGTCGGTGGGTCCACGTTTTTAGTCTACTATGTATGAAGCCATGGAGACATCTGCGGTGCGGTGCGACGACATTGAGACATCGCATCTTGTATTCTTTCAGATCAAAGTTCTGAGGATGGTATCTAAAAACAAATGTAATCATGCAGATAAAAGTGTTTATATAGTCATGAGATTGAGAAATGAGAAAAAAGGAATGATCGCTCGAGGTAATGCAATCCGGTAGTACAGGCGCCGACCATATATCCAGTGCATCTGCGCCCCTTCCCAGAAACTCAAAAGGTAAGCTTGACACATATTCACCATGGAAGTCACCTTTACATGCCTCGATATGTGCAGAGGGTATCTTTCAGTGACTCGTCAACTCCAATCCTTTCCTGTAAGCTCGATAAAATAGACGAAAAAAAAAGCATAAACGTCGTGAGGTCTATTCCAAGGTCATCGGGACATCAAGACCCAGCCTGCCATGGGCTGGGAGGTGACACTCTATTCCAAGCGCACCCACTCGCGTGGAACGTCCATGCTGCGGTTCACACGGCCTCCCGGAGTCAGAGGTACATCGACACGTCCAAGACCCCGATCGTCATCGGCGTGCTCCTCATAGAATGACAACCGCGAGAAGTAATCCTGCAACACGGCCTCTCGATCATTGTCTCCGACAATGGTGTTGTACTCCGGGGGAGGAGTGACGAGAGGCGGCGGTGGCTCGAGCTCTTCGAAGGCAGGAGGTGCAAATGACGGCGCGCGAAGGAGATGCATCGGACGCGGTGGGCGGTCGACCGGTTCATCAGCCAGATGCGCCTGTGGTGGCCGGGTTAAGCCACCGGAGCTGTTGGTGAAGCTTCTCGTGACGGCGCCTCCGTTGGGTCGCTCATCTCGGTCGGAGGAGGAAAGCGATTGTCGGCTGGAACCCGCCCGGTTGATCAATGGTGCGCCAGGACAACCGCACTCGTACTCCTGTGCCTGTGGGGTTGGCTCCGACTCCGGTGAGGTGTACGCCGGGAGGTAGATGTTAGCCTGCGTGGCCTTGCAGGATAGCAGGTGGAACGGAGAATCGATAGAGATCTCGAAGTGTCTTCGCTTGCCGGGATCTCTCTCATCGACCTTGGAGAGGCGTAAGACAATCTGAATTTCAAATTAGCTTGCGAATATTGCCAATCAACATGGAAATGTCTCACCTTGATCCAGTGGTTTATTTGGATGTTCTCGTATGTGGTGTCGAAGTGTAGCCGTTGAGACTCGTCCCGGTTGCGCATTTCTTGACAACTCGGCAACTGGACATTGAATTCCATCTCGGTCGGACCGACTCCTGAGTCGCTAGACAGATTGCCAAGAAGATTGGTTCGGTTTCGATCCACCACCTCCTGACCCCGAGCAGCGGCTGCGCGCTGGTCCCAGTCAATGCCACCACCTGCCGTGACTCGCATTGAGCTGCCCGGATAGGTACTGGTACTGGCAGAGTCGGCTCGTTTCTCAAACAGTAGAACTTTCTTCGCCGGTTGAAAACGATGCACACTTTTGTCTGCAGTCCAGTGTTGAATATTCTCCGTCACATAGACCTTTATCCGATGGCACTCGACCTTGGCCAGGGGAGTGAGCTTGAAAGCAATAGGGACTTGCGATCCCAGAGGAAATGATTTCCCTGAGATCACAATGTCATAGTGCAGTTGATCTTCCCAGTTGCGCGAGATTGCGATCGGCTCGACCTGCTCCAGCGAGCCCTCCGCCGGCGTGCGGATGACCGGAACCTCTAGGCTGCCCAGCAGATTGGGCCGGAACGCACCGGCTCTTTCGACTATCGCCTCAAGGTCATACTGAACGAATCCCAGGTCGGTCTTGATTGTCTCTGGAAGAGAACCATCGATCGGGAATTCGAAACTGTAGAGGTAATCGCCCACGGGGAACAGGCGGTAATTGCGTGGCGGATGGACCGGCGGAGGTGGCGGATCATTCTTACCAAAACTCCGAGAGTGGTTGGAATTTAGGGATAGTCGCTTGAGGTCCTTGGCAGAGAACTGGCCGGCGTGGCTTAACGAGGTTGAGGATCCGGTCTTGGAAAGCAGCTCCCGGGTGATCAGGGTCGGACCCTCCTTGCCCGTCACAGAGGTTACCGGCTTGGCGTGCTGATAGAAGTGCGCACCGTAATCATTCTGCATCAGTGCCGTGTCGCCATGGTTGAAGTACATTACTCCGTGTGTGACGAGATCCTTTTTATCGTGAAAGTGAACCTTCTTGGGCGGGATACCTGTCAACAAAACAATTTGTCAGTCGATCCGCGTAAGAATGATAGACGTAGGAGGGAGAAGAGTTACCGTCTGGCCAATCAGTCTGCGCATGCCCACGGAAACAGATCGAGATCTTCTTCACCTTCACGCTTTTGGTGATTTTAAGATGCAACTGCCCGCGAAGAATGGCCGACTTCTTAGTACTGGGGTCATTCTGATCATATCCTTGCAGATATAGCACTGGCTCAGTGAGTGCGATTCCCACGGAGATCCCACTTCCTGTCGCGACTATCTTCTCGTTGCGCAGAGGAGGGAACGGCACGGCCGGATCGGAAGATGGGATGGAATGAGCGGAAGCCGGATAAGGTTGGTTGGAAGAGACGGTGGAGGAAGAATGCGAGCGTAATCGGCCAACTCTTAGTCCCGACGTGGTGAGCATTGTGGCATCGTTGGGATTCAAGACGAGCTCAGACACGGGGCGATGGGAGTGTGTTTGAGTCATTGGAGGAGGAGGGGAAGGAGGAGACGGTAGAGGAGGGGAGGAAGCGGATGGTGGCGTAATGGAGGGCGTAGAGTGGATCAGGGACCCCAAGCGGAACAGACGCTTTGCGTTTTCCCGCGGACCCGCCAACTTCTTGAGGATCGAGGCGCGACGACGGAAGCCTCGTCTGGCCGGTGGTTGCCCGACAGTGGAACTAGTATCGCTAGCAAGTGTCGATGTCTCGAGTGAAGGCCGCCGATCGGATCTCACGTGAAACGGAGTTGACTCGGACACTCCGTCGGGGAATTGAGTATTTGTACCACCGGGACTAGTAACCGACCCCAGAAGAACCTGTGGGAGAGGAGAAACGTGAGCCGTCATTGTTGTGCACAAGAACAATGCCAATCAACAGGCTGCATTCTTTGTGGTTGTGTAAGGAGCAAGCAGGTCTGAGGTGAAAAGGTGATGAGGTGATGGGCAGGGCCAAGATCTTTCTCAGTATGTGTAGTGTAGAGGAGGCGGAGGAACTGTGTCTCTTCCAAACGGGTAGTGGCGGAAGACGGAAGTATGGAGAGAGGGATGGAAGGAGAGGAGGAACAAGAGGAAGGTCAGGATGCACAGTGAAGTAAGAATTGGAAGAGATTGAAGAAGAATGTAGCAGGAGGCAAAAGGGCGAAAAAGAAAGAAGTAAGCACGTTTTGACTCTGTGAAGAAAAAAGAAAAGGGACTTACTCTTTAAAAAGAGAGGGATAAAAAAGGTAATATACTAGTCAAATCCCAGCAACAGCAGTGAAGATTATAGGATAGGGAAAATTAGATTTAGTCGCAGAGCCAGTGTTTGACGCACAGAGCCAATGCACGTAGTCGTGCGACCAGTGGATATTGGGGTCTTTTTTTGGCTTTTTTTCTGCCTCGCACTCGTCGAAAAAATAATAATCAATTCGTTTGGGGCGTTGTCTCCTTCGGGGGGGTGGTTGTTTGGGATCTTTTCTAGGTTCGGGCGATGATCGACACGCCGGCAAGGAGCGATGTGTCTCTTTGCAAATCGTGGTTGGTACACGCACACCGCAGCCGCAATCAATAGTAGAGAATGAATCGGAGATTCGATAGCACGAATACGAAATCCTGGGGAGGTGGAACGTGGAGAGGTTGCGCGAAAAAAAGGAGGTCCCCAAGAAGAAGAAAAGGTCAACAGCTTTCAGCAAGTGAAGACAGTCAAGACTCAGGACAGGGCCAGAAGCGCCGAGAATGATAATAATGCGGGGGTGCGACGGGGGATCGAGAGGGCAGTGATCAGAAATAGTGCAATAGTGGAATACTATAATATCGCCTCGTCGTCGTTGTCGTTCAGTCAGCAAAAGGATCAATGACAAAATACGACAAGTCCAGAATGAGGCGGTGCGGGTAGCGTTCCTTGGGCACAAGATCCTTATTAAATAAATTTGACCAAGTAGACAGAGACAGACGTGACAGACGGTACGTTCAGAAGAACGATGACGCGGAGGAGGAAAAAGCTGGTAGGCTCAAGTCCTATCCGGTGATCCGCATTACTAGACCTGAGACTTGCCTGAACTGGTTGGGAGGCTTTTTTTCTCTCTCCCTCTCTACGTCTTGTTTAGTAGGTCTCCAACGGATACATCAGATTGAACCATGAATTCACTATTCTTCATGCACTTCCGACATCTCCACGGCCAGAGAATCGGTACTATGTATCAATCAGCTGATGCGGGAGGCTGTAGTACTGTGGTGCACTGTACCTCCTCGTTCCCTCGGATCGACCTCGTATCTTACACTCTACCTTCTGGACAACAAATACGCTCCGTCGGGTTACGTGGTAAGATGGCTGACTGACTGATGGGAAGCTTCATGTGAATGGGAAGAGAGGGGAAAGCCGAGTTTCGGGGGTTTCATCACGCATGAGACTACTACAACATACTAGTGGGTGAGGGTCTCGAACCACATGCATGAAGAGGCAGTGACGTCTGACGTCCATCTGGTTCAGTGTCTAGAGGACACTGACACTACTGTGTAATAGCTCGTCTAGTTACTCATAACTTGACTAAGGAATTGATTGACTGACTGACTAACTAGACTACTGGAGTCAATCTGATGCCCAGCTTACCTGGAAGCCTAGTCTAGCCCAGCAGTAGACTCGTAGACTCGACGGGTAGTCCGGCACAGCCCTTCACCCGGCCAGCACGGTCATCATAAGATGACCACTTATTGCTCGCTCTTTGACTTCATCATCAGAAAGAAAGCCAATCCCTGTTGTGCTGCTCCATTGTGGACAGGTAGGTCCACCGGTCCATATCATATACTTTTGTGATTTGATGAGCGGCTGAGGATCTTTGAAAAAGATGCTGCCTGAAAGGGCTTGAGAGCGAAGAGGAAAGAGAAAAGCAGAAGACAATGTGTCTGATTGTCAATGCGGGGATCCCTGGCTGGCAGGAGCAGGGCGGTGTGGTGATATCATCGGGTCGGGCGGAAGTGGGGAGAAGATCCCTCCCTCACTACTACGGAGAGGACGTGCACTTCTTGCCTTTCCACCTGCCCTGGCCTCCCCCTCCCCCCCTCACCAGGCTCTATCCCCTCATCATCATCCTCCACTGCAATGCAATGGGCGTTCGTACGAGTGGAATGGGACACATGGGTGGAAAGATTCCATTCCGTCGGGTTGTTTTTGGCCGTTACCGAAGATCGCTTCCGATTGAGGAGACGATGAAGAAGTCTATTCGAAGATCCATGGTCTGATCCCCGGCAATGCTTCCGCTCTCCGACTTTCGCGATAGCTGAACAACAGTGCCGTCGCCACCACCATTTCCCCTTCATCCTTCTGTCAAAGCCGAACCCTACCGATCCGTGATTACCGGTAAATTGTGTATACTCAGCACTACATCCCTGCATCTCTGATCGGATGGTCGGCTCTCGAGACGGCAAGAAATTTATCCCCACAAGTTCACACAAAGTCATTCACGGTAAAGATGACGGCACGAAGTCTGCCGTCTGTGGCTTGACATGCACGTATAACCTTACATTTAGCTGTCGCCATCGACCCGGCAGCCCCCCATTCCACTAACTTCCATAGAAAAACATCAACATGACAAGGTGGAATTCTTATCAACCGTCGCGTGGTTCAAGATGTGCTGTCCATGGCAAGCACAATTCCTATAGGCCGATAGGTCATGACATCATCGCCGCCATCACCATCATCATCACCCTGTAACCCTGAGGTGACTGATATTGCCTCAATTGTCCCTGTGGGTTGCGTGGATAGCCAGGTACAGCACTTGATACATTTCTTGCGAAGACTACAGCTAGCAAAGTGTTTCGATATCTCTTGTCAGAGTTTCTGCTTTGGGAAACGCCCGAACCCTTGAAGTGATTGCCGACCGGAGAACCAGTTCGTGGCATTCCCCCGCAGTCTATTTAGGAACCAAGCATTGGTTAGCTGCATACCAAGACCATTGAAAACGCAGTAGAGCCAATCCACCTTGGGCGTGGAGCATCGGGATGTCAATTTGGAACGGAGATTAGCTTTTGCGCCCACTTCTGACGTACCTTGCGTCATCGCGGAGTCAGTAGTGAAGACCGTCAGGTAGGTACCGGGCCCCCTTACAGGGTGGATCACTCTGCCTTGCCGATTGGCTGTTCGGTAGGAGACAGCAATGGACCTGACATTTCGGAGGGGTTTCAGCCGGGGTAATGAGTAAGAGTTTGCGACTGGAAAACCGACTCCGTTCGGCTTAGCTTATTACCCGAATTCGTAGGGGACGCTGCTATATAGAACTGCCTGTATTTCGTGATTCCAACGCACAGTGTCGTCACCCATAAATCGCAGACCGAGCCGTACGGCCACTGCCCAGGAGGTGATCATGTAAACCAGCTATCGTCAAGTTCGTTGATATCCACCAATCCGTCGCCTTCCAGTAAATTCGGGTCCCCGGTCCCGTCCCCTCCGAAGGTATCATTCTCCATGAATAAATCATCGAAGCTGGACTCTCCCGGTGCCATAACATCTTCGAGGTTTCCCCCTCCTTGGCCGTCCAACTGTTGTCCCGTCAGACTGCCAACTTGGGTAGAGAACGCCTCAGCTTTCTGCAATTCCAAGTCAAACGCATCTCCGCCCGTAGGCACAGCAGTATTCATGCTATCAGCGCCCACTAGGCCAGCAGCGGTGGTGCCAGACGTATCGTTGCCTTCATTGCCCGAACCGGCAGGAACCAGGTGGGAGCCAGCGAGAAAATCATCATTACCAACTGCGTCATCGCCAAAGTCAAGATTCAGGTCGAAATCGTTGGGCCCGGGATTATTGTTGAGCATTGAGTCGAAGTTGAGTTCGTCCGGGCCGGTGAAAGGTTGTCCGGAGACGGCAGGAGTAGCTCCATTGTCGGTTTGGTCTTCCTTGACAGGTTCAGCTGAGCCTTGTTTTACGACATCCGGCTCATCCTGCGGCTTCAACACAGGTTCGACTTCTGTGGGCTCGGCCTTTATTGTGTCTGCATTCGCGGCTACGACTGGGATTTCCTGAGGCTGGGGGGCTGTTTCTGGCTCTGGCTTCACAACCGCATCCTCCATCGCGGAGTCCTGGGCAGTATGAAGTGCAGCTTTTCGCGCTTTGATTGCCTCATAGTCTCGCTCCAAGAACGCCTTGGCGATAAACTGCTCAAAGTCAGCCCCAACTCAGGCATCGAACAAGGTGACAATGGTTCTTACAATCTGCTCCGAGAGGCTGTCCAGAGCGGTCTGAAACTGCTCGTGAGCGACGGGGATTGAGCGTTTGAGCTGTGCCCTGTACTGCATCTTCTCGTGCGAGTTGAAGAACCGGGCCGTGTCAATGAGCTATGGGCTGTCAGAGGTCACTTGAACGAGAAACAAACGGGCTCGGATGTACTACCGTCTGGTTCACCGTGGATGTTAACACATCCAGGGATTTGGGGTTCGAAAAATCTGCCGCGGCCATGTTTGCGCTGCTGTTGCGACCTGATCGTACTAGCAAGAAAGCTGCTGGCAATAGACCGCGCTGATTTGCTGATGAGTCGGGGTCAGTTGGAGCTGATCGCACGCCGCAGCGATTGATGCAAGCAGTTGGAGGGAGTGTGATGGGTTATGATAGAACACGATCTGAAACCACTACGATATGTGATTCAGCCGGGGACTTTTAGCGATGTCGTGAGGGATTATACTCCCTGTACGGCGGGCCCGAGAGCCAATTGAATGAGGTGGACCGAGGTTCGCGTGGAAGTGACAGGGGAGGGGGAGGGAGGAGTCAAGGGAGGAGACTAAGAATAGAAACCAAGAAAATCCAGAGGGGTGACTGCAGGTGACTGATAGTTTGGTATCTTCAAATGGGTAAGATAGAAGGGAACTGAGGAAAGTGATAGCGCTTTTGCAATGAGGAGTAGGCGCGAGTCCTGGGGGGGGGCGGTAAGAAGAGTGGAGGAAGAAGCTAAGAATGATGATGGGCAAGTTAAGCGCCTAAGAGGTGTAGCTTTGAAGTTTAGCCGGCTTGCGGTAAGTCAAGGACAAAAAAAGGCGAGAGCCCCGTCACAAGGGGACTAACGCGGTGAGGCTTAGCGCGCCCCTCACCCCAGTCCCAGTTCGGAGCGGCTCTACTTTACTTACCTTACAGCCAGACTCAAGCCAGTTGACTTACCTTAAGGTACTTCGTAACTGACTGACTGACTGACTGTACGTCCTCTACCGTGGTCGACTCCCAGGACAGACCACCACTGGTCCACTGAGCTGCTAATTGAACCCCATCCCATCCACCATTCATCCAAACACTCTCCTCGTTTTGTTCTCCATCCAAACTTCCGTCAGCTCAGATCCATCGCAGCTTTCCCTCTGCTTTTCCCCTGTCTGTCTTATTCGCCTTCTGTCTCTCTTCTTCCTCTCTTCCTCTTTTTTCCTTCTTCCTTATCATCCACTTTCCTCTCTGTCCACCTGTCATTGCTGTCTCTCTTCCCTTTTGTCTCAGTGTTTCTTTTCTTTTCCTTTTTTTCCTATTTTATTTCTGCCTTCTTCCAGCTGTCAGCTTTTCCCTCCTCCTTTCCATTCCTCATTCCCCGTCAGCTGTCATTCGGGAGCTTAAAGCTGTTTCCACCACCACTTTTTGACGGATTCACTGACTGGTCGGGGTCGTGGTTGAGAAAACCATCTCCGGTCTCACTTATTTGCTTTTCAGCACCGTCTAGTCTATCACGACACCTCTCATCTTCATTTCACTAGCACTGCAATCGTCCGATTCAACATCAGTTGCTCGTACTTTGTGCTTGTCTTTGGATGATCTAGTTTAGCGCCTTGTCCGTCCTCGTTTACCACCACTCTGTCCTGGACCTTTTCGATTTAACACTCACCAACAACCACCCTCAAACCCCCCCGCGTCTGCTGCCGCCTTCGCCTACTTTAATTCTGACTGCGTAACGCCCTGCATCGTCCCGTCACCGAGAAATTGCATATCCATTCTCCGTGATTCCGTCAAACGCTTTTCCATCGACTCTTCCGCCTTGCAGCTCTGCATTTGTTTGTTCCGTGATCCTTTATCGTCCCATCTCGTGACTCTGCCCCTCCCTCCACCCCGTCAACAATGGCCGACAACGTCTCCGCTGCGACCGCTACCACCCTCCCCCCTCCTCCCCAATCTTCTACGGTTGCCTCCAACCAGCAGTACGATGCATCTCAGGGCAACGGCCAAGCCAATCCTTCCCACATGCCACCACCTCCCCGCCCGCCCGTGGTGATCCCACAAAACACCAATCCAATCCCGACCGCCATCACATCGCCCATGTCTGGCAATATGATGTCTCCGACCAGCGCTGGTGGCTTCGTGCGTCGGGCGGCCCCTGAGCCAAACAAGAGGGCCCTTTATGTCGGTGGCCTCGATCCCCGAGTGACTGAGGATATCCTGAAACAAATTTTTGAGACTACCGGTCATGTTGTTAGCGTCAAGATCATCCCCGACAAGAACGTAGGTGTTTTTTCCCTCACACCTTCACTGGCCTCTGGCATTCTTAATGCCCCAATATTTTATTGAAGCACGCTCATCCTCCCTACTGACAGTCACAGAAGTTCAACAGCAAAGGTTACAACTACGGCTTTGTCGAGTTTGATGACCCCGGTGCTGCTGAGAGAGCGATGCAGACGCTCAATGGGCGCCGTATCCATCAGTCGGTATGTACATTTGGGCTTATTTGGTGTTTGTTCGGCAGGTACTGATTTATGTCCTTGTCTCTCTTTTACAGGAAATTCGTGTCAACTGGGCCTACCAATCCAACAATACGAACAAGGAGGACACCTCGGGCCATTTCCACATCTTCGTTGGTGATCTGAGTAATGAAGTAAACGACGAGGTGTTGATGCAAGCCTTCTCTGCCTTCGGTTCCGTGTCTGAGGCTCGGGTCATGTGGGATATGAAAACTGGTCGCTCCCGAGGATATGGTTTCGTTGCATTCCGTGACCGCTCCGATGCCGACAAGGCTTTGAACTCCATGGATGGGGAATGGTTAGGCTCGCGTGCAATCCGTTGTAACTGGGCCAACCAGAAGGGTCAACCTTCGATCTCTCAGCAACAGGCCATGGCCGCAATGGGCATGGCACCCGCTACGCAGTATGGCCATCACAACTTCCCTACCCACGGCATCCAGAGCTACGACATGGTCGTCTCACAAACCCCGCAGTGGCAGACCACGTGCTACGTGGGCAACTTGACCCCTTACACCACGCAGAACGACCTGGTGCCACTCTTTCAGAACTTTGGCTACGTGCTCGAGACTCGTCTGCAGGCGGACCGTGGATTTGCCTTCATCAAGATGGACTCGCATGAGAATGCGGCCATGGCCATCTGTCAGCTCAATGGTTACAACGTCAATGGACGCCCTCTGAAGTGCAGCGTATGTCCTCCTCGCTCCCCGTGTCTCAGTCCCGATGCTAATTGACCACGTAGTGGGGCAAGGATCGTCCTCCTACTGGCCAGTTCGACAACTTCTCTGGCCAGCAGGCCAGCTCACCTTTCAACTCTAGTCCCACTCCGTACTTTCCTCAGTACGGCGGTCCTGGGGGACCCATGACCCCTCAAGGTAGCTCGTTTGCGCCCTAGTGTGGGGTTTCCCGCTAACTCTCTGGCTCCAGGCCCCAACCCAGCCGGTAGAGGATGGGACCAATCCGGAATGGGTGGTCAAGGCTACGGCCAAGTTCCTGGCAACGCAGGATACGGCCGCGGCCAAGGCGCCCCAGCCTCTGGGTGGAACCAGCCAAACAATGCCAATTTCGGCAATGGCTTCGGTGGCTATCAAGCGTAGCCTGTTCTCGATATATGCTGCCGCAAGCACTGGTAGTCGGCGGTCTGTACCGGCAAAAGCGTTAAGCATCAGCCCCTGCCTTTCCTTCTTCCTTTCTCCCTAATACTTTTACATTTCAACTGTTTCTGTCTTTCCATCATTTTCAACACTGCTTTTCTTTTTCTCTCTTCTCTTCTTTCTTTTCTTCATGGCTGCCCCCTACAAGGTGGGTTTTTAAAGCGCATCTCCCATTCTCCATTCTTCTTTTTGAAATGAAATTTGTGTGTTATCGTACACCCAATACCCCAAATCCGCTTTGTTGACTCAAGTTTCCATATGCTGTCTTCTTTGAACGAATGCGCGCAACTTTGATCAAAGGCTAAGCTTCTTGGGCTTCTCACTTAAGCGTTCTGCGGACTAAACTAAAAGTACTGACCATTCTCATTCTATTCCTGACATTTCCTCTTTGGTCGATTATTGAATAAATAGCTCGCTGGTGTCGTACGATTAGTATGTATAAGCACAGCCTGTTGAAGATCGATGTCCTTTGCTTTCGGGCTGCGTGAATCATGGCTTTCTGTTTTCTTCTTTTATTTGTCCACGGGAAGCTAGGGCTTTCCCTGCGATTTTGAGACTCGCTGTTTGAGCATCGTTGTTGATCCAATCGACACCGAGTTTCTTCTTTTCTGTTTGCCGGTTTTTACTCGTCTGGCCGGGTTGGTTGGCACAGTCTTCCCAGTTTGTGATACCATTGTCTGTTCAGGTGACTTTCTTCTAGTCCAAATTCCAACTTCGGGCTCTTGGTGTCCTGAGACCGTGCCCACATGATTTTCCAGTTTCATGCTGATGTTGCTGGGATTTGTTTCTTATTCCTGATCTTGCTGGAGTAATGGTTGGGTTTGCCCGTGATTTATGTCACTGTAGGTGTCTGCATCGTATGGTGATTTTAGAGTTCATTCCGAGCGTCTTGTGGACAGGCAAGCCTCTGCCTGTATTTATCTGGGCTTCGTATTTACCATGAGTTGCTGAAGCATTAGTTATAGTAGGTAACCTAGTAGTCTGCAAACTGTAAGATGTTGATGCTAAAATAGAACCAACCAGGCGGGCTGCGGGGAGGAAGGAGACCGACTGGGGCGGCAGCTGCTAACCTTGAAGGTACCGTACCGTACCGTACCGATCCTCATCCGCCCACCGCCTGGACCCTTTTCTTCTTGGCCGATCGATCGATGCCTTGCGGCCCCCTCTTCCCCCCCTTCCTCTTCCTCTGTCTCTTCCTCCTCCCTTTCCTACCCTACCAACGCTTGCACCACAGCTGATGAACAACCTCGCCGACACTCCTACCGGGACACTGGATGTGGGCATGCTAAAGATCGGTTAGTCGCGCCCAGCCTGCGCCAATGGAAGATGCAGGCAATAGCAGCGGTGCGGCACTCTCGCTGGACGACAATGACCGGCGTGCCGGGCGCATGCGCTCGGGAAGCGCAAGCAGCGGCCATAAGCGCAGCACGTCAGGCTCCTTACTGTCCCGATTATCCTTCCTGCGAATGATCCAGGCGACCCAGAACACGGCCGAGCGAAGCCATTCGGGCCTCGAGCGCGATGACGGCGACGAACTCACCTCCGGCTTACGGGGCGGACGGGCCATGTCCAATGCGATCCAGCAACATCGGAGGACGCGTCGGAGACGCGGCTCGCTACGCAAGACGGCCCTCTTGGGCACCCGGCTCGACTATCGAGACAAGAAGACCGCAAGGGTGCCGGCGGATGTACTGCGAGGGGACAGCAGTGGGAGCGGCGAACCCCGACCGGGACCGACCCCCTTACCCTCCTCCCCTTCCTCATCCTCTTCCACCAACCCACGAATGCGATATCTAGCCGACCCCGTGTCGCGCGCAGACGGTGAAAATATACCGCTCAGGAACCTCGGCTCCCAACCCGGGGATGAGACGGATACCACATGGACGCTCATGGATGCACCACAACGCGCCCGGGCGGCCGCGCCGGCGGCGACGACGACAACGACGCCTCGCCAGTCCAGCCCGGCGAAAAACAGTCTCCTTGGAGTCGGCGATGAGATGATGACGACGGACGACGAAGAGATCATCTCCTTCCCGCGGGCCAGCAGTACCAGTACCGCATTGCATTCGTCCTCCACCACCGGCGGCGCGACGGGCCTGCGCCTGCCCTCCGCCTCGTCGGCCTCCGATTCCTACTACACTCTGCAGACGGATCCGACGTACCGAGCTCTGCACCGGGCCAAGTCGCCACTGGCCACGCACGCGGTGGATATGGCTGCCAGCTCGCAGATGGTGTGGGACTACTCGGAGACGGAGTGGTGGGGGTGGATCATCCTGATTGTGACGTGGCTGGTGTTCGTTGTGGGGATGGGGAGCTGCTTCGGGGTCTGGAGCTGGGCGTGGGATGTCGGAGAGACGCCGTACGCGCCCCCGGAGCTGGAGGATGATCCCACCCTGCCGATCGTCGGGTATTATCCGGCGTTGATCATCCTGACCGCGGTCATGTCGTGGGTGTGGGTGGTGGTCGCATGGGTGGGGATGAAGTACTTCAAGCATGCGAACATCTCTGGGGAGGACATCTGACGTTGTCCCTTGTGGTCTGGTTTCTTTATGATTCTTCGGTTCACACTTCGGTTCACACGTGAGCCGCTTATTGTTCGCTCTGTACTGTACATAGTTTAATTGCGCTTCCGTGTCGATGGTCCCGTCCCAGCATAGCAACTTTATTATATCATAACAGTTTTAGACTAAACTGTAGCCTCATTAATAGACAGTGTCATCATTGCAGATATATAAGATGAGTCTACAATTTATGTAATCTGATTGACTAGGATCCCCGAAAAGAAAAATCAAGCCCCAAACAAATACCAGTTCACCAACACCGATAACCCAGAATGACTCCCGCCCTCTCACACGTCCTAATTCCCGGCTCAACCTCCTCGGTAAAAGTCGAAAGTCAACCCGCAAAACCCAAACCCTGCCGTTTCAATGCGACACGGCGCACTGATTCGCAGGCGTCATATCGAAGGCCGGCGCCTTGGCGTCGTTCTGTGGTTGCACAGTGGTCCCCGGCGCGGTGCTCACCAGGCCCTTGGAGACGGCAAAGCAAGAGGAGCGATCCTGGTTGGAGTCCTCAACGTAGAACTCGTCCATGATGGGGTGCAGCATGACGGTCTGCTTGTGGATGGTGACGATGGAGTTGGCGGGCACGGAGACCCAGTTGTCTAGACGGGACATCAAAAATCAGCATTCATCGACCAATCCCATTCAACCTTACTCTCCATCCTTCGGGTGGGAAAAAAAACATACGCCTCTCAAAAGTAATCGGCTCACTGGCGACGAGCACAATATCCGCGCCCTTATCATGGCGCTCCATCTTAAAATGGCCCTGCCCCTTGCCCTCGGTCCACTTGGTCCCGGACGAGAAATACAGACTGGCCGGCTCATCCGTCTTACTGCTGATATACCGCGTACAGATGACGGTGTGGCCATCGGTGACGGCGAAGTTCAACAAACTGCGCGTCTCCACCTCCCCGACGGCGCCGCTGCCATGCCGCCGGGGGATATCCTTGATGAAGGTGTTGATCTGCGCGATCGTCTTGACCATCACGCGCCGCAGCAGCGCGGGGCCGAACCCCTCCGGACCGGGGTCGGCGCTGGGGTCGACGCCCTCCTTGGCCAGGAGGTCCAGAAACAGCGCGAACGCCCACTCGCTGTCCGTCCCGCCCTTCACCCCCAGGTACCACTTGTCGGCCAGCGAGTCGGCCAGCGCCCGCTTGATGTAGTGCCACCCGCCCACGTTGCCGTTGTGCATCCACATCAGCGTGCGGTGCTGGAACGGGTGGCAGTTCGTGTCGGATAGCGTCCCCTCTGTCGTTGCCCGCACGTGCGCGAAGATGAGGTTTGAGCAGGTTTTCGACGCCAGACGCTCCAGGTTCTCGCAGTTCCAGGCGGGCAGCGTGGAGGTGAAGATGCACGGGTCCGGGCCGAGTTTGGGGTCCGTGTAGAACCCGACTCCGAAGCCGTCGCCGTTCACCGGGCGGCGGGTGTCCTGATTCTTGGTTAAAGGGGGGGTCGTAGTTTGAGGGGAGGAGGGGGAGAAGAAGGGATTGGAATGGAGGGGGCAAGCAGGAGTGAGGGAGCTCTCTTGCTTGAGGGGCTTTCGTTGATCGAACAACGGAAAGCAAGCAGACGTACCAGTCTCAGACGCGAGTCGTACGACTGGGTCAGGATGGAGTGACTGGGTTCGGTGACCAGCTTGCTGAGACGAATCTCATGTCGTCCTTTGTATACCTGATGGGGAAGCGGTCAGCATGCTGCGACAGAAATAGGAGGCGAACAGCTCTAAACTTAGACTTACTAGAAAGCGACACATTTTGTATTTGTATCCACGTGTAGTGCTTAACTAAAGTAAAGACTCCCAGCGTCCCTACTGCCGCACAAGATCCCAATGTGATGTCAGCGTTCGGAGATGGAAGATTGTATGTAAAGTCGGTCTGGGCCCGATGACAGCGTGCAGAGTCACAAGTCACAGCTTTGATTGATCCGACAACGGAGCCAGCAGCGTCGTTGTTTCTTCCAGCCCAAGACGCGCCCGCACAACTGGGAGTTACCCCTTTATTTGTATTTGCAACAAGAAAGAAAAAGCTCAGACTCGTCCAGCTTAAGGTTACTTCAAATTCTAGACCGACAATCTGTCCAGATGACGAATTTCGATCCGATTATTTGGTTATTGTCGAGTGGAATGCTTGCGAAACTACACGTGACTCACACCGTATTTTATACGGCGGGCGACGCGGCCAGCAGTGCAGTTGCAGTGCAGTGCGGGTCACGGGATCAGGACTGGGTCGGAGGGGATTCGCCGCCGCGGGACAATCATATTCATGGATGACATGATCTCCTCCTTCCCTTCCCAGAGCTTCTCTTTCTTCCCTTCCTAGCTGTTTCTCTCTCAACTTTTGTGTTTGTTGTACACTCTTGCCACTATCCCACGAAAGCAAACTCAACAATTCCGTTGCTACCACGCCCTCCCGGGATATGAACCACATCTACTGATTCTCGCGTCCGACAAATCCAAAGCGTATATGATATTTCGGCCATCATGAGCGGGAGGATCCTCTCCCACCGTCTGGTTCCGCTCCTGCGGACGGGTCATCTGGCCCGCCATGTACACAACGCTGCTGCCCGCACCGGCGGCCTCCTGCGTTCCGATGGCAGCGCGGCCTTACGGCGACGGCCCTGGCCTGTCGGTGCCAACGCCATCCACAATGTGCCTGCTGTGCGGGCCATCTCCTTCCACCGCATCCTCCCCAAGCTGGCCCTGAAGCTCGTCCGCCTGCCGGCCATGTTTGGCGGAGCCGTGCTCGCGGGCGCCGCTTACATTCAGTACCAAGCTGCGCGTGAGTTTTTCTTTACCCCGGTTACTTGTTGGTGGCTGACTGACGTGCTGTGGGTTTGCTTTAGAGGCGGGAAGCTATGCTATCGATATCTTTAAACGGGCGGGCGAAACGGCGGGCGGTGCGGCCTCGAGCTTATTCCAGGAGATTCAGAACATGGCGGAGCAGACGCAGCGCGGGTGGCAGAAGACGACGGAGGATGTTGACTTGCCGGAATGGTTGCAGAAGATTTTGCGGTTGAACGAGGACGCGCAGTCGGATAATGGGGGGTCAGGGGGTGGTGGTGATGGGAAGGGTCCGAAGGAGAGCCGGGTCGGCGCGGCCGCCGCTGGAGCAACCACCGCCGGTGCGCTGGGGTACGATCAGTCGGACGAGGAGGATCTCCGCGCGGGCCGGCAGATTGCGGAGGACGACCAGATGATGCTGCTCACGCGGAAGATGATCGAGATCCGGAACATCCTGCAGAGTGTCGGCCAGTCCAACACCCTCACGCTGCCCTCGATCGTCGTCATCGGCTCCCAGTCGTCCGGCAAGAGCTCGGTCCTGGAGGCGATTGTCGGGCATGAGTTCCTCCCCAAGGGGTCCAACATGGTCACCCGCCGGCCGATTGAGCTCACCCTCGTCAACACCCCGAACGCGCAGGCGGAGTATGGCGAGTTCCCCGCGCTGGGACTCGGCAAGATCACCGACTTCTCACAGATCCAGCGCACCTTGACGGACTTGAATCTGGCGGTGCCGGAAAGGGACTGTGTTTCGGATGATCCCATTCAGCTCACCATCTACTCGCCGCATGTGCCTGATCTTTCGCTCATCGATCTGCCTGGCTATATCCAGGTCGCTGGGCGGGACCAACCACCTCAGCTGAAACAGAAGATCTCGGATCTCTGTGATAAATACATTCAACCACCGAACGTTATTTTGGCAATCTCGGCAGCGGATGTCGACCTCGCCAACTCCACTGCTCTCCGAGCTAGCCGTCGTGTGGATCCCAGGGGCGAGCGGACCATCGGTGTCATCACAAAGATGGACCTGGTGGATCCTGACAGGGGCCATAGCATTCTATCCGACACAAAATACCCTCTTCGCCTGGGCTACGTTGGCGTGGTCAGCCGGATTCCTCAGACGACGGCTCTCTTCTCCCGGGGCAGCGGCAACATCACGGGCGCCATTCTGAAGAACGAGAACGCCTACTTCTCTCAGCACCAGTCCGTGTTCGGACCGCAGTCGGACGTGTCTGTCGGGGTCAACACATTGCGCAACAAGCTTATGCATGTCCTTGAGCAGACGATGGCATCGAGCCTAGCAGGTACTAGGGATGCTATCAGACAAGAGCTGGAGGAAGCCACTTACGAGTTCAAGGTGCAATACAACGATCGTCCCCTCAGCGCGGAATCCTACCTGGCCGAGAGCCTGGACAGCTTCAAGCACTCCTTCAAGGCGTTTGCGGAAAGCTTTGGTCGCCCCCAGGTCCGCGAGATGCTGAAGCGCGAACTCGACCAGCGCGTGATGGATATTCTGGCGCAGAGATACTGGAATAAGCCGATCGAAGACCTCACGGTGCCTATGCCGGAGTTGGATCCTCTCAGCGATCTGCCCAAGGCGGATCCCGAGTCTCTCTACTGGCATCGCAAGCTTGATGCCTCAACCTCTTCCTTGACCAAGCTCGGAATCGGTAGACTTGCTACGACAGTTGTCGCCAATGCAATCCAGAACCATGTTGACCGGTTGTTGACCGACTCAACCTTTGCGAGCCACCCATACGCCCAGCAGCAGATCGTGGATGCCTGCAACAGCATTTTGAATGATCGGTTCTTCAGCACCAGCGACCAGGTCGAGAACTGCATCAAACCTTACAAATATGAAATCGAGGTCGAGGACCCTGAATGGTCCAAGGGCCGGGAGAACGTCAGCAAGGTTCTCAAGGACGAGCTCAAGGCGTGCGAGTCCGCCTTCAAGCACGTGGAAGATTCTGTCGGAAGACGGAAACTCAAGGATGTCATATCGTTTGTTGACAAGGTCAGAAAGGGCGAGGTGGTGTTGGAGGGTGACGGCGCGGGCGGTGCTGGCGGCTTTAGTGCCGACCTATTAGCCAGAGGTATGCTCTCCCTTTTCCTTACATTATGCGTATATAAGGCTAACGAATGTATCAGGCCGTGAAAGTGTCTTCCTCCGCGACCGCGCCGACATCATCAAGATGCGCCTCCTCGCTGTCCGCTCCAAGCAATGTGCCTCCCAGAAGAACAAATACTACTGCCCGGAGGTCTTCCTGGACGTCGTCGCCGACAAGCTCACGTCGACCGCCGTGCTCTTCCTCAACGTCGAACTCCTCTCCGAGTTCTACTACAACTTCCCCCGCGAGCTCGACATGCGCCTCGGCCGCCACCTCTCCGACGCGGAGGTCGAGCGCTTCGCCCGCGAGGACCCGCGCATCCGCAGCCACCTCGACGTCATCCGCCGGAAGGAGCTCCTCGAACTGGCGCTGCAGAAGATCGAGAGCATCCGGCAGCTCGACGGCCGCGGCAAGCGCGGCAACACGGATCGTCCAGTGGGTGCCCGGGAACCGAGAAGTCGTGGCTGGAACCTGTTCTAAACGTTTTTGTCTCCCCCAATATAATCCAACTAGACTTCTTTCTTGTGATATCCGTGTCCTCCTCTCCCTCTTTGCGGCGTTCTCGCATATTCCCTCCCACTCCTTCGATGTACTTTTCTTTTGTGGCCGTGGTATGGCTGGTAGGACCAGGATCTATGTATAAATCGGTGTATCTCAGGTGTGGGCTGGCTGGACGGTATGGTCAATCATCTGCAGTCCCGCTTACCCAATGCTACGGCTTTTATACTTTTCTTGTTCGTATTATGAAGTCGTAGAATAGGCGCTACATGGCCTTTAAGCATGACAGTGGAGGCTCACCTGGTTTCGAAAGATATTGGGTAAATATACATGTGGTGTAGGGGTATTACCCCTCACGCCCACGCGGCCGTCAACAACCCATACTCGAATCGCCCCCAACTGTCTCTCCTCAACGGGATACCGCTCCAACCGCTCGGGCATCAACGCCTGGAAATCCGGAAAGCTGGCCTGCGCCACCAGCGCTGCCGTCTCAAACGCCGGCGGATACGCCCCGGCATGGCCATTTACCTCCATCATCATCACCATCACCGTTATCGTTGCCATTGCCAATAGGCCGCGGCGGCCCCCGGAGAGGAACGCGGTTGCATGGCGCTCACCAGCTCAGCGACCTGGCCCGCAATATCCGTCTTCTGGCCGTGCGGCAGACTATCCCAGCAGGTTTCCAGGGGTCGGCCGGGGATATGGTCCATGACGAGGTATCCCATGGTGCCGAGGTATTTGGTGTCGTCCGGGGTCTGGATTTCGTGCTGTACGAGGAGAAATGGTCAATATAGTTCGCAAGGGCCATAGAATTGGAATTACGTAGTGGGCGTACATACAATACAGTACAGCAGGACATTGAGTTTAAGCGCCCAGCGGGAGGCCTAGCCGCCCGGCAATCCTTCCCGTTGTATAGCGATGTGGGTCTCATATTCAAAAGCCAAGCAGACGGGGAAGATGGAACCAGAAAAAATCAAGAGGCTCGGGAAAACGAGCAAAAAGGGAAAGAAAGAGCGTCCAGGGAGAGGATCGAACTCTCAACCTCACGATTAACAGTCGTACGCGCTAACCAATTGCGCCACCCAGACGACCACTGGGAAAGAAGATTTCGGATCTGATCAAGATCTAAGACTTATTGTACATCCCCATTCAGCATGATGGCTTGCTCGGGGCTAAGTTCTGGTCAATTGATTATAGGTTATTTTTGACCTAGTATTCAGGATTATGTTGACTGAGCTTACGGGTGGAATGGAATACAGGGTCATCTATACATGACGACACTCGATTTCAGTAAGTTGCAATTCACTTCCAGACATATACATCGGTCAATATTTGCGTATCACCTCCAAAACGTCCAGGGCAGTCCGCCCATCAAGCTGGTCTCGCACGGCGCGGCGAGCCTTGAGGTTTTGAAGGTTGCGCTTCGCCCAGCGCTTGACCTCTGCATCGTCCATCGTATCCGCCTGTTCCAGGATCGGGCGCGTTTCGTTGGAGACGACCTGGGAGACCGTTTGCCAGTAGTTCCCGATGATCGTACTTTTCGTATGTCGCGCGAACTGCACGGTGATGATCGTGACGATGACGACGTGGGCCGCGATGAGCGTAGTGCCGATGATGAAGCCGGTCCATTGCGAGGGGATGGAGGAGGAGACGGAGAAGCCGGTCGACACGGTGGCGGTGCCGGCCATCTTGACCAGCTGCTCGTAGTAGGCCATCTGGAAAATCCGGGCCAGCACGACCTGGACGGCCAGCGCGGGGCTCGCTGTCGTGTTGAGCGTATCCTGGAACATCTCGACGTGAGTGTTCTCGGCGCTCCCGCTGTAGAACCCCGTGCCGTCCTCGGCCAGCAGCACGCCCGGGCTGTAGGTGTAATTGGCGGTAGACATCAGCAGGGTCGGCAGGCTAACGTCCACGGCCAGAAAAAACGCCGGCAGGTCCGTGTCCCCCGAGGCCGAATCGTTGAGGGGCAGAACGGTGCCCCATTGGGACCGGGGCTCGAGGCTGAGCACCCCCCGGCTGGTTAAGCTCTCGCGGGTGCGCGATGCGCCCAGCTGGCGTCGTGCGGCTTCCGTGTTGTAGCTGTTGGTGGCCCGGTCCCAGCTGATCGTCGGCTCCGAGTTGTCCGAGGAGCTGTTCAGTCCCACGACGATGGTCTGGACAGCCACGTTGATCAAGCAGGCGGAGGCCCGCAGCGTCCTCGTGTCGTTCCCATGGGTCACGATCGCCCAGGGCCCGTCGTTGCCTGCGACCCGCGCAGCGACATTCTGCGAACCGGCGCGGATGACCGAGGCCATCGACACGATATCCAGGACCAGGTACATCACGGACGCAGTGGCATACCCATTTGGCTGGACGAGGGGATCTTCCGTGGAGAAGATCGTCCAGTTGCGTTGCTGGGTGGCGATGCACATGCTGCTTTGCCCCACCGTGTCAATCGTCCAGACGAGCGGGCTGGGCAGTTTGCAGGTGAAGTTCGCAGGCCCATAAGAGTCCTGGCCTAAGGACAATGGGTAGGACAGGTTCTGCATCGGGATCTGTCCAGAGATGCGTATCTCGTCCTGGTCGGTCGCGTCGAGGCGCATGTTCACCAGAGGCGGCGCCGCGCAGATCACCCGCTGATCCATGACGGGCGCAGGGCCCTGGTACCTACGCAGCTTTGTCCGTTGCTCCTCCTCCTCGAAGGGGAGGAGAGCCCGGTAGGTGTGTCCGGTGTCGTGGAAATTGGATCCCTCTTTGAACGGCTCCGACAGCTCGGCGAATGTCCAGCTTGCCGCGGGTCGCATCGTCCACCAGCCGCTGGCCGTATTATATTCGGTGTCAAGAAGGCTGACATTCGTCGAGTTATTGCTCTGGGTGAACGTGCTGCTGGTAAAATCTGACAGGTAGATGGTGGAGAGGAACTGGGAGGCGGCGGTCACCAGCACCTCGGCGACGACGAGGGTAGAGACGAACGGTGGGAGATGAGGCCGGAAATCGGTCGCCGTGAACAGGCTGCTGGGGGCCGCCTTGACCGCGCGCAGGATGGAGTATAGTGGTCCCTGGAGGAGGGGGATCCCTTTCGTCTCCAGAACAACGCCCGCCACCATTGCGGTAGCGAGACCTGCCTGGAAAGACACTACGGTCCGGATGGCAGTGGTGCATATTGTAATCAGTCGAGTCGCCCAGTCTGCATCCACTATGCGGAACCAGTAGACCTCGGGGTCCCCTCCGTTGATTGCCTTCATCGACTCCCACCAGAAGAGAACTAGAAATGTGACTGCCAGTAGAAGCACTGGCGGACCGAGGAACAGTGTCAGGACGCCAGTGGTATCGACTTTCTGGTACAGGCTTTTTCTCTTGGCCTCAAGCTGTTTGCTCTGGGACTCCACGTCCGTCTTCGTACTGGGAGGCTGAGGGGCTTTTCGTGTGGGATGGAATCTTGTGTCACCGCGCGTGTATAGGCGCATGGCTGCTTGTCTCTTGATCTGGTCTGGATCTAGATCGAGACTGGAATTTTGATCGAGACTGGCCACCCTGGTAACCTATCTATGTTGGAGTGAGCGGGGTTGTGTTTGCGGCGGTGACTGCTTGTTGCTGTCGCTCGACCAACCCCGGTGTCCATTTATAGCAGAAATTAGGCATCGACAAAAGGTTTCCATGATAGACACACTCTATATAGCTTACCGGCAAGATAACAGTCTTCGATGGCGCAACTGTGGGGAGAAGAGCGGGTTGAGTTAATCGTCCATCGATTAAGCGCCGGCTGTGCCAGCTTGCCAAGGACTACTAGTCTAGCGTAAATCGTTGATTGTCTAGCGTAAATCGTTGATTGTTCCAGCCTGTCACATTCAAGCCATAAACATGTTGCCGGTTTAGTCTACTTCGATAGGCGCGCTGGGTTCTATTTTGGTCTGGCAAGGTTCGGATCCGCTTACTGTAATATGGGACTCGGGCCTGTCTCTGATGCCAGATCTAAAGCTTGACCTCTGCTGTCCTGCCCGTAGGGCTCGTTCCTGGAACTTACAAGGATGTCCCTGCCGTATTGGCTTTTTCCAGTGCAATCTGTGGAACCAGAAGATGGATTTGGGTATTGAAAGGCACGAGGCTTATGTGTAGGTCGGAGACAGAGGGAAGTTAGAGCGCCCATCGAAGCTCGAGACTACAGGCAGCGCACGGCCCCCGCAGTGGATTCGATACTGCATAGCTATAATTACAATGCTTTCGGTAAATTGTCGTCTTGAATAGGGCGCATTTTGATTTCGGGTAGAGATGCAGAGTGTCCATCTCAACGCATGGCTATGGTGTGCGGTTACAAGTTAGGGCCTAGTAGATCACCCGGACCATGTTGACAGAGCACTCCGCAGTCTACCCAAGAAAAAGGTCTGTAGCACGGCTTCTTGCAGCTCATAGCACTCGGTATATAGGCATATATTGCTTTAGCGAACCAATGGACCGATGTGAGTCTCTGAATGACTGTTGGATTGTTTTGAAGGGGAAATGGTTAGACCGATTGTATATCCGGGTTCTATAGTCGCTGATACATCGGCCCATCCGGGAAAACCAGTATGCGATGCTTCTTGGTGGTCTGGTTTTTCATTTTCTCGAACCTCCATCAAAAGTTATTGCGTTGTAAATGGCACAGTTAGATGTCATCCTGGTAAGAGACGCATAGTCATGCTTATATATTTCCCAACCACACATGAGATTAGACAGAACACACATTGACATAAAGCGCGTTATACATGTCCACAGTATCACAAATTTCAAAAATCTATATTAGCAAAGCAAAGATGATCACTAGACCTGGTGCAGTCCGTTAATTTGGAGCTGGGGTTGTATTTCAAAACGTGGAAGCACCCGATCTAATTATCTGTTCCCCTTCTTTCTGCTACATAGATGCAGACCTTTTGCCGGCAGCACAACAAGTACGTCTTGGTGGCGCAATTGGTTAGCGCGTACGACTGTTAATCGTGAGGTTGAGAGTTCGATCCTCTCCTAGGACGTCATCTTCTATTTTTGGTATTTTGTAGAGTCAGTGGCTGAACGGCCGGCGGCATGTGGAGTTGGTAGTGGAGCCGCCGCCTGCGAGCAACAGGGCCGAAGAACCAGAGTCACATAGTCGATCTGTATATCCTGACATCGATGAATGCAAGTATTTATTCGAGATCAACTTTCCAACATGCCGTACGGGGCTGACTTGCCATCAGTGTTTCGCTGTCACTATACACCATATATCGATTGGCTTCAAGTCGCGCGATGCTGACCGGACAGGGAGCCCATTGCCGAGGCAGATATGCCTGTACAAATTCAAGGATAGACTGTGGACACAAGTAGTCTATATACTCATGCTTATGTACAACAGATAGCCAGTTAGCCCTATTTTACTGCAGATAGAGTACCAGGGCTTTTCAGGCTGCATATCCTGTGCGTTCCAATAACAAAGTTCATGATGGCGCTAATTGACAACAGATATCGCTAAGTAGTAAATCGGAATCTCAACACTCACGAGGGCTTCACTAGCACATTGGCCGCTTCTGTATTACCTACGTTGTCCTCCGTAATAAGACTCCTTACATCGGTGCCGCTACTCGATTACGACGAACTCAATGAACGAAGTAGGAGGCATTCCCAGCTGAACTTGAGACGAACTCATTCTTCGCTTATAAAATGCCGCCGTCTTATGGCAGAGCCTTTTACTTCAATATTCATTATGATCTATTGATTGGCGTCAAAATAACGCCGCAGACTATTCATATTGCAGTCTAAAACTTCATTGGTAGGTTGGATCTCTCCCGGTGATCTGACATGAGCTAAGGTTTGGTGAACCAAGGGAGCTATCTAAAAAGTGGCGCTTAGCGTACCACAGCTATATATTGTGCTGTATGTGCCTTCACTTCAAGAAGCACGTCTGGGTGGCGCAATTGGTTAGCGCGTACGACTGTTAATCGTGAGGTTGAGAGTTCGATCCTCTCCCTGGACGGCCTTTGTTTTTGCCCTTTTTTTTTCTCCCCATCTCGCCATGCGCCCAACCGAATCATGAAGTCTATTTCTTTCGTTATGAACATTTCCTTTTATTTTACTTATCAATGGGTAAAATCTCAAATCCGATGTTCGACCTCTCCCAATGTACGTTGGACCTTCTTCAAGAGTCCGCCGAGGACATTGAACCTGGCCCTATTCCATTTTGCGCGCTTCATGCAATCGGATCTATGGTACAGGGCAGTCAGCTGCCATTGCCTCAACATGCTTTCCATCACTTCCTCTAATTTAACATATCTGCCCATCAGGTAGTGACATAAGACCGCCGTCAGGAGTGTAACGCTAGGGCTTAGGACATCCACGATGACCCGGAGGTCAGCTGGTTGCGAATGATGGCCATTCTAGGTCCACCGCGGACTGAAAATAGTCTTACATTAGACATTTTACCGCAAAGCTTGAGGACGAGAGGGCCGTGACCAGTTAATCAGTACATTGCTTTTGTACCTTCAGAAGTAGGTAATCTTCAACCGGTGGACAGGAAGCCCCGCTGTAAGGGGGTTACGGACATACTACCACAACTGATGTGCCAGTTACTCCAACAAAGCACGGCTACTGATCGAGGTTTGTACGTCTAAGCTGACGCAATCTGGAAGGCAGCAACTGTCAACTTGATGGTCACTCTGAAGTCTCTAGCCGGTGCTCCAGAAGCGACAGTGCAGTATAAAGTACAATGGTTCAATGGAAACCGTAGCGACTACGTGAAAAAGCAAGGCCATTCGGATATCATTGTAAAATACGAAGTGGTCTCAATAATCACATGCTATTTCGTCACTTGCTCAAATGAGTAAGCTTTGAGTATATGGAAGAGGGACTTCAAAGCCCTAACTGACCCAACCTGTGCTCAAATCAATAACTCTAACACCATTTGTTCTACAACTGTAGAAACTAGTTGATGGTTAATTGCCCAGAAGTATGTTCAAACGGCTTCGTGGTGAAAAAACGGACATCGGCATCACTTTCGCATTCCCTCGAGAAGCAAACTGTAAAGTCTGGCTTCTCGCGAGGGAAACACCGAGACAGATAGAGTCATAACGACCATTCTTCAGAGGCGTGAAAGGTTGAGGGGAACGCCGACTATCGTCCCTGCGGGTCAGCGATCACATAACCACTGAAGTCTCCTTGCTAGATATCAGAATTCATGGCTATGGCTTAAAGACATATGTTTTTAGATTTAGCGTCCAGAGCCCAAGGAAGGAGATATGAAGGGTTGTGTACATCTGTCGGCCGCATAATGCTCCATCGAGTTCAGATCGGGACTGAGGCCGCCATGCGTGCAGAAGATCTTGTCGCCGACGATCGCCGCGATGGGCAGGCAGTTGAAGCAATCGATGAACGTCTTCCAGACCTTGACGCTGTACCGGCGCTTGCACTCGTCGTAGAAGCCGTGGATGCGGTTGATGAAGGCGCACTCGTGGTACCCGCGCAGGATGAAGAAACTTTCCGGATATTTGACCTTGTAGGCGAGAAGCAGGCAGATTCATTCGATGACTGCTTGCCGCGGTCGACGTTAGTCGCCCAGGAAGAGGTAGTTGGCTTCGGGTGGGTAGCCGCCGTGTTCGAAGAGGCGGAGGAGGTCGTAGTACTGGCCGTGGACGTCGCCGCAGATCTGGTTGTGCTGTAAGTGTGAGAAGGATGGGAGAAGAGGGTGGCGTGCCCGGGTTGTTATACCTTGATGTGGGCTTCGAGCTCGAGGAGAATGGGTTAGGAGATGCAGATCTCCGACTAATGGATACTGACCAGTTTTCCGGGTCGGGAGCCTCAAACCTCAAGTAATTTCTCTATCAGAGAGTCTAGGTCTACGCTGTTTGGATTGGCCATGATACAAGCAATATATTAGAGAACTGCTCAAGTCTGGAGAGGGGCTGATTAAGGCTTAGCAAGCATTAAGGAAGAGAGCCAAGTGAGGCGAGAAATTCTTGTAGGTAGATGGACGAACATAAGTTGGAAAGTGAATGCAAAAGGAGATAACTATTTTCCTCTACTTGTTCTCTTTCTTCTTCTGTTCCCTATTCTATTTTGGCATCAGGATCCATTATACCGAGGTCAGGGTAGTCAAGTTTCAGATTAAAGCTGGATATAGGGTTCTGTCTAGGTCAATACTGGCTTTACCCCCAATGAGGGCAATTTAACTTGGTCGAAGAGCAAGTCGGACCTGAGGCTCGGAATTCCGAGCGGGTGTCGGAGTTCAGCTCCCGTCACCTCATTAGAGCTGGAGCAATTCCTTACTGCATGTCGCCACCGCCAACGTCACTGAATGCTTCTTATATTGGCAAGTGTGTATATATACCCCTGAGCTGGTGGTATTACTTTTTTGATGATTGAGTAAAGCATGATACCCAATGATGAAAACGGGTCACTAAACCGCCCCAAACAGGGGAAGATAACTATCAGTCCAGCAGGAGCTGAGTCTGAGATAGAAGAGAGTTATGCTGACAAACTCCCGTGAAAGCCAATCAACACTGAACAGGAGATTTATCAATCGCTTCGAGTCGCCAAGAGAACTACCGCCCCGGGAGCAGATGGAATTCCTACATACCTCGAAGTGCACATAAAACAAGATACTAAGGATATTACTTTAAAATCGGCTGATGTTGCTGTAACTAAGTGCTTCTTTTGATTATATAAGAGCTGTTACAGCCTTTCTAGGAACTGTGTTACTTTGCACTCTTCGACTGTTTCAGCAACCCTAGAGTAACATTACGCCTAGGTCTAGTAGTTATATGAAAACTCATCTTGATTAAAGCAGAAGCTGCTTCAGAGATCCGGGATCTCTTAGTAAACTCTCTAACATAATCCAGGAGCGGTCGGAGTACTTAGTGGGTGCTCAGTGAAAGATTAGTAATTATACAGAAGTATAAAAGGGGTAGTCACATACTGCCTTTATAAAGCAGCAGCACCTGTATAAGGCAAGCAGACAGAACTCGCAGCACAATATTCAGTAACAGAATTATTACTAGCATTTTTTGTAAGTTTTTTGTATTTTTACTCTATCAATTTCTCTTCTATACATTCTCACTAGAGCCGTCCATGGGCATAATATTTTGGTAGGGTTTACTTGACAGGATAGACAGCTTATTAAATAGGCAATGACTAAAGCACAAAACATAATAGATCATATTAGATCGTATCGGTTCAAACGGGCGGGCTCGATCTGGATCGGTCAGTAGTTGTACTGTAGTGAAGTATGAATTTGCGGCTAATGAGTTCTCTAGCAATTTAAAAATAATGGAGGGTGACACTCAGCATACCGGATTCAATATAAACAGGCCTATTTTCCATCACATAGACCTCTGAAGATCAATTTCTCACCCGAAATGAGCCCTTGACGTTGCAGATTCATAGCCTCCTCAATCACTGAAGGGCGGAGGTCTCCGACAATACGAATGGGAGGGGGTATCAGCGATCCATTGCCGAGCAAATTTTCCAGTTGATCATGCAGCTCGGAACTGAGGTTGTGGTCAGCCATCTTGACCTGTGAATATGTTAGTCGGATGAGATATCTCACCAGTTGAGCGGCATCCCGGTGAGATTTCAACATGGTGTCAGAATGAACATTACTTACAGGCCAATGCGCCACGTTGCGGTAGTTGTGCTCTGTCGGAAAAGCTGTGAAAACCAAAACATCCGTAACCTTGACGTGCGATGGGACGTCCTGCGTATGAGCCTTGCCTGGTCGAACGGTACAAAGCACGGCTTCCGGGTTGTTGATCGCCTCAGCAGCGGTTGTAGAGGAGGTTGCACTTCCTATGGTATCGAAGACATATCCAAGGTCCGGCAATACAGCCTTGATCTTGGGAATGACGTCGGGGTCGTTATAGTCGAACACGTGAGTTGCTCCAGCTTGCCGGACTTTTTCGAAGTTTTTAGGGCTGCATGTCGTGGCGACCTCGATATCGAAGAGTTTAGCTATTTGAATGGCAAAATAGCCTACCGTAGCTTTATGACGGTCAGCAATTCTTCACGTGATGGCTACCTTTGAGTGTTCTTACAGCTTCCTCCCCAGATCAATACAGGTGGCTTCTTGACAGAATCACCCCGGTTGACAGCAAGGCAGTCCGCAGAAAATAGGCCGAGCCAGGCTGTGTTCGCCGCCAGCGGCACCGAGCATGCCTGAGCAGTGCTTGCATTTGGTGAGACCTTGAATGAGAGCCGTTCGTCGGCGATAGTATACATTCTAGGACTCTGTAATCAGCTAGATCCAAAAACAACCTCGGAGCCAGAAACTGACGAGTATGCGCCCACACCCTTGGTCTCTCCTGACAACATGAGTAAGTCAATTGCCTCTTGGCCTCTGTCATGCTCAGCCAGGGAGACGGATACTTACCGCCCCAAACGAAACCTGCAATCTGATCACCTGCCTGCAGTCTGGTCACACCCGGGTGGGCTTTGACTACGGTACCAGCAAAGTCACATCCCAGTAATGCGCCGTCCCCAAAGGCATTTACATCGAAAGCGAGGCCTTTGTGAAGTTAGAACGGCGAGGTTATATAGACCATGTCGCAGTCTTACGGTCAGTGGGGTTAAAGGCCGCATGCTCAACCTTGATGTAGACTTGGTGTTCTTTCAATGGAGGCAGCGTTACTTCTTCAAAGACAAATCCTTTGCCTCTCTGAATAATGGCTGTGGATTTCATGGTTCAGACTCACTATATGACTAAGTCGTGTGTTTCTGAATGTGGTTTGTTGTGGAGGACGAGATGGAGGTGGGTGAGTGTTTGTTATATACATGACTAAATAATGCCGCAGGATGTACCCACTTAGTCACTAGTACATGTTATTGTTTCTACAAAGTTTCCCAAAATCCTTTTATCGGCATGCGCAAGCCTATAGACGCATTTGAACTGTTGCCGCCATTAGTCACTACCGGTTGTCCTCTCTGGTACCGCAGTGTATATACTTACGGGAATGAATTTGGCCCTGTCTAAATCCCAGACTCCGTTCCGCACGTAGGTGTCAGTTTTAAGAATATCCAAGATTTCTGCTTCAGTTTTGGCGCGAGCGACAATGGCACGTCCGTCAATAAGATCGTCATTTAAAGTGGCCCCTCCCATCTGGAAAAGGCCAGAATCGATATGTTCAATCATATCCTTCACGTGGGTCCTGCAAGGTATTCGTATGTCTGAAGTCAAACGGAGCATGATCGTGGGACTTACTCTCTGACCCTCATCCTCGCTTCCAAGGAGCCCTTAACATCGGGGATCAGAACAATCCATTCTGTTATGATTTCTGGTTCCATGTTCGTCGTCAATCCTTGGCTTGGCTTCTGCGGAGGTTCCAAGCCCAATTGTTGTCTTAATCCCAGATGCAAAACGTGGTTTTTTATTCCCTTCATCCGTTCGCCCTTATGTGCGCCCTATACGCCTTCCACCCCGCGTGAACCGCTGTAGCACGCCAATCTCGCGCCAGGTTGTAGCTGAGCCTTACTGCATGACCAGACATCATGAGTTCCTACGCCTTGACGTACGCCCTACATAGCTTGGCTTTACGCCTTTCTCCACTCGGACCACGCGTCATTTTCAGCCAATCATTCCCGGCCCACTCCCTCTGTTCTAGTGGGGTTGGGAGATACTGTCTTCTAGGACATCAAAGAACCCGACAGAGCCGGCTGCTCTGAGCTCTAGATACCGTAACTCGAATAGGATATGCTACAGCTCTACACCAATTCTGACATATTCACCGGCTGCGAGTAATTCAGTGACGGTATCCACCCCTTTCTCGGTCTAAACGAGCTATCAAGTCGTTGCTCTACATCTTCTCCAAATCACGCGCCACCTGTTCCACAAGTGATCCCTCTACCACCCCGCACTGCCAAGTAATGCTGATTGTAAGAGGTCTCCCAGGCACGCTCACACAATTGAATCCAAGTGCTGGACCCGTTACCATACCACATTGCGTAAAGACAACCTTCTCGAGCTTCAGGCCATTACTCTTCGATGAAGCAACCATGGGGGCTCGACCCAGGTTCGATAGCTCGTACGTATATTGCCTCGGCTTGCCGTTTTGATTTCGACAGTGCGATAGGAGGTCACCAATGCGGGCAAGCTGTGTCACCATGCTGCCATGAGGATATTCTCTAACCTTTGTCCCTATGTCTCTGCCAAATGACTGTGCCAGTTCAACGATCGCGCGTTCCTCGGATGCGGAGCCGTGTTCACACTGTGCAATCCTATCCAGCTGGTCACGGGGTACGTAGCTAGTTAAGTAGGAGATGTGGTTGACAATATCACCATCCGATGCTTTGGTGTGCCGGCGCACCGAAAAGGGCGTCACTGCTCGAAATCCGCTGTGGTCCTCAGGAATACCACGGTGGAGAGAGGCACAAATCAACGCGTGTAGGAGTCCGGTCAGGGTGATATTAGACCGCTTGCACCTTCGCAAAACACCCGAAAGCCTATCAGCTGGGATCGTCACCACTCGAGCCATAGATTTGAAAATCGTTGCTGACCCTGGGGATACAGCAGCCCCAGCCCACACTTGATCGTGGCAAGATGGGGAAGCATCGCAGCGAGCACAAGTACACCCGAGGCAGTCCACGCATTCTTCAACGGTAGCTGGCGCCTCCAGCGTCTCATTGAAGGCCATGGGCCAAGTTGGTGGTGAGGCTGATGCTGAGATATCGTGTAGGTTTTCCATCAGGGACACGTGGAAGGCTAGGCCGCTGAGCCCATCCGCAATAGCGTGGTGTGCAAGAAATGCGATGTCAAGCCTCTCGAGAACAGCTTGATTTGAATTCGATTCGGTTTTGTTGCGCAAATGTTCTAAGACGACAACCCTCCAGGCTGGTTTGTTACTGGGCCAGATTGCGCCATGCCGGTCACCGAGAACCTGAGATAGTATAGTATCTGCTGTGGGCTCACCCGATTCGTCACTCATTGACGTAGAATCACGGAAAGGGACAATCTCAAGCACATCCTCTCGATCAATGTGATGCAGTTGCTTGAACAGTGGAATACCGGCGCTCTTTTCATCTGAAACGCCGAAATGTAAACCAGGATGTTGTCGAAAAGTTGCCTGGATGCTCCGTTCTAAAGCGAACCGAACGCGCAGGAGCAGCTCAGGGCTTTCCAGCAATGAGACAGAATATGCCGCTGTAACTCCAGCTGAGCGGTAATGCCCTAAAGTGTGTCGGACGGAATAATACCGCCCCAATATACCTAAAAGAACGCCTATTAGTATCCAACCAACAGCGACATCCTCATTCCCGACCGTAAAAAAGGGGGGGGAACATCACAGAGATAGTGAGATTTTCGACGACGCTCCTCATAATGAACCCTGAAATCTTCTGGACGAGTAGAGGAACTTTACCTAGGGAGACTGGTGTATCGTCGGGCGTCATCTTGTTGTGTTTGTCGTTGTGGTGGCTCCTTGGAAGATACAAATTGAAAGAACAAAATGGTTCGAGAGGCTGAACTTATTAAGTATTACCTTCCATAGCCCCACAGGGGTCGCACTGCACTAATGCCGCCCAAGTCAACTGCCAAGCTCTAGTCCAGCGGCAATTCGGCCGGGAAGACCTTCGGCTGGCCGCCCATCACGTTTGCCGCTGTTGGCAATACGGTTTTCCCAATCAAATTCAAACTCGATAAAGGATTATATCACGATTACACCACATCATATTTTATCAAGCAGATTGCTACATTCTACCCCGTTATGCATCAGTTTCAGTCATTTTGTCTTCATCAATAATCATAGCCCATTCATGGTCCTCAGCCCCAAGCATGATATTACCTAACCAATTTTTGATCAAAGGGCCGAACTCGGCCGTCTTCTGCTGTAACTCAAGACTGCGATCACCGACCCGGATGGTTGATACTTGTTTTATAAAGAACTGTCAATCTAGGCAAGCATATGATCTTCAGAGTCAACGTCTGTTACTTACAGCTGTTCCAGACACAAACGCCTCGAGAAGTTTACCATCTATCCAAGCTGCCTCAAGCTCGGATATAGTAAACTTGACCTCCGAGACTTGCAGTTTACCTTCTAGCCGAGATTTAACTAGATCTAGGACAGAACGTCTAGTCACTCCATCAAGAATAAGTTTGTCGGTTAATGGTGCTGTCAGAAGCTTAGGGGTTGCGGTGCGTTCATCCTTAACAACGGCAAAGAAGTTACTCGCACCGGCTTCCGTAACTTGACCATCCTCTCCAAATAACCATAGGACTTGGTCATATCCTAAGCGCTGTGCCTCAGAGTGCGAGGCAAAACTGGGGCCATAATTGGCTCCGACCTTCACATGGCCAAATCCGCCAGGCCACGCCCTGATAGTATCACTTCGGGATGTGAGGAGCCGCAGGTCGGATCTGGGCTCAACACCGGGCGGCGAATCCGTAGAGAAATCAGGCCAGCAAACCATGGTTATGAGCAAGAGTGCTTCTTTGGGGACCTGCACTCCAAGCTGGCGCCCGGTTCCTATCAATGCAGGTCGGATGTAGCGAAAAGTGCCAGGTTTGGGCAGCCATCCTTCAAGATATTGTGAGTCAGTTGTCACCGAAAGTGAATCTCCGTGGACGGGGAAAATTACTTGGTGCGTCAAGCCGGGCTAGAGCTTTGATTAACTGAACAAGTTGTTCAGTATCGAATCTTGGCAGTGAAACCTTTTCCGCGCTCGTAGCTAGACGCTTTGCGTTTCGGTCGGGCCTAAAGAGCCTGAGACGGTTGTCAAGCCCCCGATACACTTTCATGCCTTCGAAACATTGCGTAGCATAGTGTAAACATGAGGCGAGAGGCGAAATGGGGAAGTCCCCGAAAGGCTTGATCAATGGATCTTCCCAGCCCCCGTCTACTGTCCAGCGGCACGTAACCATGTGGTCGGTGGCCACATTTTGTGCCCACAGCTCAGGAGACCCGGGCTCGGGAACTGGGCGCAGGACTGAAGCACGAGTAACCTTCAGTCGAGATGCATCGAGCGATGCCATGTTGAGAACAAAAGATCTCTGTTAAGGCGGAATTGCGATAACGGATAGGAAATATTAGACTTGTCTATTCATAGCCGACCACGATGCTGCTTCAGTCTTGTAGAATATTTATATATGTTTCTTAATCATAGCACAGAAAGCCACTAAGTATAATGGGCTAACTGTACTCGGTTAGCTTGAACTTAACTGAGCGGTGCATGCGGGGCATGTGGAACGCTTCGCAGGGCGTAAAACAGTTGCGCCCTGCACGAAAAGCTGTCGCCACGTGACTCGACTTTCACATGGGCGGGCTCGAGACTCCGCGTTCCACTTTCCAATTCACTGCGAGATGACCAGTCAACAATGTGAAACCTAAAGCCCATGTTCAGCTGGGGATAGCTGGATGTCGTGGCTGCATATGCAGGACCTTGAGGATAATTAATCCCAGCGACCAGAGGATCTTGATAGCTTCCTGAACAGTACTCCCGGTTCATTCAACGTCAACCACTCTTCGGTCGATGAGCTTCTCCTGTCACAGGACCTCTCTCAGCAAGCCGCGCCATGGGAGAGGAACTCCATGGATGCCGAAGTATTGCCAAACAATGGCCAAGCTTCGGTTAGACAAGGCCTTTATGGTCTACCACCCGAACTGACTCGGACAAATGACTCTTTTTGCGTTGATGATGACCCGAGCTTACCGCGACCGGCGTTCGATGCAGATTATCAAATCACATCAGATTCCTCCATCGGGTCCTTTGACTCTTTCACATCATCAGCGTCGACTGCTGTACGAAGGAGAAGAACAAGTAGAAGAAGGAGACAAGCTGTAAGATCGGATATCGAGATAACGGGACAAAGGGCCAAAACCACAAGTACAGCAGGTAGAAGATACCAATGTACGTTTTGTACCGACGCCTTCAAGACCAAACATGATTGGCAACGACACGAGACAAGTATGCACTTGAGCCTTGAACAGTGGAAGTAAGTCATTGAATAGTCAGGCGGCTCGATCATATCCAGTGTCAGATTGCTCAATGTTTCGCAGGTGCTCAAGATTTGGCCCGGTAATACAGCACTCAGATGGTCACGACTACTGTGTGTTCTGCAACCTTTGCGACCCTTCACCCGACCATCCAGAGTTACATAATTATTCCGCTTGCGTAGCCCAGCCAGATGAAGCTCGTCTATTTCACCGAAAAGATCATTTACGGCAGCACCTGCGGCTATTCCATCGCGGATGCAAATTCAACGACTCAATGAAGAGTTGGCTCTCGTATACAGATAAGGTCAAGTCCCGGCGTGGATTCTGCGACGCGCGCATGGAGACTTGGACTGAGAGGCAGAAGCACCTGGCTGCACACTTTCGAATGGGCATCGACATGAAGGAGTGGAAAGGCGATCGCGGTTTTGACCAACAGGTTGACGATAACGTGGAAGATGATATACCTGTCTTTTTGATCGGCGATCAGAGACGGACAATGGAGCCATTCTTTGCATCTCGAGCAGACCATCGCTCAGGAATGAGTATTCCAGAAATCTACAGGCCCTCCAACTTCGACGAAACGGGCTCGGTATTGACTTCGAACCGAACAGATTTGATTCAGAGACCTCATTCCTACCGAGACACAGAACGTGCTTTACTTAGATATGTCTCTGACGAGATCTGCCAAGGGCGTGTACCTTCGGATCGTCAATTGCAGAGGAAAACCAGCGAAATTATGTATGGGCCAGACAATGCGTGGGATCCCACGTGGGCCGACAATCCTCAATGGCTGGAGATGTTCAAGAAAAAAGCTGGACTGATCAGCCTGCCGCTCAGTCAGGGGAAGAACGCATTTTTAGGAGTCGATGTTTTATAGCTGTCGTCTTCCAGAAGAAGAAGTAACCATCTGTATATCCAATTTCCGAGCACTGGATTGGCATAGCCCCTCAGCTCTACCGGCCCTACGGAGGGCTTTACACCTGGAATCCACTCTTTTGGTCAATAGTCGCCTGGTTCCTTCCTGGGTATTCGATCATGTGACTGGTAACGAGCGACTTGGTGTTCTTCTGCCGAGGATGAAACTGAGTCTGATACAGTCACGGTGCCTGGCCCTTATTCCAAGCCGCGTGATAACTATAGGTGACATACCATCACGTGATTATAAGCTATCGGTAGCTTTGGAGTCCTTTTCCTTGAGGCCGCACTTTTGGATGGTCTTGTCATCCGTGGCTGTAGACACTGTTTGCAAAAATATGTAGAGACTGAGGGTATTCCACAGCAGATTCCTGCCGGGCATAGTTTCCGCGAAAGTTTTTTTTCTCTTATTGTTACACTGGCAAAAGAGCTAAGAATTGAGATGCTGATCGCCGCAATAACAGAAATATTAGAAATCACTACTTCCTGATTATACAGGGATGATGATGATGATGATGATGATTATGATGATTAGTGATTTAATATTGCTTAAAAATTACTTAGAATATATATTTCTCTGCCTTTTCTGTATTTTAGATTATCTAATAAGCAAAAAGCAGCGCTGAGTTAAATCTAAAGCATAAAAAAACTTATTCAAGTTCTGCAAAAAATCTAGTTCATTAGCAGCATAGCAGGCAAATTAGCACAAAGCTGATGGGCTCGCTGGATCAAGCAAAAAGAGATCAAATGCGTCCAGGGAGAGGATCGAACTCTCAACCTCACGATTAACAGTCGTACGCGCTAACCAATTGCGCCACCCAGACGATTTGTTGAGACGGCCAGTAGCTGGAGGAAGTATGAAGCATGTCACGTATGTGCAGGAAAAGAGAGTCGGCAAAAAGCAACGTCCTAGGAGAGGATCGAACTCTCAACCTCACGATTAACAGTCGTACGCGCTAACCAATTGCGCCACCAAGACGTGGTTGGTGATCGGCAAAAGATATGTCCTTATCACACGGCGGAAAGTCGAAAGGCAGCTCTCAGGCTCTCAAACAGTCTTTCGGGTGGTGCGAGATGAGGCCTGGACACGCTCCCGCGAGATGAGGCAGCCTGAAGCTAACAGACTCGGTTGAGGGTTCTGGGGGATCTCAACCATGGAAAGACGGGAGAAGGATTAGGGCTGAACCTTATTCTGACGGCCGCTGCACCTGGTGTGCAGAGGGATATGCTCCTGTCAACGAAATCACAATATAAAAAATACCACTTCTCAGTTCAAAAATTACTCAATTTTAATCTCTTCAAACCTGGGAGTCCCTGTTGTTAGTTCCTTCACCCCCGAGAATCAGCCATCTACGCCGAATGCACGCGCTTCATATGCTGGGTATACTGCGCGCGAGTATAGAAGAACAGGCTCCGCACGCAGAACCGACATGGATAGAGCTTCTTCGGCTCATGATTCACCTGATAATGCTTACAGAACCCAGCATGGCTGTAGTAAGCAGCTTCACAGGGTTGCCCATCGGCCCCCCGGAAGGTGCAGATATATCTATCCATGTTGTCCCGCACGTAGTGATATCGACCGGAGCGGTTTCGCCCTGCAGCCGCGGCTGCAGTTGGGGCTTGAGTCTGCTCCCGAGTCACGGGGGCGGAGGTTGTTGTTCCCGGTCGGGGTCGGCGCTGGTGTGGTCCTGCTCCCGGCTGTGGCTGATCCTGTTGCTGGTTCTCAGGACATGCTACGCGCGAGGGGGGGTGGACGACGTACTCTCGAGCACCAGGCAAGAACTCACGCAGGCCGGGGTCTTGACCTGTCTGCTCCTGTAGCAACGGCCATTCCTCTTCGGCATCGGCCTGACCAACCAACGCCTGCTGGTCTTGGGCTGGCTCTTGCGGAGCGAAAGCAGAGCTCAGGAGGTTTAAAAAACGATAAGGATAAGAGGACATACTTACTGGTCTGGATAAATCAAATCTTCAGATGTGCCGTCGCCTGTAAAGAGATGGATCAAGAATGGGTGCAGAGAAATGGCACAATGTCTTTTTATGTTCTTTGGACAGGGGGTAACAAGTAAGAAGGAGATGGGGATGTCGCTATGCAACGAAGAGATAGTACAATGAATTGTAAGTCTAAGAATTAACTGGGAAAAATGTTTCGCTTTGTTGGAATGAATGCTCCACTAGTTTCTTTATTCCATGTTGGTAGAAGTACGGTCATCATATGGACTCGATGATCACCATGCTACTGATACGGGATTATTGATGACACACACACCTAACTCTTTTAAAACTCATTCATCCCGTCCTAAATTGACGGTAATTCTAACTCAATTTCTATTTTAATAGGTAATGCATTTTTGCGGGGAAGGGGCGAGTCGGGGTTCACCTCGCCAAGTTAAGACATCGCGTGATGTAGAACCCCAGAAGAGTCCCCGTCATCTCTGTTAGCTCCGACTACGCATATCAGTTAGCGTTATCAGATGTGGAGAGAAGAAGTATTTTGTCTGCAGTATAATGGCAACATGATTAAAGATTTTCATGTGTGCAAATTAATACCGATCAAATTCGCGCAGCACAGTCTCCGTTCCCCCACAAACCGCCCCGCACCCTTGACCTTATCACGTAGCCCCGCCGCCAACGCCGGACCCACCGCCCCACCAGACTCCTGCAGCTCGCGCAGATGCTTTCCCGGCGGAAAGATCTTCTCGTTCCTGAGGTGGCCGGGATAAACCAGCGCGGATGGCGAGCAGGTGGCGGCGCCGCTCGGCGGGATGCACCACGAACCAAAAATCCACGTCGGAGTCGTGGAGGTTGAGCGCCGTCTTGCTCTTGTGGGCGCCGCGGACCCCGTGGTTGAGACTGCCCACGTACGCCAGCGGCTGGCCCTGGTAGCGGAACCGCGTCAGCACTCCATCGACACACGCCTTGATTTCCGCGTACCGCTGCATCCAGTGCTTCCTCGGGCGTCACACTCCGGCAGCATAGGTCGGCTTGTGCTTAGTCAAGGAGTGTGTTTTGCCGGGCCCAGTTCGCTGCGTCGAGGCGGTAGAGGAGTAGTGCTACGTTGACCCCGGTGGTGGATTCTTGGTTGATGGTTAGGCTGAAGGGCTCGTTGGTGCGGTGCGGGAAGGCGTGCTTGAACAGGAGGGTGTGTATTGGTGGATGGTCTCAGCTTGGAAGGCTTCGATTTCGTCAATCTAGGTGCTGGTAAAGAGGTGGTGATGCGTGGTCTGATCTTGCAGGCTGCTAAAGCAGATCTTGAGGTATTCGAGTTTGTCGTAGGAGGCACGGAGGAGATCTTTTAGGGGCAGAGACGGGGGCACGTCGCGTGGCAGTTGCGGGGCAGCTATCGGCTCGACCGTCATGGTGGGGCTGGGTTTTGCGGGCAGTCGATTGAATGCGTTCCCGAAATGCCACAAGTGGACTGTCGATGAGGTCATATACTAATTCCAGACAAGATTACCCGTCAGATAGCTGGGAGCTGCGTTCATTGCCGTAGTTGACCCGTTACATCCATTGCTCAGGGATGGGCCAGACCCGGGCTCAAAACGAATGCGGAACGTAGATAGCAAGCCAGTCATTAGGACTTGACCAAAGAATACCCGCAATTCCGCTAGGATGGTGGACAACAAAGCCATGCAATTGATGACAATGGATTTCTGTAAGTACAGAAAGACAGACACTAGCCAACAATAAGGCTTAGACATGGCTAGCATATCAGAACAAACCCAGAAGGAGGCACCGAAAGAGTACAAAAGAAGGTGGCATCGAAACAAAGATCTTGACAAAACAAGGAGATACGAGACCGAAGACCAAGAAGATACCGAGAGAAAATCGAAAGATCTAGGCGACAAACGAGAGATTTCGACAGTCAGATGCGGTAGAAGGTGGCAAGAAGACACCACGCAGGGCGATGAATGAGCGTCGCAGATGAATTGCAAACACAGATGATCAAAACAGAGACTTGATCTCCGAGGGAAACTGTTGTGGCTCAAGTCGGCGCGGAAATTGGCCTCTGAGGGAGACCGGTCGCTGGGGTTGAAACTTGTTAGCTATGTTGACAGAACCAAGGAGGCATAGGAGGATCAGTGGTGATGTGAGATCAATGGGTAAAGGAGTGAACTCATAGCTCACCTGAGCGATAGATTGCTGGGTCCATGTTCTCGCCATCGTGTCCTATTCGTGGATTATGCCAACCTGGCTTCCAGTACGTAGACAGTCTCCAGTGCGTTGGTCGTTTCCTGCACCTAGGTTCATGTTCCTTTTCAGGCCCGATGATACGAGCTGGGCCTACGCCCAAACTAGATCCTTTCTTCCACATGGTACTCTCCGGCCAGAGTGGGCCCTCGCGGTATTTCCTCCCCATGGGGAATTTCTCCTCTCTGTTTACATACTCCTTAGGGTGCTCTCGCTGTAGGCGACCTTTTTCGTTGAAGGAAACTTTTCCCTCAGGCATGTCATCTATATGCTGTGCAGTCCTGAGCGCATGCTCCACAGAAACGTAATGACGACCCAACTCGGACTTGGTGAGAGCAAGTTCGCTCAACGACCACCAAATTCCTGGATTGTCAGCTTACGCCCAAAAACACAGGATGAAGACATACACAGGAGTTGTTGCGGTGGATCAAAGTATCATCCATGAGCCTGCAAGAGTGGTCCTCTTTCGACTTTCGGGTCTTTGAAAACCCAAACCACCGGAAATATGATTTCATTGGTAAGAGTCCCATGATATCTGCTGAAGTCAAGGAAAAGAGAGATATCGATAGCTAGGATTGTGCTTGCCATGGTGCAGGTCTAGAGCACAACTATTTATGCCCCCCATGGTATACTGCAATGAACCATATCGCTGCACTTGATCACCATGTCATCTGCTACACAGTGAAATCGCGGCGAAGAGCATAGGTAGACAATAGAGAAACATGATGGGATCCTGCCTCACTCAGCCTGCGCGGGCGGTTTCGCGCTGAGACCCATGTTGTGGCCGGGCAGACTTTTGTGCCTTTGTGATCATAATCTAGTCCCTCATCAATGAAGACAAACGGATCAAAGATCAAAGGTAAGCAGATCACAGTAGTGGCAGCTCTTGTTTTCTTCTGATAAAGACAAAGACCAGAGGCTGCAATTTGAGACAAAGTGTATCAACCACCTTACAACTAGATGGCTGGGATAGTCAAAATTCTAATAATGGAAGTGCAGCTTCAAAGACATGTTGAGAATCTTGCACAAAGGAGGTGGATTGGTGTTGTGCTATTTCCATCAGAGTCGTGCACTATTTAAGGTTGCTGAGTGCTACATATGTCTCAGGCTGAAGCCAGTTTTCTCTATCTTCCACACACACACACACACACACACACACACACACACACACACACACAGAAAGTCACACTCACATACACTGCGAACAGAAAATGGAAAGCAGCCTCTTTTTCTCCGACGATCCCCTCGTGCAGCAAGCAAACCAGGTGGTGTTTGATGTAATGGACGGGATAGAGGAGCCGCACCTTGGGGCCAAGCGCATCGACGCCATAATTCGTCCATACTTCTTGACTCCCGAGGAAAAGCGGAAGAGGCGTGAACCTCTAGAGCCGTTTTGGGAGGAGGTAAGTTCGACTGCCGCTGCCACGGGCTACGATAGTCAAGGGCAGGATAGATTGATTCAGCTCATGTGCAATTTGAGTCAGCTTCCGCCGCTCAAGGTCACTTGGTACGGGGCACGTCTGTGGACAAGCTTTCCTAAGTTTGGGCGGGTGATGCGAGAGGACTTCCCAAACGCGCTTCCTGAAATTGATCCCGATCCGACGGCCAAGTGCTGCGGACGCCTCCACATTCCACAGGATGCCCGGTGTCCCGTGGGTGACGCCAAGAAGCCGAAGAATGATGCATGGATCGCGGTAGACCTGAACCGGGACTCCTTCATGGCCAGAGTTCTCGGACATCAGCTGCGGCCGTGGAAGCAATTCGCCATCTGGCAGCTGCGATCCGCGCTCGAGTGGCCCCATGTAAACCCTCGTCTCGTCGATCACCATCTTGCTATCGTGCGTGAATGGATTTTCCATGCGGGCTACGAGCTGTATCGCCAGCGATACGAAGGCGTTCTCGAACCGGATGAGGTCCGTCGCACACAGCCGGGGCCCCTCTACCGTGGTAGGGCGGATATCCCCCGCGAGCGGTGGATCTTCTGGAAAGAACGCATTGCGGAGCTCGCGAAATTCGCCTCCGATGACTTTCAGAAGACCGCGGCGGCCCTGGTGGATCGGATGAACAAAATTGAGGAGGATCTGCATGATACCCCATTGTCGCAAAAGACAAACTTGTGTTATTGATGCGACCATGAGACTTTAAGTTGATATTCACTTCTTTGGTATTTGATTTACAATATTACGCCCCTGAGGCAGTTTCAACATCTACCTTATGATTCCTTTGTCCGAACCTTCTTGAAACTTAGGAAGCACATTATGCTATTTATTTGTACTATGCGTGCGTGCGCACACACAGAGAGCAGCTGGCTTTCTTTGAGTTCTCTGGTGTGTACCCCTGACTCGCCGCTTTGGTCGCGGCTACCACGACCCCGAGTAAAACGTAAACCACACGACAGGGAAGAATAGTAACTTGCTATTGGCAGAGTTCCAAGTAGAGAGAATGCTACTGCTAGAATTCGTGGCTCTTTGGGTAAGTCATTGGTCGCCTCGCTTTTTTCCCAGACCCAGGGCCTCCACGATGAAGGCCAGATCCAACGCATGGCCAGGGAAAGGGAGCCGCCTGTCCCCCCAACTGCTCCACTGCTGGCCACGTTCTGTTTTCTTTCTCATACAACTGGGCACGTGTATTATAGCTCTGCAATTGGTCTTTCAGGCGCTCTTGAATTCGCTAGAGAGAACAATCCTTAAGATGACGATTTTCTTCCTTTATTTTCCTCCCTCTCTGCTTTGAAACCCAGAGCACAGTACAGTTAGGGCTAATGAGCGAACTACTAGCACATACAGCCGGAACCACCAAAGTCTTCTCAGCCCGAATGCTATGAAAGAGCTCCTTGATGAACCTCCCAGTTGTGCCTCGCAGACGCATACCCCAAAGTCGCTCATCGCGAACATCCTCAGGCCAGTAAGCCTCGAAGACTAGTAAGTAGTATTTGCTGTATCCAGAATCAATGCAGATTGCTGTTAGAGAGACATTTTCCAGCTACACAACACAGCCTCCTTTTTTTTGCGGCGGAAGTATTGTACTGCACGCCACGTTGAGTACACACTCTCCTCTCGACAGACGAAGCAATAATATCCCCAAGCCTCCCCCACCACGCCAAACATCAAATCTTTGATATCATGGATGCGATTTATTTAGAGAAAGAGCTGACGTTTAACACGCTTAGTCGGTCGGGCTGCCCCGTCCCGGCCCCGGAGAGGCCTTCCCGAGTTTCCCATAACCATCGCCTCACGAAATCTTGGCCCACAATCCCGTTCCTGCCTACACAGTTCCCTTCTGGCCACGAAAGTCTAGAATCTAATCGCTCCGATCACCGAACCACGCCCCAATATCACACCTCGACCCAAGATCGAGGCTGATACGCTGCGGGACTTCCAAATCGGATACCCAGCTGCTCATAATCTGGAGCCTGAACATTAGGGGCTTGCCTTCCGCATTGGTGGTCTTCACCGGAGTCTTGCATGGTGTCTCAATGCCTGACATTACACTCGCGCGACTTCCTTAGCTGGAGTCGGACGCAAGGCTGCCCAGCATTGACTATCAGGTTCAGTGGGCTGTCAATTTGGGGCAAAGTTAGTCGTCGAGTTCAGGGGCTTAGGGTTAACGGCCCAGCGATTCGACATCCACATTCTTTCCACGTGCGACCACGACACCGTCGCAGGGATGTCGTTGCGTTCAATCATGATTGTTGCACCAGGGGGAAATTGAGAACCTTGAGATTCTGCAGGGATTCAAGGTAGCTTTCACGAGCGAGACAATTTCGGTCCACAATTCGAGATGACAATGCACCACATGGAGATTAGTACAAGGTCTGTGTGAGGAATAGAGTCTGATGCAGCAATCACTGAATTTTGACCAGGAACATTACTATGACAGGCCAGACCAAGCACGTCAATTGGGCCGAAGAATGTGATTGTCTGATGTCAAACTCACGAAATGATCCACCTGCGGACCAGTCATGCTTGCGTATCGGTGATCCGGGAATTCGATACTCGTACGTATGAGTACATCAGTAAGTTGAGGCCTAAGTCCCACAAAAGTCAAGTCAATTGGTCCAGACAGAGATGACAGGATCCACAATTGATTGCGGAGATGCGGAGCCATTTCCCGGGCCGAGGGGTATGAGGGGGTCATTGCGTTGCCGCAAAACAAGAATGCGCGCCCCCATTCCCACCTGTAAGGCATATGCCGCAAAGGTCATCATTCAACGAGCACCGATTATGGGAACATACTCGGCTGTTGCTGTCAGGGGTACACTGGACGATATCTGCAGACAAATAACACGCGAAAGACCCGACACAATCAAGCCCAAACAATGTTTTTCGTCCTGCATAATTAGCGCGGCCAGGTTGCGTGATTCCTCTCCCCACTACTGCGTAAACCAACCTTGCCCACAAATAGCAATCCTGCACATATCAACTCCTGCATCAAAAGTCGATGCATCAAAAAAAAATAGCACCGACGCCTGGCTACAGAAGTTGAAGGCACCTGTCCATTTATTCAATCCCCACCAACGCTTTTACTCATAAATTTCCTATCAGCGACCGGGGAACCGCTTCCTATAAGATATGCCGACATCGCCAGACCTGGGCTGTAGCGGTTCCCGCAAAGCCCGCCAACCGCTGCGTCTTCGCTTTTCTCGATCCTTCCGAATGGTCCACGACTACAGTGGCAGCGCCTCCATGCCATGGCGGGCACCACAGCGTACGACCAAGAGAACAAAGGCCCGGCCCTGCTGGCGGTGATGTGGACCCTGACGAGCCTTGCGACCGTGTTGGTCTGCGCGCGCCTGGTGATCCGCACGAAGATCATCCGTGCCTTCGGGCTGGACGACTGGCTGATCGCTTCTTCAATGGTGAGTCCATTATCTCATTTATATCGATAACTCACCCGTTGACCCAATCAATTTCCCAGGTCTTAGGGCTATGCAACGTCAGCCTCGCAACCGTCGCCGTCACCCAAGGCCTCGGCAAGCACGCTTCCGCAATCGGCCCCTCCGCCGCCGAACGAGCGAACCTGACCATCTATCTCGGCTGGATCTTCGGGATCCTCGCCTTCGCGCTGCCCAAATTAGGCGTGGCCGCCCTGCTGCACCGGATCTTGGTTCCTGGGATCCGCATGCGGTGTGCGCTCTGGGGGCTGACAGGGATGGTGATGGCCGTCGCGGTGGTGAATATTTTGGTGCTGTTTACTCAGTGTGACCCGCCGCGCGCGCTGTGGGCGACGGTCGAGGGGGCAACATGTCGCAGTTCGAGGGTTATAATCGGGGTTGCCACGTTTAATGGAGGTGAGTCTGCTTTCCTTCTCCCCGATGGTTACTGAAGTTCAGTATTTGCTGTGAGGGCACTAACAACGTGGCAGCATTATCAGCGTTCACCGACCTCAGCCTCGCGATCTACCCGAGCGTGATCCTGTGGAGATTACAGATGTCTCTGCATAAGAAACTCGCCCTGTGCGCGGCGTTGGGGCTGGGCGCTATGTTCGTCATCCTTCCCTTCAATCCTGTGACAATGCAGCCCTAACTGGTCCGCATAGCTCCGCCTGCGCCGCCATCATCAAAACCACCCACCTCGACGCCCTCGGTGACGTTGCTGACTCAACATGTATGCTTGCCCCAACCTGCTCTGCCCTGTCCTGCCCTTGTTCCCTCACCTCTCTCTCCACCACAACTCTCACCCCCGGCTAACCTAAAAACAGACGAAAGCTGCCCCCTCGTCCTCTGGACCAAGTGCGTCCCCCTCCGGCACCCGCATACCCAATCCAACCTTACTCCCTGCCAATCCGCCTACTTGACAAGTGTGTAGACTAACACCAGCAAAAGCGCAGAAGCCAACCTCGTGATCATCGCCTCCTGCATCCCCACCCTCCAGCCCCTCCTGGAATTCATCCTGGGCAAACGCTCCACCACCTGCCGGTCCTACAGTCTCCCGCGCTCGTATCCGACCCCCGTGCCTTCGTATGGGCCCGGATCCGCGAGAAAGGGGCGCCATCAGTTGACAGATGGAAGTGGTACACGAACAGACAGCCAAGAGGAGATTTGGTCCGGGGATGAGGAGGTGGAGACGGTGCAACCGGGGCGGGGGCGGGGACGGGGCAGGAAGTGGGAGATCCATCGGACGGATCAAATTGTGGTCGAGTTTGAGATGGGGGGCGGGCGGGGACGGTAGGTTGATTGATAGAGAAAAAAAGTGATGCGTTTGTTTGGGTGGGAGGTTGGAGCAATCGAATGGTGTTTGTGGTGGTTTTGGAGTTAGGTCTTGAGGTCGATAAATGGGGTAATTGCTTGCTTGTGTACGGATCTATCGAGTTTGTGTTACGAGAGGTAACAAGATAAAAGCTGTGCATTCAGTAGAGCTTATCAAGGGCAGCGGGGATACTTCCTGATCGGGTAAGTTGGTCCCCGCATGCAACCGCGTTCAAGAGGTACGCGCGGTGGCTGCGGGATATGTATGCATGTATGGCATGGGTGCAGTTGATGTGTCGATTGCCACTCGTACTAGCGCGGTAGCAGTACCCCGCAGGAATTGACTATATAGAGATGTCTACTGTGTAATGTTGCTGAGCAAGACAGATTTGCTTGTGTGAAGATGATGCAATTTATTTGAATAGTTTCATACCCCGAGCATGGGCTAAGAGGAACCTAGTACTTCTCAGTTCGGGGTCCAGATTAAGTGGAAATCTTCGAATCAATCATCGCCTTTCAAGACCACTAAGACTTGTTGCATACTTCCACAGGTCCCGACACAACACCAAGGTGTCAGATAGGTCTAAAGCTTGGACGAAGCCACCGAAGTTATTTGATGTGCTCAGACCCGATTCCCTGAGACATGGACGAAAGTGCTTTGACTTCAGTGTAGCAGTCCACTATCACTGAAACACTCTCCCGTAACCCTAACCCCATAACTTACTTCCACCCCACCCTCCAAAAACCCACCCTCCCCACCCAACAGGACTCAACTTCCTCCACCCTGACCCTGTCCCCCCAACAACACCTCATAAATACTGCAAAACTCACGCCAAGCTCCCCCGTACCAACGGTACCAAATACTCCAAATTATACGCCCACAGATAATTCGACAGCTGATTGCCGAACGCCGCGCCCGTCCAATACGTCGACCGATGGCCCTGCAGCGCATACTGCCTCTGGATGAACCCGTCCCGCAGATTCTCGGCGGTGGTCCGCATATCCATCGCCCCGTGGTTCGACCACGCATGGATTTCCATGTCCGTTACGTTGGAGACTGAAGCGGAAAGCGTCCCCGCGGCGGTTAGAAGGCGGATCCCTTCGTTGGCGAGGGCCTGCGCAGCGGTCTCGCTGAATCCCAGCCAGCCGACGACGATGACTTGCCAAAGGTTTTCGCCGAGGTACTATTTTTTGAATAAGTTATTGGGGTTAGGTTTCTCAAGTTGCAACATGGATGGGATGTGAAGGGAGGAAACTCACCTCAAAGTAATCGACGAAGGGCGGCTCGGGCAGCGCGTAGTCGTTGCCATCGACCGCTGTGGCGGGGAGGTTGTAGATGACACCGTTGACTGGTAGTGCCGGGTGGGAGATGATTCCCGTGTGGACGACGCTCCATTTTCCTTGGTCGAAGATGCTCTTCTCGGTGGTGTCCAGGTCGAAGTGGGCGGTGTTGGCGGCTGTAGGCTCGATAGCCATTACGAGTCGCTTGGCGCGGATGATAGTGTGGGATTGGGTGCTGTGGTTCTGCACGACCAGCTCAACGCCGCGGTTGTTGGAGTGCCGGATGGACTCGATCACCGTGCTGTTCAGCAGGACGGACTCGCCCAGGAGGGCGGCGACCGCGTCGTAGATGTCCTGGTTGCGGTGGGAGGCGGGGACGTACTCCGGGTCCTGACCTAGAAAGGCGGCGGCGGTTTGGGGCCCGAAGGTCTGCATTTGGTAGAGGGTGGGTGCGTCGAGCATGTCCGCTCGACCGGCGCCGATGCCCGACCAGATGAGCTAGCCGGGACGATGGTTAGGGGGTTCGTCAGTGGGGAAAGGTTGGTGGTGGGCTTACGAAGATGGTGGCGTTTAGGTTGTACTTGGCGGCGAAGTCGCGGAAGGGCATTAGCAGGTCCTCGGGGATGTCTTCGGGCGCGGGCCAGTTGGCGTAGGATGGGAGGAAGAGATCCTGGTATTGGCTGGAGACATTGTAGAATGTTTCCAGGGCGGCGAACTCGTCGGTGATGTTGGGAGCGAGGTAGCTCACGGGCTTGCCGGTGGTGAAGTCGGCGTAGGTAGTGGTCAGGGTGGTGCTGTCCAGGTCGGGCTCCACGTAGTCGATGCCGAGCCGGTCGAAGAACGCGGTCGTGCCGGTGTAGTTCGTGTATGCCGCTACGCCGTCTAATGCAACGTGCTGTCAGCATCGTGTAACGGAGCGGTGGCTAATGGTTTTACTTACAGTCGTAAGTGGTGTTGGTTGCGGGATTTGTCCAGCTGTTGACCATTCCGCCCTGTAGGGTGAGAGGCGCAGTAATTAGAACATGGTCCATAAACGAAGAGGGGCGTTATACTAGTTGACCCTGCTTCTCGACGACCCTGAGCGAGAGACCGGCATCATGGAAGTGGACAGCCGCATTGGCTCCAGAGGCTCCACCACCGACGATCACCACGTCCACTGTCTCGACAGCTGCATCGGGGTAGCGGGCTTCAAGGGTTGAGTTAGATGCTAGGGATGCAGCACAACATGCTCCAATCGAGGCTAGCGCGACAAAAAGTGAGTTGGAGGGAGACATCCTAGGTGAAAGTTCTGGAGCGGGTAGAGGTTCAGCAAAATTCAACCCGGTTGAGTGAAAGCGAGGGATGGGCTTTTATTTCGAGGACTGAGACTAGTGTGAGAACCGACAGCCAACTACTGCAGGAGCGGAATGCCCTGCGCAATTTGACAAATGAGTTGTGTATAAATGAAACGATTGGAGACAGTTCACCAATCATTGTCCCAGTATAAATGAGCACCGAAACATCTATACCCAACTTAGCTACCGTGGCAGAGTAGTAGGGCTGAGCTAGAGCCAAGAAAGCTAAGCTATAACGTCCCCACCGCCAAGCCGGTCGACTGGAGCCGGGTTACCCGAGCTCAACAGCTGTCATTGCCGAACAAGTTCAGGGGCGATGAATGCACTGGAATCGAGTCAGAATCTTGGAGCGACTTATTATTGACAAGAGCGACTGATTCTGCGATTCAATACCTTTGATCTAAATCCAGCATGCGAGTACACATAACTTAAGATCCTCCCTCCTACAATATTGATCCGGGATACATCCTGAATGCGTCTTCGGTAGCTTTCATGCCAGTCAGTTCGACTTGCGCTTCCGATCGAGCTCCCCCAGCTTTCCAAAAGCCCGCGTAATTTCCACAGCACTTTGATACGCATAATCTGCGAGATATTAGCAATAGCCCCACAGCCCACACCGCAGAACATCAAGACAATACTCACAAGACCCCACAGCAATCCAAATGAAGTTCATGAAGAAATAGTAAAACCAGAAATAATAGCCCTCGGGCCGACAGAACTCCATCCCATGGTAGTAGAAGTCGAACAGGCTCGTCGCATAGTACAGCACATCGCCGTAGACCTGTCCCAGCGACATGGTGAGCTGCAGGGCGTGGCGAGCGGGGTGCTGGGCGGCGATGCAATAGGCGATGAAGAATGCGAGCGGGCCCCAGCAGAACTGCAAGACTTATCAGCTTCTCTGGCTCCATGCGTGCAGTCTGGATAGGGATGGCAGGACGCACGGCGGTGACGGCCTCCATGGACACCAGGAATGCGTCCGACGTCAGATACCGCGAATCAGAGAGTGAGTACTCCTTCCATAGCTGGCCGAAGAGGTCCTGCGAGCTGGCGAGGGATTGATGGTTGATGACGAAGTAGGCTTCGAAGAAGAGGTGGATGGATCCCGCTGCACAGGGCTTACGTGCTTAGCATGGGGTGTCTGACTGAAATGTTCGTCGAGGCGAGGACAGGGTACATACTCAGGCACATCCATACAAATGCAGATTGGTCTGATCGACTCGCGGTAGGTCGTGCGCGGTGGATGATAGTCAGAGCGACTCCAAGTACCGCAATCCAAAGGATACCAAATTGGGCAATTAGCAAGAAGACTGGGGTTGTGTTGGTCGCATAGTGTGGTAGGTGTATCGTTGAAGGACAGTAATTGTGAGAGACTGGTGCGGTTTGGTTGGTCATCTTGGTCAAGCTTGCCGACTGAGTCAACAGGACTTTGAATCTATTGTACTCGACAGCTTGGTATATAGATCGCCGACAAGGATGGATATCTCGTCTTATAATAACTGATGCACGATTGGTGCAGGCTCGGATCCCGCGGAGCCCGCGGAGAACGCCAAGAGATCCGGATATCAAGGCTGCCAGATCAGACCACCAGATTTGACTTTATACCCCTGGAGATCCAAAACTTATTCAGTAGTTAGAAGCAAGGCTGCACACCCTCTGAAGCAATTATTATGACACTTTTTGTAGGCAACCATATCCGATTTGACAAGTACTACGCTAGCCTGTGTGAGAACCCTCCAAATGTCCTCCTCGTAAGGTACAGCGATTTGTGTAGTCTACTTTTCCTATTTCGAATATTGTCATCGCAGCTCCAACAGCACCACTTTAAACATCAAATCAATCCAATCATCATGCCTGTATTGACTCATACACTCCCAAGCCTGGTCACGAATGAAATCATCCCCGCACAAAGCTCGGGCCACCTACTCAGGGGCTGATCGTATTCGACGGCGGGTTTGCTCTGGCCCAGTCAAATTGGACCCAGTGTGACGAGCGTGTCGATGAGAGCTGTATGTCGGTGGGGAACTCCAAAGCCGTGCATCGGTTTGTCTGATGTAAATCCCCGCATTGGCTTATCCACAGTACTTCAACAGAAAAGGACTTACTTACCGGTTGACTGCTTGGGGCTGGGATTTTCACAGGAAAGGGAAAGCTGAAGACTGGGTTGGGACTTGAGTCAGGACTCCTTATTGTTTGGAGACTCTCTCGGGTTTAATTGAGGTACTACGAGTCAAGCTAACATAGATGCAGAACTTAGTTCTGAGTAAGTATGCGAGTACGTACAGGTATGCCATAGATGCAAAGGGAAGAAAGGACAAACTGGGTGCTTGGCACAAGAATTGATCACTTGTCGTCAACTTCATCCTCAAGCCCCTATTGGGCCACATGCATCGTGTGCGACCTGTCCAGCTGCCAAGTCTTGTAGACCTTGCCACGTCAACCCCGGTTGTTCTGACGCAAAGTATATATTCAAATGAACATCCCCCCGGCACAGTATCGTGATTGGAATTTGCGCGGTCGGACTTTGGCTTCAAACCGGTATAACACGCGCAGAAACACGAGACAGAATGGGCTACGACTATGTAATGGTGTAGGTTTTAACTTGCCATTCTTTCGTGCGTTGTCATATGCTAACCATGGCAGCCATGTTATCTACAACATCCCAGTGGCAGTCGGGCTTACCGCTGTCTTCTGGCCCTTCATGACGCGTCTGGACTGGGCGCGAATATTCACCATGGTCACTGTGCGCTACCTCATAATCTGGTGTCTTTGCTTTCGCAGCTTCTCTCCCCACCCACAGAATCTGACCATTGTGGATAGATAGCACTCACAGCCACGATTCCCTGGGATTCATACCTTGTGCGCCGCCGGATCTGGACTTACCCCCGGGAAGCCGTGACCGGCTACACATTGTGTTTCATTCCTCTGGAAGAGGTCTTCTTTTTTGTCATCCAGACATACAGCACCGGTATGCTGTACACCATACTCACCCGTCGATTGGTGTTCCCTGCCTTTGTACGACCAGCAGACATGACATCCTTTAGCGTGGGAACCCTTGTCCTGGCTTGGGCTGGTGCCATAGGTGTCAAATACCTCCTAGATGGCGGTCGGTACACCTACATGGGGTTGATTCTGGCTTGGGTTTGTCCGTTCCTGCTGTTTCAGTGGTAAGCTCTGCTGTTCCCAAACCTATGTCAACACGCCAGACCTGATGCGCGTACATCAAGGGTAATCGCCGGCCACTTCATATTAACTCTCCCTCGCCGCGAGATTCTTCTGTCCGTAATGCTCCCAACAGTTTTCTTGTGGACAGTGGACACGTTGTCAATGCGGCGAGGAATGTGGGTCATTGAGGGTGGCACCAAGCTGGGCTGGGAGGTGTGGAGAAATATGGATATCGAGTATGTGCTAGCCGTTGGGTCCTTTAACAGAAGTTCGCGATAATGACCCAGCGCTTAGAGAAGCCGTCTTCTTTCTCCTAACGAACGTGCTGATCGTGTTCGGGTTTGCCGCAATCGACTTTACCATAGCCCTAACCGATGGCAAGCTCGCTCAATCCAAGTCGAGTATCAACGGTGTTCCTTCCTACGGGCAAATATTCCGGAACTTTGTCTTCTCGCCACAGAAACTGGACCCCGACTTTGTGGCCCGCCTGAGCAAAGCAGTTCGATGCTTGGCTACCAGTAGTCAGAGTATGTACATGGGCAGCAGTATGTTTCAGGGACCTCTGCGCATTGATCTTATTTTCCTGTAAGGAATCTCTGACCTCTATAAACCTCGAAATCACCCGCTGAAAAGAGCCTCAGATATTATTTCTGTCGGGTGGCCGACGACCTGATCGACAACGCTCCAGACCGAATTACAGCAGTGACAGCCATCAAGAATTGCAGAACACAGCTAGCCCGTCGGTTCTCACCAGGCTGGGAACATCAGGGGGAACCTAAGCTTTCGGAGCTGAGTGAAGCCATAGCGGCTCTCCCCGCCTCCCGACTGCGCCTGTCGCCTCTCCAAGGTCTCCTGGAGGGGTTCCGCACCGATATCAAGTTCGGCCGCGAGAGCAGTGTTTTCCCCATCAACTCCGAAGAGGATCTAGACCAATATGCCTATCACGTCGCAGGCACCGTGGCGGCCAGCGTGTTGGACCTCGTGTTCCACCACTTCCCACATCATGCGTCGGCGAACCATGCCACTACGCGGCGAATGGTGATTGCGGCCGGCGAGAAGATGGGCCAAGGTCTTCAGTTGGTCAATATCGCGCGCGACATCGACCGGGACGCGCGGATTGGTCGGGTCTATCTTCCCACGGCCTGGCTCAAGCACGAGGGCATCACCCCGCCCGACGTGCTCCACAATCCAGATAGTGCTCCCGTGGAACGGTTGAGGAGACGCCTTCTCCTCAAGGCACAAAAGCTGCATGACGAGGCAGTCGGCGCCCTAGCATTCCTGCCCCCCGTGGTGCAGGGCCCTCTACGGACGACCATCGCAAGTTACATGGCGATCGGCGCGGCACTTCAGCGCGGAAATAGCGCGCCTCCGGGTGAGAAACTGCGGCTTCCCTTGTTACGCCGTGCGACGATTGCCTTTCGCGCCATGTCGACAAAGCTTTAGGGTTGACGGCTTGGCTAACGGCGTTTATCACCTGTAAAGCATCGCTCACCGCTTAGACCCTGGTAGTTGTGAGATATAGCAAAGAACAAGTTTTGAGGGGGCATTTTACTCGATGACTGAACAGGAACCTTGCGTATGATCGAAGGAAAACCATTAGTCCTATCCTCGTCTACCGATTGATTTGATTTTTAAAGGACTTAACTGTCCGGCGCGCAGTAATTCCCCTACCTGCAGTACAGAGCCTGGACAAGTGATTCCACGTAGCCAGGACAGATATGCGTAAGGGGATGGGGGAGGGGCTCGCTACGCATTTCTAACCGCCATGTGAAGCCGATCCGGCAAGAAAATATCACCACGCACACCCGAGTCACATAGCTAAGCCCTTCCGGGTATTGCCTGCAGAAGGACGCTATTCTGGCGATGGACACTGCATGCGTGATGGCTCAGACCTTCCGGGTTCTTGAGACCATTCGGGCAAGTACTCCTGGTCACACGCAGCCTTGTACTTCATCACTAAACTCCAAACGTCGTGGGGCTGCATGTGCCGTGTCGTACGCACTGTACACTCGAATACGTCACGAATGGACATATAGTACACTACATACAATTATACAACAAGCCGTGAAGCGTCGGTGTGACTGTAGGTCGCCAGACGTCGTTATACTCCTCTCCGAGACCACTCTGCTGACAGACATCTGCTTTTTGTGTCACAAAAGAAAATCACTCTGGAATCTGTATACCACCGAGCTGAGTGCACATTCTTAGCGTCAATTGCCTATTTGGAGAGCCTAATTATTATGCCATTGCAGTCATATCATCTCCACGTGAGCTTAGGTACTTTTCTTTAACGTGGAAGACTGCTGAATATTGACGGTATGTCTAAAATCTCCAGACTCATTCTGGCTTATTTCCAGGAGATGTGACGGTGAAGCTATCGCCACTCATTTGTATACCCATGATACGGAAGCTATCTACCAGTTGACTTGCTATAGCCCTAACTCCAATCCCAAATAGCAATTCAGGTACCACACATTTTCCTATCGTCACTGATCATGACTATGAAAAGGCCATCCGTTGTTATAGTCGGTATGTTAATTGTCAGAACTCTTTCTTCCACCATATTTAACACACGCTCACTAGGAGCCGGCACCGGCGGCATTGCAACAGCCGCTCGACTTGCTCGCGATGGATTGAAGGTGACCGTTCTCGAGCAGCACGATTTTCTGGGCGGCCGATGCTCGCTGCAGCATCGAGACGGATACGTGAGTTTCTCTCGTCCGAAGCTCTCCACTTCAGCTAACGATAACCACAGCGATTCGACCAAGGCCCCTCGCTGCTGCTAATGCGAGAGATCTTCAGCGAGACCTTCCACGACCTCGGGACCTCTCTCGAAGCAGAGGGAGTAGAGCTACTGCAATGTGACCCCAACTACTGTATCTGGTTCGCCGACCACGATACCCTGGAGATGTCGTCGAATCTCTCGAAGCTGAAGCGCGAGGTTTCGCGCCTCGAAGGTCCTCAGGGCTTCTCCAGACTGCTGGATTTGCTGAAGGAGACGGGCCGCTACTATGATCTGACGGTGAAGTATGTCCTGCGCCGGCACTATCCGTCCTTGCGCGCCCTTCTCTGCCAGCCGAATGTCTTCCGGATGCTCCTAACCGTGCGTCCCTGGACAACCATGTACGGCCGAGCGCAGCACTATTTCACCAGCACCAAGATGCGGCAGGCCTGGACCTTCGCCTCGATGTATATGGGCATGAGCCCGTACGAGGCGCCGGGGACTTATGCGCTGCTGCAGTACTCGGAGACGGTCGACGGGATCTGGTATCCGCGCGGCGGATTTCAGCGGGTGAGTTGAGTTGAATTGAGTCTTGTCGTCGCGTTTCGAGACTGTCTATCCTAAAGCTTGATGCTCATGTTCACTTGTTCACGAACTTTTTACCCAACGAATAATCAGACCTCCCTGGAATATTTGTCTCCCCTCTCATTCGAAGGTCAATCCACTAAGCCAAAGACTGACCAGGTCCTCCAAGCGCTTGCCGACATCGGCCAAACCCAGGGGGTCGAATACCGGCTACGCAGCCCAGTGGCCCGCGTTCTCCTCTCCGACGACCAGCGCACTGCGCGGGGCGTGCGCCTGCACTCAGGCGAAGAGATCCTGGCCGACGTCGTCATCGTCAACGCGGACCTCGTCTACGCCTACACCCACCTCCTCCCGCCCTGCCCGTATGCCGCCGCGCTCACGCAACGCCCCACCTCCTGCAGCAGCATCTCCTTCTTCTGGGCGGTGGACACGCCGCTGCCCCAACTTCGCCCGCACAACATCTTCCTGGCGGAGCACTACCGCGAGAGCTTCGACGCGATCTTCATCGACCACAGCATCCCCGCCGACCCGTCCTTTTACGTCAACGTCCCCAGCCGGATCGATCCCTCCGCCGCACCGGAGGGCAAGGAAGCGCTGGTCGTGCTGGTTCCGGTGGGCAGTCTGCGTTGCTCCGGAGAAGGAACTGACTGGGAGGATAAGTGGGGGGAGGAGATCGTCGCACATACCCGCGAGCTGGTCCTGCGCACCATCGAGTCGCGTACGGGGATCCGGAACCTCAAGTCCCGTATCCTGCACGAGACGTACGAGACCCCGCTAACGTGGCGGACCAAGTTCAATCTCGATCGCGGCGCGATCCTGGGGCTGTCGCACTCCTTCGGCAATATGTTGAATTTCCGGCCTGCGATGAAGCACGCGAGCATCGACGGGTTGTACTTCGTTGGCGCGAGTACGCAGCCTGGAACAGGCGTGCCGATCTGTCTTGCGGGAGCGAAGTTGGTTGCGGAGCTGGTCAAGCGGGATGTCGAGTCTGTGGGGAGCAGTGATAGAGATAGGGCTGCAGGGCGGGGTTTCTGGGGTATACTGTTGGGGATGCTTGGTATTGCTGTCGCGGGTCTTTTTGCGATGCAGCTTCAGTTTGGGCGAGGGGGCATGGGTTGCGGGTGGGTTGGATGACGGTTGGGTTTGGTGGGGTTTGAATGTGGTTCTTCTGTACTTAAATATAATGTAATGACGGTTTCAATGCTAATCATGCTCGAACCGTGCTGTCAGTGAGCTTGAGGTGGTATTTTCGCGTCGATTCGCAAAAGACGAAGATTTGAGCCGTGTTCAGACAGGAAATGTCTTGTTGAACCGTCCTCATCTAACCGCGGACCCTAATTCATATCCTCCAGTCGGCGCTGAGCATTGACGTAAATCTTCTCCTTCAACCAGGAGATTGACTCCTCAATCCCTTTCCCAGTCGCCGTAGAGATGGGACGAAAAGCCTGCCAGCTGTCAATCGTGTGTTCTACCACTAGCAACCGTCCGTCGGAGACAAAATGAAAAAGGAGTCCCACCCAATCAACACCCAACCCATCCAGCCCCAAGCAATCAACCTGCTCCTTTGCGATCCCCTCATCCTACACATACCCAACCCAACAAGCGATCAGCATTCACGCGAGCCAACATACCGCGGAAGGTCACAAACCACGGCACCCCCGTCAAAATTCACCAGCACCAGCCACGGGATGCCCTCGCCGGCACAACCAATCGTCTGCATCTCGCCGGACTCCATCCTCCCATGGACCAGACAGCCAACCTGGTACCGCAGCTCCTCCAGCGCGATCGCGTGGGCGGAGTTGACCACGATGATCAGGGCGTCTGCGTCCGCGTACCGCGCGGCAACGGCTGCCCGCCAGCGTAACCGGGCATCTAGCCCCACGTCCGCGGCGATAAAGCTTAGTTCGCGGGAGGGGCTGCTGCTTGTCCAGCCCGCGTGGCATCCGTGTACGGTTATAGGGGTGAGGGGGCTGTCGCTGACATGCTGGAGGAGGGCCCGTTTGCCGGCGTCGGGGAGGCCGAGGATGGCGACTTTGGGCAAGCTCAAGGGGCCTGCGGGAGGGGCGATCTGGTCGCCAAGAAATGTGCGGACCCGAGTTATCAAATCGAACATTGTCGGTATGTTGGCCTCCGACTTTTTTTCTATTCTACATTGTCAGTAGTGAAGGAGATTTTTAGATCATGTTGGGTTGATACGTTGCCTCCGATCGCGGCGCGGACGGATTATAGCCCCTGAATAGGTGGGTGGCCCGAGCTTTGTGCGGAGTGTTTTTATTTATTTTTTTTCCCAATCCAGTTGCAAAGCTATATATGCCAGTCAATGCACGGGGCATGATTACTGGAAGTGGAAAATTGATATTCGCTCCAGGCTAAATCCGACTACTCTCTGAACTGAAGATCGTGTCGGTCTGCGGAAATTGGTACTTTGTGGACCCATTATCCGGCCATAGTGAGGATGATTTCCGACCTACTGTATCATGGTCCTCTTGCTCGTCCGGTAGACATCGCAGCGGTACCAATCACCAGCCTTGACGGGTACGAAGTGATGATTTGGACGTTCCTACTAGACCATTCTGGGGACTCAGCTACGAATATACGATTGGGCACTAGAAAATAGGTTATAGAGTATCCTGTTGCGATGACAAAGGAAAGACATCAAGTGTTTCACGGGGACTGAATTCCCTGGAGGCATAGTCTGATATGGAGCGGCGGGAGGTGTAGCCAAGAGGGAAGCGACTCACGCAGGTGACCAGGGCGATGCCGCTGTTCAGATTGGTGCTTGACAGGGCCATTTTCACCAAGTCCAGGGGGTTTGTGAGAGAAGTGAGAGGACAGGAAACAAGTAAGACGAAGGAGAATAAAGATGGAGCGAGAAATGTTGAGGGGGTGGATGGGAGAATTAGGGCTAGATGGCTGGGGTTAGGTCAATCCACAAGTCACTACCGATGACTTTTTCGCCTTACAGGCCATATAAAGTATAGGTTGGCAAGGCATCGGGTCAGACTTTTTGAGTGAGCGTAGGAAAAAGTACGAGGGCATCCTAGATAAGCCTTACACCCCACTCCCTCCGCCGGTGGCGCTATTAAATCTGACCCAGACAGTGAAACATCTTCTGCTGTCGGCTGTCAAATAAGCACCAATGCTAAAAGCCTGCTCAACAAGCCCTGGTCTCCGATAGCAAAATTGCAGGTAGCTCAAGACGTCCCTCGCAACAGGATGTGCCATGAAAAGAAAAGTCCTCAGAGCAGCGGGTAATGCTCAACGAACTAATACCTACCACGTTGACTATGCTATACCGCTATTTCTACACTACTATAATATTGCACTTCATAAGCCATTCCAGAGTGATGGTACAGGTGCATGCGAGTCTCCTCCATTCCATGATCATCCACTCAAATTCTCAGTATAACCTGTACTCTAATCTACTGTACACTCGTCATGCATGAAGGAATGAGAACAACAAATACAACTTTACCCCATTTATATCCTCCCTCATCGCGAAGCTATTTCTTTCCCGATGCCGCAGCACTCCGATTATGCTGCATATGCGCGTTCACCAAGTGGCCGGCTGCCAGCGCCGAGCAAGTACTCAACTCGCCCGCCAGCACCGCAGCAGCAACAATCCGGGCCAAGCGGCGGGCATTCGCGCCCGGGTCGGTGGGATGGGCGCCGCGCACTCCCAGCAAATCCAGCATGGCACCTTGCGCCTCGAGAATCGTGCCGCCTCCGATCGTCCCGACTTCCATTGTGGGCATGGAGACGGCGATGTGCAGGTTGCCGTTTATACTGCGGTCGTTAGCATTCCCGGACAGTACATAATGATAATACAAAAAAAAGAGAGCATGCAAGCAAGCAAGATACCAGAGTAAGGAGAAACGTACTTCTTCATCGTAGTAATACAGCTACTACTCTCCACATTCTGGGCGGGATCCTGGCCGGTGGCCAGAAACACCGCCTGCACGAGGTTCGACGCATGGGCATTGAACCCTCCGATGCTGCCCGCCATCGCACTGCCCACAAGGTTCTTGGCCGTGTTGAGCTCGACCAACGCATCGACCTCCGTCTTCAGCACCCTCCGAACAGTATCCGCAGGAATGGTGGCCTCCGCGATGACCGACTTCCCGCGTCCGCCGATCCAATTCACCGCCGCAGATTTCTTGTCCGCACAAAAGTTCCCGGACAGGGTGATGGTTTGCATGTCCGGGAATCCGTGGGCGGTCATGGCGTGCAGCGCCGCCTCGACCCCTTTCGAGATCATGTTCATGCCCATCGCGTCGCCGGTGGTCGTCCGGAACCGGATGTACAGGTAGGTGCCGGCCTGCGCGACGGTTAGGGTTTGGAGGCGGGCGAAGCGGCTGGTCGCATTGAATGCAGAGGTCAACACTGCGTGGCCCGCCGGGGACTCGACCCAGCGCTGCGCTTCGGCGGCGCGCGAGGCCGAGGGGAACCCTAGACATGGGCCCCGCGTCATGCCGTCGCCCTTCAGCATGGTCTTAGCGCCGCCGCCTGCGTTGATGGCTTTGCAGCCGCGGCTGGCGCTGGCGACCAGCACGCCTTCTGTCGTGGCCATCGGGATGAAATACGCCTGTCCGTCAATGAGCATCGGCCCTGCGAGGCCCAGCGGGAGCGGCAGGTAGCCGATCACATTCTCGCAGCAGGCACCGTGCACGAGCTCGTAGTTGTAGTCACGGTAGGGGAGGAGAGAGTCCTGGACGCCCTGACTGAGGGATTCGGTTGACGGGGTTTGCGAGATGGCGGCGCGCCGGATGCGCACGGCGCGGGTGAAGGCTTCGAGTCTGGATGAGCCTGGGGCTATGTTTTCCAGGGTTTTTTCTAGGCTGTAGCCTGCAATTTTGCCGCGGAGGCAGAGAGTGACTAGTTCCTCGTCGGTTAGTGATTTCGCCTGGTCGGATTTAAGCAGAGCTTCCGTCTCTTCTGGACTGCGGGGTTGAGGGCCGGAGCTAGGGGCTACGGGATTCGTGGTAGAAGGTGCAGCGGACGCGTTTGCTGCGTCGGCAGCATGCCAGCGCGCGGCATGCATTAGGTGGCTGTTGAGGATGAGACTGACGACCAACGCGCCGATCAGACACAGTCGAGCCATTGGACTCTCGAGTCCTGTGAGAACCCCGTCAGCCCGTTTCGTTGCCGAGGAGGCAGCATGGAGTGTATATCGGATAGGAGGGAGCACCGTCACGCGCGTCTCGATGCCTGCCGCGCGGGCCGCCAGGTAGATATCATTGAGTCCGCTGGCGGCCACCTTGAACGGGCTGACGGCCGTCGGCATAAGCGAGGGGTTCGTCATAAAGCCTCCCAGGATGCGAAACGCAAATGACGAGAGTTGCAGCACGTTGACCAGCACGAAACCACTCACCATCATCGATTTCCAGCGCGCCACGTTCGCCGGCTTGACCTTGTATCCGAACATACGAGGGCCACGCCGCTCGTCCGCCTGGTGGAGTGTGTCTGGACACCGGATGCGCGTGATCTCCAGCTTGATGCAGAGGACGGTCGCGTAGAAAGTGAAGAGCAGGACGGCGTCGAAGAGCAGTGTCCACGCCGCCAGGAAGCAGAACTGGCCGAACCGGTCGTGTGGCCGCAGGGCCGCTCCCAGTGCGAGGGCTCCGATCTCCAGAAGGTATGAGCGGACGATCGACCAGCCTTGTGCATTGATGGCCGTCTGCATGGTGGTAGGGATCGAGTTGAGCTGACTGTCCTGCTGCCGTCCGCGAGCAGATCCCTTGGACGCACAGAGCACCGCACGGGTGAACCGGATGGGCTTCTCGAATCCCACCGTCAGCACCAAAAAGGGAATACCCTCTGAGAGCAGCAGCGCGTCTATCGGGACACCGCAGGTGGTCGTAACCCCGAGCCCCAGTACGAAGGCGAATGCCCCTGACAGTATGACGGAGCTTGCCAGCCAGACACGCGACCCCAGGTGACGCATCGCGCGGAACAGCGAGACTACGGTCATGTTCAAAGCCAAATATCCGAGCCCAATGATGATCATATCTACTGTTTCGGCGTGCTGGGCCCGGTGCAGGAACGATGGCCATGCGTTGCCGACCCAGCCGCCCAGCGAGAGGGGCTTGCGCTCTCCGCGGGGGCACTGGACCGCCCACGTTATATCTTCATCACCCGCTGCGATTACTTGAATATCTCCCAGAAATTTGCCCAATTGATTGTAAGGAACCTGATATGCCAGAGAAATCTCATCGAAGAAGGAGGTGAAGAAATTCGAAGTCGGGGAGATCGGCTCGGCTTCGACGGACTGGGACAAGATGGCGGGAGGGCTGCTCTCGGCGGGAACTTCTGGAAAGTTGAGTGTGACGAGGGCCCAGTGGTGGTCAACCTGTTCAGGAGAATTAAGAAAGGATCAGTTATCACGCGCAAGTTCCATAGAAGCAAAAGTGTCTGTCCTACCTGGCCATGACCGTTGGCTGCAGACACCTCGTTCTGCCATCTCCACGAGCTCTTCTCCCCGAGATGGAGACTACGGCTACCCCAGAGAAACGATCGAACGTCGAAAGGCGATATCTGCGACGTGTTCGCTGCTTGAAAAGCCCCCTCCAGCACCTGGAGATAAGTTGTTGCGGCGACAAGGGCAGTCACGAGCAGAGTATGAATGGGACGTCGACACGCGTGGCCTACCACTGCGCGCAATGCTTGGGTAACTCGGTACTGGACCCAGCCGGAATTGGGCTCTGCAGTCACCGATGCCATCGTTGTTGGATTCAGACAGACAAGATGGCGAATCTTGACATACCTTGTTGCAAGTACAGGTGCTCAGTGAACAGGAAAGTGGTGTGGGAAGAGGGAAAAGCTGGCAACGAGAAAAAGATCTCAAGACTCCTGGGAGATGAAATCACCAAATTGACACCGCTCCATGCGAGAATCCCAGACCATTCATGCCCTGTACCAACGGTCACTTTTCCTGGTGCCTGGAATTTAGGATGTCCGGCCGGGACAATAAGCACTAATGCGCCTCCGCTTGGTGGAGCCTGCCACCCAGATGCAGTAGATTGATAGGATGAAGCCAAGGATTACGTACTCGAAGTGGGTCTAAGCTAGTCAGAATATCAATCGACTGTTCATTGTGGCGCAGTTGAGATGGTCGGCCCAAGCCGTCAATGTAATTTGGGTCGTCCACAATCTCTTCCCCGGACCGCAGGCTCAGTACCCTTGATTGTTCTACCTTATTATTGTGAGACCAGGTTGTGTAGATAAGATATATCAACCACGCAACGTGAAAACACCACATACCTACTGTAAAATCTACGGAGTGCTCGCCTTGCCTACCAACAATCTCCAGTACATGGTGAAGATATATTTAATAATTCCGCTCCGCCTTGTAGCATCGCAAGAAGAGATTACCGAGGAGAGTAAAACAAACAATATGCATAGTCAGGTCAGTAGGATGTTACAACGCAGAAATTCAGAAGTCTGGAGCTTATTACTTTCAAAAGACGCCGGTCTAATTATATACACTTCTAGCTTCCGAGAGTCTCTCCATCGCAATCGTAATCTACTACGGCTACCCCCCAACAAGATAAGAGTCTCCTGAGTGGAACTCATCAATTGTGAACAATGCGCAGAATAACGAGAACAACTTTGATCCTCCATAGAGCTAGCACTATTCTGACAATCTGCGTATCGCAAGGTCAAAAGCTTCTATGCTTCCTTCCCGACGATCCCACCGCCTCATAGGGAGCAGCTTAATTCACCATGCTATTACTTGCCCGCTTCACTCCTTCGATGGGGAACCAGCGTCTAGATACTGACCTGGTTGCCATCTGCAGGAATCTCCGGAGACCCGAAGAGGATCGACCTCACTGAAGCTGCTGCGCTTCAATGGTTTTCGCATTCAAGCACAACGGGGATCAATCATTGCCGTGTATCGCGCGACTTACTGGACTCTGTGACTTGACTACCAGCCCGGGTGCAATTCTTCACGAGCTAACCTATAGCCATCGTCTGGAGGAATCCAGATTCTCAGCGATAAGTGTTATTTGGGACACGCTTGCGCGAAAACCGTTGGCCACGCTTTGGGAGGGATCTAGCGCCAGCAAGATGACGCATTTCTTTCTCTGTACTCGGGGAGAAGAGGCAGATAATTGATGCCCATGGACCACCGCCCCCTTATTCATCCCGGTGACTTTATACCAGCGCTCACGGCACTCCTTGTTGTTGCATACGACGAGGCCTTGCGAGATGACGCTCGGGCTGGTTGTTCTCTCATTCTTTTCGGCAAGGTGTAGCGGGAGACCTGGGGAATATCCCTGTCGATAAGAGACTGCTCTGAAGGGGGCGAACCACCCACTGGGCTGTGAGGCCTTATCGCGCAATATCTTGTCTTCATGGGGTGTTCAGTATCGTGGACCTCGCGGCGTCCTGATATAGATACTAATCCTCTAGCTGGGTGGAGTAGCATGGGAAAGAAACGAAAACAAAAGAACAAGGAATATTTTTTTACTAGGATTCCGTAGGCTGGGAGAGGAACGGGAATCAGGTTTACATCGACCTCAAGACAACACGGACTTGATGAAAACGTCACGATTTGAGTGAGAGTTCCAGGACAGAGTGAAATGATGGGCATGAGATTCCCTATCATTCCGTATGGCCAAATCAAGATCTTGACCTTACACGTCAGGGTATTCAGCTGCTGCGCTTGATGGTCTACGGCCACTTCTGATGAATCAATGACACTCGTTTTTTCGTTACTTCGGCATGAAACTGCTTTCCATTTGGGGTAGCTGTTCAGGGTTCGGTGCATCCAGTCGGATTCTAGCTGGTAGTCGGCGGGCGATCAGCTCCGAAGGGGATCCAGATCGGCCTTCATGAACTGACTGAGAACATCTTGAAGAGTTTAAACTTGTACACAGGACTGCTTGCAAGCCCCAAGATACACGACTACAAGATAGACCATACTGTCAGGAGATCCACCTACCACTTCGTACCTCGGCCCTTGGAAGGAACCCCCCAATAGCCCTAATGCGAGAAGGGGTGGCGCTCACGTGATCGAGAGGCCTGGGCGGGGTGGGGGTGGGGACGGTGGGTGGAGTTAGACGAGGCAACAAATGGCCTTCGACCATGACAGTCGAATCCTGGGCTAAATGAGGAGATCTCTCATATCTGTTCAGCAGTATGATACTTGCACTAGTAAGGTAGCAATGGCCACTCTGGGTCCTCTTGTTCCACTCAGTCTTATCCGAGAAGTCGAATCAGACGGCCTGGTGAGTACGCGAGCCCCCTCAATAATGGAGATTATTCAAACCCTAGTATTGCACTGGCATTTGTCGATAGAACCACCAATAGAATTGAAGGTAGTAACAGGCCGGTTGTTGTTTTTGGTAGAGCATCAAATAGCGCAAGCCGGATAACTAGTGGGACAGCTTCACAGCATTAATCTCAATGTGGAGACCTCCTTGCAATCGTTTGCTGTGATTAAAGGAAAAGTCTCACTATGCTCCACACACCCCTCTCACGCAGCATGCATCCGCACCCTGACCCCATTGGCAATGCAATTAGTCAAGGTCAGGTTATGCCGGAGGACCTCGCTCGCATCCAAAATCTCCACCCGATCGAACCGCTGCAGCAACCGCACCGTCACGTAGCTGGCTTCAGTGAGGGCGAACTGCTGGCCAATACAGATTCTCGGGCCGCCGTTGAACTGAACAGGAAGAAGTCTGGTTAGTGGATTGCTGTTCTGAGAAGTGTTTCTCGGGTAAAAGGGTCAGAACATACCGGCAAATACTCCCAGCCAACCTTCCTGCCCTCCCACCGCTCAGGCCGGAAGGCGTCCGCATCCGCGCCCCACAGATCCTTGCGGCGATGCATCACGTACACGCCGTAGTCGCACGTGGTTCCCTTGGGGACGAAGACGGGGGATTTCCCGTCCTTGCCGCCGCCGCAAGGCAGCGTGGTGTCCTTGTTGGCGTAGCGGGCGTTGAAGGGCACCACCGGGTGCAGGCGCAGGGCTTCGTCGTTCACATACCGTAAGTACTTGCAGTCCTTGAGTTTGGCGAAGGTGATCTCCTGCGGTTGGTCGTAGGGCCCGAAGTCGGCGAGGATGTTGTTGCGCAGTTTCTGGTAGCGCTCGGGGTCGCGGGAGAGTTCGTAAAATACTATGATTGGTGGGTTAGGGGTTGGTTCGTAAATCTCTTCATCCAAGGGTCCGGAGGAAAGGAGGTGACAGTAGCACTGCTACTTAGACGATGCTTACCCCAGCCAAGATGCGAGGCGGTTGTGTCCCGGCCCGCCAGCAACAGATTCAGCAGTTGATAGCGCAGCTCCAGCGGGTCCTGCGTTTCCGCCGCCAGGGCCTCGAGAAAGACATACGGCTCGTTTTGGGAGAGCTGCTCCTTCGCGCGGAGGTTCTTGGAGAGGGCGAGGCGCACGAAATGGTCGACGAACTCGTGGACCACGCCGCACGCCTGCCGGAATTCCCGCGAGTCGTAGAGCCAGTATTGGTCCATGAACCGGAGGCGGGTGGCGAGCGCCGACTGAGCGGCATCGAACGCGCGCGCGAACTTGGCCTCCCCACTCTCCTCGCTCTTGTCATCCTCGTCGGTCTGCCGGAGAGACTGCAGCTGGCTGTCGACGGACTCCCCAAAGAGAAATTGGGTGGCCGAGTCCAGCGTCAGGCGGAAGAAATAGGGGAGGAGGTCTACTTTCTCGATCCAGCCGTCGGTCTTGATCGATGGCTCCAGTGCTCGCATCATGTTCTGCACATGGGTCTCCTCCAGGTCCAGGTCACTCACTTGGTCCCTGGTGAATTGCGGTCGCATGATGGCCTACACTCCGTGAGTATAAGTCATAGCATGGAAGAGGGTGCTGGCTTAGCAGAGCAACATACCCGGGAATGTTTCCAGTATGCTCCGTCAGAAGTGAAAATGCCATCGCCCAGCATGGGGAAGAAATTGCCTCGTCTCGTGGGTCCAAGATCTGCATGATCAGTATAACAAGCCTAAAATTGTCCATGGATGCATAGTCACCGAAGTCATTAAACTGGGTTGCTAAAATTGCTTGGATGTTCTTAGGGTCTGCCGTCCGAAGGTTCTTCGAGCCTGTGGTGGGAGCGCGTGAGTAACGGTATACATCGCCGAGAGGACAGCTCAAAGTGAGCTTTGTAGGCATCACCTACCCAGAACATTGTAGCGGTAGGTATATGTCCCGAGCTCCTGGAAGCGCTGGAGCACATCCGCGGGGAATTGTTGGGCTCGATCGGCTTCGAGGGAGCGTCGCACACTATCGATTCCGAAGGGCCAGCGGTTCTTTTCGACTGGAGGCTCTTCGCAGCCAAGGTCACGCGCTTTTGCCACGTTGCGGCGGGCAGTGAGGAATGATGAGATCAAGCGGAAGACAACATAGATGATGGCGACCCAGGGGAGGGCATCGATTACGGTTCTTAGTTTCATTATGTTAGCGATGACAGGTGAGATGGTTCGGTGTAGGCGCTGCAAAGTTTACACCTGAGCGAGGACAGTGTGGACTGGAAGAGAGAAAAGAGAGGTAGGGAGGTAGGGAGAGAGACAGACGGTGGGAATGATCGACAGTGAATGTAGTAAATGCACACTGAATCTGTAATGCCCCGCTCCATGGCCTCAGCTGCGTATTTCATATATTTCAATCAGAAATACTATAGCGGGATGAATCCTTCCGGGCGGGGCGGCGTTAGCGTGCTTATACTTATCAGCCCCAGCGCCGGGCGGGCACTGGATGAAAGTCTTCCACACAATGGCTATGTGCTCATGGCCCAGGATGAGGATAATCAATGATTAATGTTTTTTTCCCCAAAGGAAGCCTCGAAGAGAGCCCCAAAGGGGCTCCAGCGGGGGTTTTCTCTCGACCCGGTCCCTTGCTTGCACTCATACAATATATTGTAGGAGAAGCGCCAGAGCCAATAAATCCCCTAGTCAACACACAAGACCCACCATTAGCTTACGCTCTGACTTCTAATCACCTGATGACTGGGACTGCTTGAGGTTGTATCCATTCCTGTACGTGACGTAATGTGATGCAGCTCCCCCGTGGGTGATTATTATTTCTAGAAAGTCTCCGTGTCACACGTTATATACAGGCCGTTGGTGAAGATGACTGACTACTGGGCCAGATTCGTGACAGTGGCTTGAGTAGCAGGATTAGGTCGCTGGACTTATTACATTTATAAGGCTGAATAAAACCCTACAGTGCATTTTTCAAAAAAAGGAGATCACTGCACTGTCCGGAGCACATTTGGTCCGAATTCTCTCCTATTTGCTCTGCGGCCGACATGAACACAAACAGCAAAGCGGAGAATATAATCATAGGACACCTTCATTCTGCATCTTACCACGGGATACCAATTCTTCTCTCAAGTTTTCGCTCAGCATTGGAATTGACTTTCTTTTTCAGCCAGCGAGTTAAAATTACTCTTCTTTGTAGCGTTATGAGGTATCATGGCCAGTTGGCTGGGCCGGCCAGACGGGCGTTCGGGCCCGTGGGACCGGTTTATGGGTGGACTCAACTTGTATAAGACGGACACTGCTAGTGACATACATCCAACTCAACCTCTCAGAATCAACCTAAGTTAATTCCAGACCATCGATCATGACTGGGCACGGCTATATCGAGCAGCTGACTCCGCTGGACCTGGCCACGCCAAACACCTACATTCGGGTCCTTCTGGCATTCCCCGGACCCGAGGCAGACTCAACCCTAAACACTGTGTACACCCTCCAGAACGGTCTCGAGCAACTGTCTAGAAGAACTCTCTGGTTGTCAGGACGAATCTTCCCCACCACTGACGTCTCTAGCCGACCATCCATTGAGATGCGATCGCACACAGGAGACACCCCAACGCTGGAGGACAAGGGCGCACTGCAGCAGCCTATGCGGCTGTGTCTGCGCAAAACATGCCTCCAGAAGCTAGTCCGGGGTATGTCTGGCCTGTACCAGCCATGCTTTCTGGGGATATGGAGCACGGTATTCCCGTCTTCGCCGCTGGCGTCTTCCGCTTCATCGACCGCGGCATAGGGCTGTGCATCTGCCTGCATCACCACGCTGTCGACGCCACCGGGTTCGCCGAGGTCATCCGATTGTGGGCGCAAGCCACCACTACCCCCACAACCACCGGGGATGCGCTGCCCCCCGACCTTCCCCAGTCTAGTCGACAAATCCAGCTGTGTCACGCCCTCGCCCCGACTATCCAAGCCCTCACCTCATCACAGTCCCCAAACAAAAAGACCCTCCTCTCCCTCCAACCCGAATTCTCCACAACCCCGCCCTCTCTACCCCAGGATATCGGACCCTGCACCTTCAAACTCTTCACCCTGAGCCTCCACCACCTCCGCACCCTCCGCACCCTGTGCCAGAAATAGACCTCCCGAAATCTCACTATCGACACCCTCCTCACCGCCCTCCTCTGGACAACAATCACCCGCGTCCGCACCCACCACACCCCAACCCTCCCCACCCAGAACAGCAATAGCACCCTCACAGCAGCCGTCAACGGCCGCAACCGCCTTCCCATCCTCGCACCAGGGTATTCGGGGAATCTCGTCCTCTACGCCACAGCTCGGTACGCTGCTCCCGTGCTGGCTACCGCGGATACGGACCCCGTGCGGGAGCTAGCTGGCATCTGCGATTGTATTACGCAGTCGCAGGCTCCGGCGCAGACTGGGGGGCAGTTTATTGCTGAGGTGTGTCGCCTTGTTGGGGGAATGAATTATCGGGGGCTGTATTCCGGATGGGAGGTCTCGGGGGTAGGATGTGACGGTTACGAGTTGGGTGCGGACGGGGATTTATAAGAGGGAGTTTGGGGGCGGGCTTGAGAAGATTGGGTTTCTGAGAATGCCGGTTGTGGAGGGGGCGAATGGAACTGTGGTTGTTTTGCCTAGAAGACGGGGTAATAAGGGTCAAGAGAAAGAGATGGTGGTGGTGGAGGTAGTGGTTATGTTGAGGGAGGAGGATATGCGGGCATTGGAGGGGGGTGAGATGTGGGGGGTTGTTTGTGGGTTGTAGGTGTGACCTGTTATCTCGTTTTGAGTTTATTATAGGGCATTAATTATAAAGAAGTAGAGTATGGATTATTCCAGTTCTGGGGAATGGGATATGCTGCTTTACTATAAGGGATTGAATTGGATACACACAGCCTGGCAGCGGGTGGGAAGGCAACTACAGACTATGTGATTTTATATTACAGTGGAAGGCACCGAACATGATAACTAGATCACCACTGGAATCAGACCCTGAGGGTTAGCCCCCCTAAAAACTCAACCCAATTCTCCAAGAACGGCTGCTCACCCATCCACTCACATAACTACCCCTGATTCGAAATCAACATCCCCGAGAACCTCCTCAAAGCTCGTCGCCGGGACTCCGGCGCCCCGGATCTTGCCGAGTCCGCCAGGCCCACCAAGCCCTACACCACCAAGGCCTTGGCGTCCGGGCCGACCTCTACATCAAATCAGTCAATCGTATTTGAGGGGGTAGGTATGCCACTGCCACTTTCCCCTTGGAATAAATCTACTTTCTGTTGCACAACAAGCATGTCGGTTAGTTCACTCTCTCCCTCAACCAGATATCTCACCCACCAGGTATCTCTCCCACTAACCATCCCTCCGAGATTCCCAGACTCCATCAGGGTATGCCCGCCTCAAGTCCACCATCCCCTCTGGTGAGCAAAAATTGACCACAACCCCCCTGACAGAGTCCTCATCGCGGATGAATGCATAGCTGCCTACAGAGAGCTGCTGTGTACGCGAGGGCCCCGCAAGCCCAAGTTCGTTCTCTATAAGATCTCCGACGACGAGCGGTCGATCATCGTGGACGAGCGGTCATCCGAAACAAGCTACGAAGCATTTCTGGGAAAACTCACCTCGGCGACCGACGGGGAAGGTCACCAGGCACCTCGCTATGCAGTCTACGATGTGGAATATGACTTGAATGAGGATGGTCGCAGGTACGTCTCAGGATGACATCTCGTGGGGGCGGGACAGAATAAGACCATTTAGGTTTGGTTCACTTGCTAAGGGTGTGTGTGCGTGTGTGTTCACGCAGAGCAACAACGGTGTTCATCAGCTGGATGCCGGATGCCACGCCGATGCGGGTGAGTCTTTTCTCAATTCTGTTTTTGGTGCTAGCGGAGGCAACTGATGGTCGGGATAGCGCCGGATGCTCTATGCTTCGAGCGAAGAGCAGCTGCGAAGGGCCCTTGATATCAAGGTTTCGATCCATGCAGATGATGTACATGATATTGAGTGGAGGACGGTTCTGAAGGAGGCGAGCGGTGGTCGGCTCTGAGACTTTTAGTCGCTTAGAAACTTGGCTCCCGGGGTGGGCTGCACTACTTGAAATCGGGAAGCTTGGTGATGGATATGCCCAGCTAAAGGTGTCTTGGCTTCGTGGATTGCGTATATAGCTATTAGAGACAGCATGTTGAGGGTATGCTGATTTCAATATTGATACATTATTCTTATAAATTTGATTCTCATGACCCGGATGAATGGAGAATGAAACCATTAACGACAGTAGACAAGATTGAAAACCTGTTCCATGGACTGAATGATTCTTAAATGCTGGCGGTTACAACCTTTGTTCAAATAATAAAATTAATTAAAGTATAGTAAAACTAAAAGATTTTTCCAGTTTATTGTTTTCTATATTAATAAAAATAAACACCATCAAAGATACTCCTCAATCAAGGACCGTCTCTGAAGAACAGATCATCACCTGTGGGAGTGTCTCGGATCAGAGCCTCATATATTTCCAGCAACGCCGGGTCCAAGGTCGACTGCGCGACGTCCCGCTCGTCAATCGCTCCCTCTGGTGCTGTAAAATCCGCCCCCCAGAATTGATCACCACCACCACCACCACCACCACCACCACCACCACCATCATCATCACCATCCTCTACCGGCCGACTGCTCCAAGGCTTTTGGTGCGGTAAATACCCGTGGCCGGTTTTGAGAGATTTGATATAGTTGTGCTGAAAGGTATCGGCGGCGGTTCCGTCGGCCAGGTCCGACGACGCCGGCAAGTCGCCGCTCAGGTCTAATTTCTGGGCGGCGGCGATCTTTCGAAACAGCCGGTCACAGATTAAAAAGGCATTACGAGCGCTGGAGCTCCGGTGGCCCATGGCCGACAACCACCGGAGACATTTCTTCGACACCCGAAGGATCGTCTCCGGTTCCTCGGCCGTGCCCTCGGCCCCTTGGCCCTCGGTGGTTTCGCCGCGCTCGGTGACCCCGACGGGGCCCACGCACAGCTGCAGCAGAACGATGACCGATGCTTGCATCAGGTAATGCACGATCGACCACCAGGGGCCCATGGTGTACAGCCACTCCAGATCCGGCACGTCCGGGAGGATCGAGATCAGATCCAGCGCGGACTGCAGACAGACCAGGGACCGGCTGTTGTCGAACCAGGAGCGGGGGCGCCGGGCGCCAGCTGTGTTCTGCGCCTCGGGCCGAGTGAGGCAGGGCCGGTTCAGCACGATCTGCGCGCTGTAGAAGCTGAACGCCAGCAAGACCTCTTCCCGACACGTGATGTGTCCGGTGAAGTGTCCCTGGCTGTCACTAAATGTCCAGGGCTCGTCAATGCATGAGAGCCAGTCGGTCAGTCTCTGCTGGTACGCTTTGATCCGGTTGCGTGACTCGCTGCGCGTGTCGGGGAAAGATTGGATACTATACACGGCGCTGATCGCCGCATGGCTGATCACGGCGAGGTCGGTGGTGTAGAAGAAGAACAGCGAGCTGTTGGACCGCACAGACTTCAACCATCGGGTCCGCTCCTGCAGTTGCTGGGGACTGGCATGCAATGTGAAGGGGAGCTCCTGCTCCTGGGCTTTGGCCCGCAGCAGACGATCGGTGGCGTCCGACTCATGCAGCTGGTCCTCGTCAAAGGGGATCGGGGCGGTGACGCTGCAGCAATGCCAGTCGATGCACGACGTGCGCCCCGTCGCCGTACAGAGCAATTGTTCTAGGTCGACGATTGACCACCACAGCCGGGACCGGAATTCTTTCGACTCGGAATCCAAGTCTGGATCGATCACTCGGAGATTAAGCCCCAATGCTATAGCAGAGCGGGCCGCGCAGCCCACCAGTTGCCATGACCTGGCGTGAGTCAGTTGTGAGCCAGAGGCTGCTATAATGATCAATTGCCTGCGGTGCAGTTGGGGTTGAGGCATACCGGCTGATCTGACCAGCACCCAGATAGTACAGCGCGAAAAGCACTCGGATCTGGACCTGTTGGAGATCCACATCGTCCAAGATCGAACTCTGCTTCTCATTGAGCGCAATCGCTTGGGAAAGGAAGTTCCGGTCCTCGAGTTCTCCCTTCCAGTGTTCCTGGCGTAGCTGAACGTGGGTGGCTCCGATGGCAAGGACTAGGCTGAGTATGACGAGCCAGCCTGGCCGAGGAGATGCCCAGCGATTGCTCGAGACACTCTCGTACTGCGTGTAGAACAGTGATTTCATTAGAATTGGAAACGACGTGTGGGTGAACGAAAAGTAGGTATCAAGCAGGTGGTCCGCCCACGGCTTGGGCAGCATGGCGTATAGGTCGCCATGGCTCGGTTCGGAGATCGCCAGATGATCGAGATGGTAGTTCAGGGAGACGAAATTTTCCTTCTTAGGCTGAACGTGCTGCTCCGAATCCGAACCTCCAAGGCCACTGACTTCGGCATCGAGTCTCTGGAGCCAAGCAATCTCCGAGCCTTTGCCTATGAACCCCGTGGACCTGCTCTGTCTGTCTCTGTTAACATCAACATTAAGCGTGTCGACCTCATCAAGGGAGCCCATCGACGAAGAGGATGAAGCCGAACAGGGTCGTTGGGGCTCTTCTGAGACATGGGATTTCGACGTTAGAGCCTAGCACCGAGCTTAGTGTCTTTTTCGCCAGAGCTCCAAAACAACGGCTTACCTTCACGGAATCCGCAATATAGTCGGAGACATCCGAACTGAATCTTGTCGACAGCTCTTGCGTCAATCTTTCATAGAAGGAGATTTGTTCTTGGACATCCTGATATTTCAATTAGCATGCGAGTGGTATTCTCATACGCATTCAACAGGCCGTCTCGGACCTGAAGTTTCTGCCGCGCTTGGGCTTCAATCTTCGGAACCAGGTTCGATCTATCTTGCAAGAGCTCGACAAGCTCCCCGAGCTCTGTCTTATAATTTCTCTCATAAGCCACGCGGATCCGATCGAGTAACAGGTGTGCTGAGCTCAGCTCCTGCTCGAGCCGGCGCAGGGCCAGCTTTTTCCGTCTGTCAGACTCTTTGACAAAACAACACTCGGTGCCTGCTTGCAGGCATTTATCGCATGGGACCTCTCCCAGACACTTGAGGCCCGATATGCGTCAGTCAGTCAAATCGGAATCATGGAGGCAATGGCTTCGAGCGCCACATACTTTGGTTTTCCGTCTTTTGCAAGCTTCACAGGCATTAGATCGTTTCTTGATGGGCTTGACGTCGATGTCTTGCGCCACTGGACTGATGCTTGAAGCAGGAGCAGGAGCAAGAGGCCGCAGAGCCCTCGAATTAGAAGAAGTCATATGGACCGTACAGTAAGTATCGGATCAAAGGGTCAAACTATTTCTAGTCACACTTGGATGAAATGAAGTGGGGACCAACATGCGGAAAAATACTTCCGACCAACTGACGCGGGGCACTCAGTGATGTCATACGGTTTATCCCCGATCTCGCCTCCTGTCTCTTACATGCCATTCTGCACCAATCACCTTTCCAGTTGGGCTGTTGGTGGAGTAAACTCAGTTTATCATTTCCACTTGTAGAAAACTGCTTTGAACCAGTGTTGCTGTCTACTTGAGTACTGTACCAAGCTTATGAACCTCTTTTTTGTACAAGGGTACAGACAGGCAAGCCTTGTGCTCTGGCCGGGATCGGACTCGCTTTTGTCTTGCCGACTTGTTTGCCCCATCACAACGAGCAGCCCATGGCCCACGTCGCAAAAGAGATTCCATTTGTCTGGGCGCAGTGTGGTTTAGCACCATGCTCCAGTTACAACATGCAGATGAAGATCTTGGCTGGACTTGGAGGGGGTCAGGTTTTGGCGTCGCTGCTTATGTAACGGTTATTGGAGTTAACCAACTGATAGTAGCTATACTAGGTAGTCTCTAGGTGATGAAAGTAGCGCTAGTGATTCGTTTGGTCCGACGTACCCCGGATTTCTCTCCCTCCGAGTTTCGTCCGTCCCGACTTCTTTCCTCCTCATCTCTTGTACAAATACTCGCATCATCGTTCTAGACTCTCTTTCAATTCTCATTCTTTCCACTGGTCTCTAAGATTACTCACTTGAGATGCGACTCGTGAGCAGCAGATTGTCCGTTGGCGTTGCCTTTGCTGCTGGGGTGCGTCTGGTCAACCTTCTCCTCCATGCGTCTAACCAACACCAACAGCAGCCAGTCTTGGGGATTGGATAGAAGGAGGGACACTTTACCTTCGGCGCACCTGAGCTCGACGCAATTATCGCGGCCGATTTGCGTCTGTCCAACGCAAAGACACTCCCAAAAGCTGTCCAGATCTCACCTTTCATGCAAGGTTCTCCCCGTGGTTCACTCATCAATTTCTGCTTTTCGATCATCCATTCGTTGATGATCCTTTCATCATGTAAGTTTTTTCTTCGGGGCTTTTCTGCTTCCGTAGGGACAAGACCCGACTGTCATTGATCCCTCTTCACACTACTCATCCTATACAATCACTGTGATGATCCCCGGACAAGTGCTTGATGGTCCGGAGTCGGTGTTCCGGCTCGGTGTTATCGAACCGGGTCATTGTGTCACGTCTGCTGATCACCCTAATCACATTCTTAAGAAGTGAGTTCTCCAAGAATTCTGTCCCATGCAGTAATACACTTTATCCTAGCACATCCCCAGCATCTCTTAAAATCTATGCTTGCGAGGTCTCACTCCGTCGTTTACTCTTGGAGGGCTGAGAACCTCGGAGAGTGAAAACCTCGTAAATCTGTTCCAAAGGCATTCAGTCGCAATGACAGAGCCAGCTGCCTCATATGCCCCCATTCCCATAGCCGTGGTGGGAATGGGCTGCAGATTTGCCGGGACCGCCACAAATCCAAAGGCACTATGGCAAGTACTGGAGGAGGGAAGGAGTACCTGGTCCCCGATCCCCTCCTCGCGATTCAACCTTGATGGAGTCTACCACCCAAGTGGCGAAAGATTAGGAACGGTGGGTTAATGAAAGACGATTCAGTGCCATTCTTGCTCGAAGCACTCACAGCTCTTTGCTTGGAATAACGGGCCATTGACTGCGGATTTAGACGCACGTTCGCGGTGGCCATTTTCTAGAGGAAGACCCGGCTTTCTTCGACGCGGCGTTTTTCAACGTGTCAGGTGAAGTTGCCAGTGTACGTCCTCCCCTTGTGTCAATTCATGGATCAACGCGATGGTGAATGTTGAAACCTCGGCTAGTGTATAGATCCGCAGCATCGACTTATACTTGAAGTTGTTTACGAAGCGCTGGAAGCCGGTAGGTGTTCTCCCACAACCGGCTTTCCCCTTTCTTAACGTTGATTCAATATTCGCAGCCGGGATCCCCATCGGAAGTGTAGCCGGTTCAAACGCTGCAGTCTTTGCGGGGACAATGTCTCACGATTATCAGGATTCACTGTATCGCAGCCCGGAAACTCTTCCTAGATACCTTGTCACAGGTAATGCGGGTACAATGGTGGCCAACCGTGTCTCCCACTTCTATGACCTTCGCGGCCCCAGTGTCACGATTGACACCGCATGTTCGACAACTCTGACTGCTCTTCACCTTGCAGTACAAAGCCTACGAGCCGGGGAGGCAACGATAGCCATCGTAACCGGGGCTAATTTGATGTTGAGCTCCAACATTTTCACAACCATGTCCACGTTAGGGTGAGTGTGCATTTGCCGACGCGGTATGAGTACATGGTCCGTATCGAGAGCGCGTGTTGTACTAATCTGGCGGACGGCCGAGGAGACAGTTTCCTCTCGCCCGATGGGGTATCATACTCGTTTGATTCGAGGGCAAATGGATATGGGCGTGGCGAGGGGGTTGCTGCCATCGTTCTCAAGCCTCTGTTTCGTGCGCTGCAGGATAATGACCCGATCCGGCTCGTCGTTCGCGAGACAGCGCTCAGCCAAGATGGCCGGACACCCGCGATCAGCGCTCCAAGCGCTGAGGCACAGGAGCATCTGATCCGGGAATGCTATCGGAAGGCCGCGCTGAGCCCGGAGCAAACATCGTACATTGAGGCGCACGGGACAGGGACCCCAGCCGGCGATCCACTCGAGCTCCGAGCCATTTCGGCGGCGTTTGACGGCCAGCCCCTGCATATCGGCTCTGTCAAAGCCAACATTGGGCATACTGAAGCTTCTAGTGGCCTAGCAAGTGTCATTAAGATGGCGATGGCATTAGAAAGATGCGTGATACCACCGAACCCAAGTTTCCTGCAACCCGAGGAAGCATTAATTGAGAGGACAGGCCTTAAGGTACTGCTGCGATTGCGCCGTGGTTGAATATGAAACCTTAGCTGAGTCAATCGCCACAATCATAGATTCCTTTCTCTCGTCAACCTTGGGCCCCGGTGGACGGAGCTCGCCGTGCATCAATCAATAATTTCGGTTTTGGTGGTGCGAATGCTCATGCGATCGTCGAAAGTTATGAGCCCTTGGAGGAAATGTCGCGGACTGAAGCCAACGGCTTTGCTCGACTATGCGAACTATGTGACGATCACGCGGAACCAGATCCTCCAGGGCGGATCTATGTCTTAAGTGCAAAGGATGAGCGCGGTTGCCAGCGAATGATATCGGAGTTAAGTGACTACCTCACAGACACCAAATCTCCCGACGAGAGGCAAATTCTGGCGAACTTAGCCCACACGTTGGCCTCACGTCGCTCGAGCTTTCGATGGAAGGCCGCCTGTGTAGCACAGAGCCTAGCAAGCCTGACCTCAAGGCTAAGCAACGAGGGGACCAGGCCTCGAAAATCAGCCGATAAAGTAAGGCTGGGGTGGGTCTTTACCGGCCAGGGAGCACAGTGGTTTGCAATGGGCCGCGAGTTGATTAAAGCGTACCCTGTCTTCAGGCAGGCACTGCTCGAGTGTGATGGTTACATCAGAGACATGGGAGCGAGCTGGTCTCTTTTAGGTAAAGTCCAGAGGCGAGATTGAAGCAGATCTCGTAGGCATGACACTGACTACCGCGTCATACTAGAGGAACTTGATCGCGTCGAAGCGGAGAGTCGTGTGAACGAAGCCCAAATCAGTCTTCCATTGTCCACATCCATTCAGATCGCTCTTGTTCGCCTGCTCTGGTCATGGAATATCCGTCCGATGACCATTACTAGTCACTCTAGTGGAGAGGCAGCAGCAGCTTACGCTGTCGGGGCAATCACAGCACGGTCGGCCATAGGGATCAATTATATACGCGGTGTCTGCTTGTCAATGGGTCAGGGGGTGACGTCTATCCAGGGAGGCATGCTGGCTGCGGGATTGGGTCGCAAGGAGATTAGCGACTACATCGACAGGGTCCGAAATGAGAAAGAGTGCTTAGTGGTAGCATGTGTCAACAGCCCGTGCAGTGTAACTATGTCGGGTGATCTTGCTACGATTTCAAGATTGGAGGAGCTGTTGAATGCTGATCAAATATTTACCAGGCGCGTCAAGGTCACCCATGCATTCCACTCTTACCATATTCACGCGTTGGCGGATGCTCTCCGGGATCCCCTAACAGATATTCTTGAGGCGGACGATAGCGACACGATAAAGCCTTGTGACGGTATAATTTACACGTCCCCGAGAACTGGGAACCGCCTCGACGACATATGCCACCTCCGAGATCCCACGCACTGGGTGTCGAGTATGAAGTATTGTGTGGAGTTCGAATCCGCATTCCGTGCGATGTGCATCGACGAAGAGCTTCAGACACAAGAGATCGATAAGATCATCGAAATCGGCCCCCATGGGGCCCTTGCCGGTCCCATTCAGCAGAACTTGCAGCAAATACCGGAGCTTGCCGCACTGGAAATCTCTTACGTCTCCTGCCTGGCAAGGGGCAAGAGCGCCGTGAAAACCATGCAACTTCTCGCTTTGGACCTCCTCCTCGCGGGCTACAACGTCGATCTCACTGATATCAACTTTCCACATGGAAGCGAAGCCGCAAAGCTTCACGTTTTGGTCGATCTGCCCACCTATCCCTGGAATCACCAGACGAGATATTGGAAAGAACCGCGCAATAGTAGAGCTGCCCGGCGGCGCACCTCTCCTGTCAATGATCTGATCGGGTTCCAGGAGCCTTTGTGTCCCCCGTTTGCGCGCTCATGGCAACATATCCTCCGTGTCTCCGAAGTGCCCTGGCTGCGTGACCACGTCGTAGGCTCACATATCGTGTTTCCTGGCACCGGTTTCATCACTATGGCTATTGATGGACTGTCTCAACTCCGTCAACCCGACCCAAATTCAAACGTGAGCTACGTCCTCCGCAATGTCGACCTGATTCAGACGCTGATCCTATTTGCGGACGGAGACCAAGGGGTGGAATTGCGTCTAACCATTCGTGCCACGGACCAGAAGAGTCTCGGAACCCGGGACTGGCAGGAGTTTTCGGTTTACTCGATCGTCGGAGAGAAGGACGAATGGGTAGAGCACTGCACAGGGCTGATTCGCATCGAGGCCAATGATACCTCTAGCCACCCTTCTACTAGACAAAGTACGAAGCCTCCGCCATGGAGCCGGAGGACGGCGCCGCAGGATTTGTGGTCCTCGCTATATGCTACCGGGATTTGCCATGGGATTTTGTTCCGGAACATCGAGAGGATTGAGAGCGATGAGCAGGGAAAGTCGTGGTCGACTATGACTATCGCTAATACAGCGAGCGCAATGCCGCACGCCTACGAGAGCCAGCATGTTGTACATCCCACTACGTTAGACTCGGCGATTCAGGCGGCTTACACCGTGCTTCCATTTGCTGGGACACGAATTGAAACCACCATGTTACCCAGACACCTTGGCTGTGCGAAGATTTCTGGTGGACTCGTCGGATTGAAAGCGGGTGAGCAGCTGTGCGTACAGGCCATGATGCAGGATCAGAGTCCTTGTGCATTCGAAGCTGATGTAGCGGTATTTACCGAGTCAAATTCGCCGCCAAATGCCGTCATCGAGTTGAAAGAGCTCACGTTTCAGTCGGTGGGGATTGGAATCGGCGATCACAAGCAGAATTTGACTACAAAGGATAGTCCCCTTAGCTCCTGGCATTGGGCTCCGGATATTACGCTCGTGAGCCCCGCGTGGCTTGCGAGGGCTCTGAATGCTGAGACCCAGCCTGAAGAAGTCGAGCTCATGTTGGAGCTTCGACGGTGCACGGTGCACTTCATCCAAGAAACCATAAACGATCTGCACGTGGAGGATGCTGCGCTGCTGAAAGGCCACCTCGCCAGACTTTATGCCTGGATGCAAAGCCAGCTTTTATACGCCACGAATGGGGAGTTAGGGCAAGGCAGTGCCAAATGGCTGAGAGACGATGAGGCGGCGAGACTAAGCCTGCGATCCAGGGTGGCTGCCAACAGTACCAACGGCGAGATGGTCTGTCACCTGGGGCTCAAACTACCAAACATCCTTCGTGGGGAGGCCGACCCTCTGCAATTGATGATGGAAGATCATCTGCTATCTCGATACTACGGCGAGGCAATCAAGTGGAGTCGGTCCAACGCGCAGGCCAGCGAGCTCGTGCGCCTCTGCTGTCACAAGAACCCGCGCGCTCACATCCTAGAAATTGGCGGCGGCACTGGGGCTTGTACACAGCATGTCGTAGACGCCTTGGGGCCCACGAAGCCGGTCGGCCGCTACGACTTCACGGATACCTCCGTCGCGTTCTTCGAAGCGGCGCGCATGCGGTTCTCGAGATGGGAGGACGTTATGGACTTCCGCCGGTTGGATATCGAAGCTGACCCCGCCGCGCAGGGCTTCGAATGCGGATCTTACGACGTGGTGTTGGCGTGTCAGGTCCTTCATGCCACGCGCAACATGCGGCGCACATTGGACCATGTGCGTCAGTTGATGAAGCCCGGGGCCAAGCTCATTCTCGTCGAAACCACCCGAGACCAGCTCGATGAGTTTTTCACTTTTGGGCTCCTTCCTGGCTGGTGGTTCGGAGAGGAGCCAGAACGCCAGTCTGGCCCATCATTGACCCCTGAGATGTGGCACAGTGTACTGAATGCTACGGGGTTCAGTGGCGTGGACTTCGAGGCCCGCGACTGTGATAGCGACGAGTTCTATATGATTAGCACCATGATGGCCACGGCAGCGCCGGTATCATTTTCAGATGCACAGATCGAGGTCCTTTTGATATATCTCGATCTCTCTCCGCCCATTGCTTGGACCCAAGATTTGCAGGTTGCCCTTGGCCGCAGGAGCAGTTCTTTAACCTCACTACGGGAGCTTAAGGGTGGCTCTGAGGTCGAGGGAAAGATTTGTGTGTTCCTAGGGGAGGTAGAACACCCGATACTTGAGTGCGTGAGAGAGAATGAATTCCAACTCTTGACTTCAGTGCTGCAGATGAGCCGGGGCACGCTATGGGTCACCCGTGGAGCAAGTATTGCGTCGGAGGACCCATGGAAGGCTTTGCACCTGGGCCTGCTACGCACCCTCCGCAACGAGAATCCAGGCAGCAAGTTTGTCTCATTGGACCTTGATCCCCGACGCGAGCCGTGGACGGCTGAATCTCGTAATGTCATTGCAGATGTCATGAATGCCTCTTTACTTGGTTCGTCGCAGAAGGAGTTTGAATATGCAGAGCGGGATGGTGTTGTGCTTGTGCCTCGCTTATTCAGCGAACCAACCTTCATCCACGAGGAAGATTCCATTGTCATGGAGCAATTTCAGAATGAAAAATGTCTGCTGCGATTAGATGTGCAGACTCCAGGGCTACTGAATTCTCTCCACTTCCGCATGGATCTTGCAGACGCAGCTGGGACAGATGAACCGTCAGACGACTGGGTCGAGATCCAACCAAAAGTGTTCGGTCTCAACTTCCGTGATGTCCTCGTAGCCATGGGCCAGCTAGAAAGCGATCGCGTCATGGGTTTTGAATGCGCTGGTGTGGTTACAAACCTGAGCGAGAAAACTGCAGCTGCAACCAAACGCGGTCTCGCAGTCGGAGACCGGGTCTGTGCCCTTCTGAAAGGGAAGTGGGCGTCCAGGGTGCGTACAGCCCGAACCAACGTCGTTCGCATTCCAGAGACCTTGAGCTTTGCACAAGCGGCTTCCATCCCATTAGCGTTTACCACAGCCTACATATCTCTCTACACTGTTGCTCGGCTGCGACGGGGTGAAAAGGTGCTGATACACAGTGGCGCGGGAGGAGTTGGCCAGGCGGCCATAATTCTTGCTCGGCTAGTCGGAGCTGAAGTTTTCGCCACGGCTGGAACCCAAACAAAGCGCAATTTTCTCATCGATAGATTCGAGGTAAGCCCCGACCATGTATTCTCGAGTCGAGACTCCAATTTTGTTGCCGGCGTCCAAGCTTGCACTGGCGGCAAGGGGGTGGATATGGTGCTCAACTCACTCTCTGGACCTCTCCTGCAAAGCAGCTTCGACTGCCTGGCTGACTTTGGCCGCTTCGTCGAGATTGGCAAGAAGGACCTTGAGCAGGATAGCCAGCTTAGCATGGCGACTTTCGCGCGGAATGTCTCGTTCTCCTCGGTCGATATCCTGTACTGGCAGGCGTCCAGGTCGGCTGAAGTCTCCAGAGCAATGTCGGAGGTTGTGCGGCTTCTGGAACAAAGAACTATAGACCTGATTGGACCGATCTCAGAATACTCTGTATCAGCCATTGAGAAGGCATTCCGTACTATGCAGGGCGGGCAGCACGTTGGAAAGATCGTGGTGACTACAACCGGGGCGGACATGGTTCCTGTTCACCGGGAAGTTATACCAATCGTGCTGAAGCCTGACGCATCGTACCTCGTCGCTGGCGGGATGGGTGGTATCGGAAGCCGGATTTGCGAGTGGATGGTGAAGCGGGGGGCACGACATTTACTGATTCTATCCCGGAATACGCGTAGGCGACCATTTGTGACTGGCCTACAGCAGCGGGGCTGTACCATACGCCTACATGCCTGTGACATTGCTGACGAGGGCCGACTTCAGGCAGTCCTTGGACAGTGTCAGGAGGATGGCATGCCGCCAATTCGAGGCGTCATCCAGGCGGCCATGGTGCTTAAAGACACCCTTGTCTCGCAGATGACGGCCCACGACTTCCATACCGCACTACGCCCGAAGGTTCAGGGCAGCTGGAATCTCCACAATATTGCACCAGACGTGGACTTCTTCGTTATGCTCTCGTCTCTCGTGGGTGTCATCGGTGGCGTGGGACTCGCCAACTATGCGGCCGCGGGGGCGTTCCAGGATGCGCTTGCGCAGCATCGGACGGCTCAAGGCAAGCACGCCGTCACCATCGACCTTGGGATGGTCAAGTCGATCGGCTATGTGGCGGAGGCCGACCCAGCCGTGGCAACACGACTGGCCCGGATGGGCTATCAGGCCATGCATGAGGCAGAGGTCCTGGCCGTGCTCGAGCAAGCTCTGCGAATGTCTTCGACGTCGCCCGCGTTATCCTCCCCTACACCCACATCGCCCGCTGTGATCGTCACCGGCATCAACACGGGCCCTGGTCCCCACTGGACCGGCGCGGACTGGATGCAAGAGGCGCGCTTTGCAGGCATCAGGTATCGCGATCCCGTGTCAGGCCACCAGCATGGAGCCTTATCGTCCACCCCCTTTCATGACGATAGTCTTCGCAATCAGGTGAGCAGTGCCACTACCCAAGAGGACGCCACTGCTCTGGTGGTGCAGGCGATCGGGCAAAAGCTTGTGTCTATGTTTGGTCTCGCTGATGCTGAGATGTGTGCCAACCGAACCTTGGCTGGGGTGGGCGTTGACTCACTCGTGGCGATCGAACTGCGCAACTGGATTACCGCCCAGTTGAAGGTGGATATCTCTGTATTCGATCTGATGAAAGGAAGGACAATTGCTGAGCTAGCGGAGGTGGTGACGAAGCGGTGCGTGGGAGCTCTTTGGGAGTGAGGCGTCTCAGGGTTGTTGGCTGCTGGACGGAATGAGCGAGTGAGAGACTGCATTTTGGAGTGTGTTTTTTTAAGTCTTTTTGTTTCCACATTTGATAGGTCTGGACCGTACACCTAACGAATAAACCTGGCATTTTTGGCAGAGAACACTCCAGACAATAATTCTGCAGCACAGAAGCTCTATTCGTATGTCCCTGTCATTCCGAGCTTCGAGAATATTTTCGCTTGGACGATCGGCGTCAATAACCCCATTCCGTCTCTGTTCGGGCTGAGTATCAATTCAAGTTCACACTAATCATTCACAGAACCCCGACGATACAAGCCCGCCCTAGAAAAACTTGGTCAAGCCCTATCTATACTAGACGCTCGCTTCCGCCGCCGCAACCCAATGTCAATCCCTCAGCCAAAAACTTCCGGCGTCCATAATGAAAACACCTGATTAATATTACCGGAAGAACGAGGAACATCCAAACAATTGACACCGTCGCGAGGATGGGTTGAGCGTGTCGCCGCAGGAAAGCAATGCAGGCTTGGTTGGGCGACACCGCACATATATTGGGTGAAAGGGGGCATCAATCCCTCTCGTACTGTGCATCCCGGATGGGTGGAGGGTTAGACTGTATACTATAATATACTTAGGGATCAAATCCTTCGCTTTGAGGGTGACGCAGCTCTGATATGCACGTGTATTTCGAGATGGATTGATCCATACATATCCCCCCACCTCTCCACATTACACGCATAGACTACCTCAAGATGGGGGAACTCGTGGTCGGCGTGCAGCAGATTTACGACCTTTGAAGTGTTTTACCCATTGCTTCTGTCGATGGTGACGATGATCAGTCGGTCTTTGTATGGGTCAGAAAGCGCTGTCAGGGCATGACCCGCCGTCCGGCGGTAGAGTATCTCCTGTACCAGGCCTAATCTGAGGTCTGATTTTAGATGGATCCAATAGTTAGCAATGTGCCTACAAAACAGTGAATTGAACAGACTTGAGGTGATATAACAACAGATGGAACACTCACCCCGACTCGCCCCGGTGACAAGGTGGGTATCTGTGCTTTGAGGGGGTTATTGCAGCTTTGGTGGGATTTTCGCACTGTATCTAAGCATATCAGGGCGAGGGGCATAGAATCCTATATTGGTGACCCTCGAAGTGCGCTCATCAAAGCTGAGAGGTGTATATATGATTACAGGAGTATACAAGGATAATTCCACAAATATCTATTTCCGAGATTCATTGAATCCTTATTCAGTAAGAATCATCTTCAACTGCAAAATGCATAGAAGTCGTATCCATCAGCCATTCCTTTCCGCTTCACAACACTATCAAACAGAATCTCTTAACCAACACCCAACCCTATCTGGTAACTCATCCGAACTTCCCCCGACAAACTCCTCCCTCACAAAACCATTTACAATCAACAGCACACAGCACAACCATTATATTTCAGATAATTAATATTCAACCTATCCCAAGATAGGGCCTAAGAAATGAAATCCTCTGGGGTTAGCAACCCCAAAACCGGGGTTCATCAAAGACAAGCCCAAGCCCGCAGAGCATCCTCACAATCCTCACCAACCCCACCACCCCCATGCCCACCATCACCGCCACCCCAAACCCCAAGCCCCCACTGCTCCATCTCCCTCGGCACATCCAGCCGGACAGCCGCATACCGCCCCCTCTCGAACGGCATAATCACCGCCTCCATCACCTCCACGCAGATCCGATGCCCATCCACCACAAACCACCCGCCGCCGCGCGAGATCGACGGCCGCGTCAGCCACCCCGCCGGGAACAGCGACGCCCCGTGCTCCAGCAGGAACTTGCGGTGGTGGGCGGGCGTGCGCCACAGGCCGAGGCAGTAGTCGCCCGGCTTGAGGCCGGCGCTACCGGTGTCTTCCGGCTGGGTCTGGGTCTGAGTCTGGGTTTGGATCTGGGCGTAGGCGAAGGCGAAGACCTGGATGAGGTCGAGGCAGGCGCGGGCTTCGGCGCCGCCGATGCAGCTGATGCACAGCGCGTGCTGGAGCGGGGGCGGGCCGGCGCCGACGATGCCCGGGTGGGCGTGGTGCTCGAGGTGCTGGCGGAGGCGGTCGATGAGGCTGTCGCGGGCTTCGAGAAGGGGGATCTTACGGGGTGGGGGGTAGGGGTTTGGGTTGGGGTTAGAGTGAGCGTGGGGCTCGGGTTGGGGTTCGGGTTGGGTCCTGTTTCCTCCTCTTCTTCCTCTGTTCTTCTTAAAGGGCATTTCGAGTTGATCTTGGATTGAAATCTACGATCTTACTCTGAGAGGTCAGTAGGGCGAGGGGGCTGCTACGAGATGAGGGAGGTGGGTCGGCTGGGTCTGGATGGATAGGAGTACTTATGTCCTTTGGGGTTGGGGGATGGTGCTTTCTGGTTGAGGGTGGGTGGAGGAGATGTCCTGGCTATGGCTTTGTTTTGATCAAGGCTTGATTTTACGTACTTGTATGTGAAGCGGGATCTTACGGGAGCTGTGAAAGAGTGGTCGTGATGATTGATCATGGCTTTGTTAGGGTAAGGAGAACTCCGATTTATGCCTTCTACCTGCACTTGTGCCTTTCGTTGGAGTCTTGCGGTTGATGAATCCAGGTCTGTAGGAATACTTGCGACCATCTGCGCTCGAGGGATGCAGACATTGACGACGATCTTGAAGCACCAGGCGCAAGGTGCTGGAACGTATCCAGATTTTCTTGGTGGTTGGGACTATCTGCGTTCCCGCATGTCAACAAGATGAAAAGGCCCTTGGAGTCACGTGGCCGGATCATTTAGCAATGCTGACAGACATACAGAGCTTCAACCGGCGATGCCCTTCATCAGGCAACCCATGAGAGTAGAATCAGAACTAGAGTGTGCATCAGAACCCGGGACTATGGTCCGGCACATTATACATATACGGCGCGAGACGAAACAAAAGAATATATCTCAAAGGAGAAAGAACAGCGCACCTGATCCTGAGAAAGACAACCATGGTACAGATAGCTTAAGCGATGGAGATTATCCCTAAACCTGAGGATGACACAGCCGAGGTGGATATATAGCTTAGATGGTTTGTTCGGTGAAATATAGTGTGGATTGACAACAGCAGCAACTGTATAGAAAACCATTCTTTACCTTATTGGCTACGCTACGTTGCATTAAGCTTTCCGTTAGCGTACCGTCGAAAAGATTGATTCTAACCACATCGAGCATCGGCATTTCTTCCTCTTTTTTTTTTAAAGAAAAAAGAAAAAATCAAACCGCCCCCTGCGCAGGAGGCAGGCATCAGGGCATTTCTGAACCCAGTGACGGAAGATTCGAGTTGAGAGTACGAACTCCTCGGCAGTGATGAAACGAAGCATTGGTGTGAGCATTACCTTTTTCACTGACAACAAGAATTGATGAGGTCTCTTATCTGCCGAGACTGACCAGCGAGCAGGATGCAGTTATTTCAATACTAGGTCATATACCACCAGCAACAGTATTTTATCAAGAAACACGTCTGGGTGGCGCAATTGGTTAGCGCGTACGACTGTTAATCGTGAGGTTGAGAGTTCGATCCTCTCCCTGGACGCTTTCTTTTTTCGTGTCTTTTTGGTGTTCTCGATTCCCCAGTAGTATTGGCGGTGAGAAAGAAATCCCAAGAACTACCTGACAGGACCTCGACCCTGGTCATGTTTTTCAAGATTCATCCCGATAGCAACCCACCTCACTCATGTGAATTGAGATTATGAAGATCGATTTCGGCTCGAGCTCCTACCAGTAACCCGTTTTCGAACGAGCATCTGCCTCAGTCCATAGACAACGAAATATATAATCAACACGTAACCGCTTGTTGCAGGATTTCTAGCCTGAATCTTTAACCGAGAGATACAATTAGAAAATCACCTATTGAACAGGTGAATATATTAAAGGAAACAAGATCCAGTGTACTGTGTACATCAGACAGGAAAATCCGAGATGGCCAATTCTAGCATATCTAAACAGTAACCCAAACCCGGTCTATCATTCCGTACACAAATAAGAGAAACAAATGAAAAGATATCAGATAGTACTTTTGCCCCGGTGGATGAAGATTCCTTGCATCATTCGTGCAAGTCTCTTCCCAGAATATTCGAAGCCACCAGAGCCGAGGGGCATTGCTTGCAATAAGCAGTTGACAATCGAGTCGACGAGTAGTCATATAAAGGGCGTCAAGGAAAAGGTGAGTGCGGAGAGAGGCAGAGGGCGGTATTAGAAAGAGCAAGTTCCTCGCTGCAAAATGTTCATAGGCGTAGCATGTCTGCTGATAGTAATACACTGTAGTCTAATGCTGGCGGGCTTACTCCCGAGACACGTCACGGCCAAAGGTCTTGGCCTTGATCCAGTCCATAGCGACCAGGACACGGTTACGAGCTAGATAAGGGGTCAGAATAGGTGCCAACAATTTTCAACTCAAGGAAACTTACTGCTGAAGCACATGCTCAGGTAAGCACTGCGCCAGAAGAGGTAGGTCATGGTACCACCACTGGCAATGTTGCCGCTCAGCCAGCTGATGTCGGCAACAGCACGCTCCTTACCAATGTAGGCCAGACTGCCCTGGTGAGAGTACTGGAAGGGACCAATCTGCTTGGTTCTCCGCAACTGCTTCTGACGCTCGCGGATCTCGTCGAAGATCTGGTTGCGCTCCTCGTCGCTCTTAGCCGTGGCCTGGGCCTCAGACAGCTGCTTCAGCTCGGCCTCGACATTCTCAGTCTTGGCCATGGTGTTGAACAGGCGGGCGAGGAAAGCACCCTCCTGACTGGCAACCTGGGCAGTAGGAGCATAGTTGGTGATCGCGCAGTCACCGACAGCCCAGACGTTCTCGGCGCCGTTCACGACGAGGTACTCGTTCACAGCCAAACCGCGGCGGGAGTTCTTCTGAGCGGGCAGCTGGCTCATCAAGTCGCGAACAACAGGGCGGACAGCGTTACCGGTGGCCCAGACGAGCAGACCGTAGGGGATCTTCTCCAGGGTCTTGGTGCCGTCGGGATTGGTGACCTCGGCCTCGATGAACTTATCGGTGACGTTCTTGACCATGGTCTTGGCGCGAATGGTGATCTTCTCCTCCTTGAAGGTCGACTCAGTGTAGTCAATCAGCTGCTTGGAGAACATGGGCAGGACGTTGGGCAGGGCCTCGACCAGGGTGACGCGGAAGTTCTCCTGGATCTCGGGGACCCACTTCTTCAGATCCTCCTCGAAGAAGTCCTGCAGCTCACCAGCGAACTCGACACCGGTCGGGCCACCACCCACGACCACCATGTGCAACAGGCGCTTGACCTCATCGGGGGTCTGATCCTTGAACATGGCAGTCTCGACGCAGTCCATGATGCGCTTGCGGATCTTCTGAGCATCGTCGACCTCCTTCAGGAAGCAGGAGTGCTCCTTCACACCCTTGATACCTGTTTCGCATCAGTCTCCATTATCTCTGCGCGGCCCAGACCGGATCACCTACCGAAAGTAGCGTTCTCAGCACCGACACCAACGACCAGCATGTCGAAGGGCACCTCAGTGTGAGAGATCTCGCCCTTGATCTCGGAATCATCGCTGATGGAAATGACGCGCCTCTCGTAGTCGATCTTGGTGGCCTCAGCTTCGTAGAACTTGACGTGGGCCTTCTTCTGACGGAGGATGTTGCGGATGGGCTCCATGATGGAGCGGTGCTCGACCTGTCCAGTCGTGCAGGAGGGGAGGAGAGGGGTGAAGAGGAAGTAGTTGCGGGGCGAGATGACGACGACATTGTAGTTCTCAGTGTCGAGCTTCTTCAGCAGGGAGACGGAACCCCATCCGGAGCCTGTCGAACGAAATGCTTATTAGCTCCTGCTAGACCACCGCGAGCGATCGCGTCATACTAAAGAGCGCCGGAGACACTCCACGGAACGAGAAGCCTTACCCAGGATGACCAGAGTCTTCTTGGTCGGGTCGGGTTCGATCTGGTCGACAGGGTGGCACGAGTCGTAGACGCTGTAGGCCAGGTAACCAGCCAGACCCAAGGAGCCCATCCAGGTCAGGCGCCAGGTCCAGCGCAAGAACCCAAAGCGCTTCTTGGGCTTGGGGGCGGGCAATGCGGGTTGAGAAGCATCGGCGTAGGCGCGACGGGTGGAGCGCTGGAACTGCTGCTGGGAGAATCTCAAGGGACGTGCGGACCGGAGGAGCTGGGGTCGCGTCGAGAGCGACCTGCGCGACAGCGACGACAACTGCATAGCGGCGGATGGGGAAGCCATCTTGGACCGGATAGCCAGCGTACTTCCAACCATTGTCGCACCTGAGCCAGAAGGCAAAGGGAAAAAAGGAAGGGAAGGGAGGGGAGGGGGGAAAGAGTGGAGAGGGGAGTTTGTGGGTGGGTTGGTTGTGTTTGAATTTGAATTGAAGAGAGGAAGAAGCGATTCACAAGATGATAACTGACAGTCAGACAGGCGGCGCCAAAAGTGACTAGAGCCGAAAAAAATTGGGCAAAAGCACGAGTCACTGGGATGACTGATGCGATAAAGAGGTCGATGACGGTTAAGCTGTTTTGGGCGAGCCGGTGTGTCGGTGGGAACAGTGGAAAGAGTGGAAAGAGTGGAAACTGGGACTGAGGATTTGTCGCAAGGCGGAAATTTGCTCGATCTGGCAGTGAAGGCAATTTTTCCTTTTCAGTGGCTGGTCAGCTTCTCAAGTTCCAGCAAGAAAAAGTGGATTCCGAACCCTCCGGTCGGCGGGCCAAGGTTTTTTACTTTTGGTGCTTTGTGTAATCTCTGGTTGTTGGCAACCACTGGCTCGTCTCCTCCGTCAATCAAATGGCATGTAGTCTAATCCTCATTCGAACCACTTGCACTTCCACTTTCACCTGAATCAATACTTGTTGGTCAGCATAAATGGGGAAGAAACATACGGAAAAAAGAAGTTGGAGATGAAGTTTGGGGATGAAATTTGGAGATGAAGGTATGAGGGGGAAAGCGGCTCGCTCGGTGAGGAGAAATCGTGAGGGGAGAGAGAAAAGACGGGTCAACACGGAAAGTGGGCAGTAGACTTGCCTCTTATCATACTGGCCTTGATTCTTCACATGCCAGCGACCAGCGACAGTATGCTATCTATCATGTTTACCGATGTCGGTTTTCTGGAATGGTATCGATGCGTGATGAAGCCTGGAGAGATGTCGATGATGATGAAGCCGATTTCCTTATTCTCTCTTCCGCCGGCTAAGCGTATGGCTCCCTCTTCCTAAACGGGTAACTACAAGCTCTGCTCAGCTCCAGCTAGCTGACTAAGCAACCGCTCGGGCGCGCTTAGGCAAATTGCGGTTCTTCCCGAGTCTTAGTGCTTTAGCCCGGGTTCTTCCGGATTTAGAGCCTTAGCCTTTGGATGGCTTTGACCATCAGACCATAGCCATAGGGGATCCATAAACGCTCTTCAGAATCCGGGGTAGACTAAGGTACTTCTGGATCCACTTGTTTTGGAGAGGCTAGAGTAGTGTGACGCAGATTGAGAAATGGACTACAGCAATGCAGCACTGACTGCTAATTAATCCTACTGACTGAGCTAGTTTCCAATGTATCTTTACATGCGCCCTTTCGACAGACTCTCCCACTTAATCGCATCCTCAACCCATCCTACTCTTTTCTCTTGGTCATCACCATCAAGACCCTGTTGGAAGTGTACAAAACTCCTCAACCACACAATTGAAGACCCTTTATTTCTAAAGATAGGGTGTCAGAAGGTAAAGTCCTTCACCACCTTCTTCAGCCGAACTGGGGTACCACCACCACCATCATCATCATCATCATCAACATCAGGCCTCACACCCAGTCTCTTCCACCGCAGTAAACTTTCCCTCTTCTTCTGCAGATGACCCCAGAGTTTGTGCTTCGGGCCCAGACCTTCTCCGCCAAAGCCGTACAGCAGCTGGGTGATCTTCTCCGAGATCTGCAGGGCATCATCCACCCGCCCTTGATCCTCATAGGAGTGGAGGAGAAACCACATGGCTTGGACTAGAATGAGCAGGTTTTGTTACTGTGGAGCCATACTCTGAGTTGAGAGCAGAGAGGGATTATCGGTACATGGAGAGAGAGACAAAGAGCATGCATGCACTTACTGCGATCCGTATGCTCCCCTTCTGCACGCCTGGACTGCTCATATCTCTGTTTGGAGATGACATCGATCCAGATGGCCTGCGCCTCCGAATGTCGTTCTTGACGCCAGTACAGATGCCCGAGCCACGTCCGAGCCGCCAGGGTCCCGAGGTGGTTCGGGCCCAGATTCCTCTCGGCGACGGGCAGCCCTTCGAGGAACAATTGTTCGGCCTCTGCAAACCAATTCATCGCGGTCTGGATTTTGGCCACGGTGAGGGTCGATTGGAGGGTCAAGGGGTGTTCCCGGCCCAGCGACTGGGTGCGGATCTGCAGAACCTCCTCGCTCATCTGCAGCGCGAGGGGCAGGTGCGCCTCGCCTAGAAACCCGTAGCTACTCGCCAGGTTATCTTGAGCCTCCAATGCCCGGGGATGCGTGGGGCCTAGGATCCTTCGCAGTCCCTCATAGGCCCGAGACTGCAGCTCGAACGCCTTCTCATGCTCCAGATACCGATGTTCAACATGCGCCAGATTCTGGACGGCCGTGCACGTGGCCTCATGCTGGGGTCCAAACCCGTCCAGCTCGGATAGCTTGCTGATGACTTCTTGGTGGAGGCGATAAGCCTCCTGGAGCCGGCTGCCTGCCAGACAAGTGGCGCCAAGATCATCCATGATCTGTAACGTGAGGGGATGATCGGGGCCATAGAAGCGGGTGGCCGCGTCCAGCACCCGATATTGCAGGGCTCTGGCCTCGTTATTGCGAGTCTGCAGAGCGTAGGTCTTGGACAGCAACCGAGCAATCGTGATCCCGTGCTCAGACTCGGGACCGGATCTGGCGAAGATGTACTCCTTCACTTGATGCTGCAGCTCCTCGGCTTGGGCATATTGCCCACACTGAAGGTAGACCAAGCTAAACTTGGCGACTTCTACTGCCTGGTGAGGTCTCCTTAACCCTTGTTGCGGAGGCAGAAGGTAGAGGTACGTCGTCTGATGCCACGGCCGACGCCCGCGTCTCTGATTCTCGACAAACCGGGCCTCCACCTCCGCTTGGCACTTGCGCACATGCTCCACGTGGGGATAGATCTGGCGCTTATGCCTCGCATCCTGCGCCGTGGATCCCCGTGGAGCGTGGAAGCAGATCGACTGCGCCAGGGCGGTCGCGGCTGCTTGGCACCAGAGGGCCTGCTCGGCGGTGCTGGTTTCGGGCCGCTGTCGCACCCAGGTATGCACCATCGGGTGCATCCAATAACTGTTGTTTTCCTCGTGGAGGGTCACCATGCCCAAACGAACCAGGAGCGACAGCGCGCTCCGTAGCCGATCGTCGTCGAAGGGCTGGTCATCCTCGTCGCGCAGGAGATCCGGCAGAGTCGTACTCGGTCTGGTCCGCCGGTCGGCCATGGTGGCAATCCACTGGTAAGATCCTGCTATCCAAGCCCAAGTCCTAGCCCTGGGCCCTGAAAGAAGGGATGATAATGGTTGCTGGTGCTGAATCGTCTGCTCGCGCCGCGCTTGAGTCTCTTCTCGTTCCTGCCGAGGGTTCGTAGCCGCGGCTTTGATCAGATCATACTCAATGTTCTCCCAGTAGAAGAAGGAGAACATCTTCAGCAGATCTAGCGCATCCCGAGACCGCTCATCGCTTCTGGATTTGAGGCCGACGTAGATCATCTCGTACGATGAATACACATTCAGATTGGAGGATGCATCCCCATAGTCATTCGCCTCGCGTGCACGCGAAAGAGTCCAAGTACTTCGCGCCCGGCGGATCCGATTCCAGGTCCGTTCATAGTATTCAGGATAGTCGGTCAGCGAGCACAGCTGATCCAAGATGGCTTTCCCGGCGTGGATCAGGGCCAGAGGCAAGTAGCCCAAGATCTGGGCAATCCGGTCGGCGTATTGTCTGGTGGACACCCCCCAGGGGCGCGGGCAGACGGCGGCCGCCAGCAGGAGGTCGCTCGCTTCCTCCGTCTCGAGTTGGTCGAAGTGGAAAAATCGAGAGCCTTCCGTTCCGTATTGCTTGCTGGTCGGGTTGCGCGTGGTGATCAGGATCACCCCTCGTTCTCCGGCCGGAAGGCAGCGCACCACGTCCATCTCGGGGTCATCGGCATTGTCAATGAGCAGGAGCCAGGGCTGCTGTAAGCTGGAAAGCCACGCTTTGGCTGCGCTCTCGTTCGCTTCCACGCCACCGATCCGGGCAATCCGCGCATAGGAGTGTTTGATGTTCGCATAGGAGCTTCCATCGACCCAGAAGACACCCCAGAAACTGAAAAGGGGACTCTCTGGATAAGTCCTATGCCTCTCCCACCGCGACCAAGGACTAGTACTTACTGCTCTCTATTGTCCTGAGCAAACTTGCAGCAGAATTGGGTCTTTCCCGAACCTCCAAGACCATAAATGACGAATCGCTTCTGATGTCCTTGATGTTTCGGTTTGAGGCCGACGCTGAGCGTCGCTTTCAATTGTTCTAGCTGCTTGTGGCGGCCTGTGTAATAACTGCTCACATTCTGGGGCATGTCGAAATGCTCGTTGAAGCGGATCAACGATGCTACCGCGTCGGCGCACCCAAGAGAGCTGCAGAGCTAGTATTTGGTGAGTGATTCAGTAAGCAGGTGATTCTATGTTCTGTATCGAGGATGGTTTATCCCATGACATCACCTACACTGTCCGAATTGGGCCCCCCTCAGAGTTCCCGGCGCAGGCTATTGATCCTGATCTGCATTCTGGCGGTATGCGATTTGAGCGTGAAGGCACTGCAGCAAGTCAGCGGGGGGAGGGTTTCTAAAATCAAGGGCCAACCTTTCGGAGACAAACAGAGTTAGTGCATTCAACAGGATCTGGATGCCAGCCTGATGGTTGGCGATGCGCTGGCGTAGCTGCATGAATTCCCCATCACGACCTTGTTTCCGGATCGTCTTTCTCAACCCATCCAGCTTGCCAGCCACCTGGGGGCCATTTTTGCCAATGACTGCATTGAGTAAGGTCTCCAGCTGCTCGACATGGCCTTTGCTTTGCTGCAAGAGCATGGCGAGATTCTTCCACACGTCGTTGATATGAGCCTCGTCGTTGGTCGAGGTGTCGAAGCTACTCGGGTCATGCCAGGAATGCCAGCAGTCCTCGACCGTCTCGTTGACCGCAATCAGCGATGAGAGCTCCTGGCTCAGGAAGGTGAGTTCATCATGTATCTTGGCAGATGCGCTTCGGATCGTGGCAAGATAGGAGATGATGCGAAAGGAGACATCCGCCAGCCCTGCACTTCCAACGAGAATCGAGAAGGGATCCATGGATTTTCCTGCAGGACAATCGGGCTCTGCAAAATATTCAAATAAGCGCCTTCACTGAAAACATATCAATGAGGTAGTCATTGCATTTAAAGGGGGGAATCGCGAAGTCTTTAACGCGATTAGTCATCTCTTTATCACCATTAACTAACTATCCCCAACTGACGGGTCTTGTGCAATGGCCCGAGACTATGATTCACGTGTACCGGACACCGAGGCTTTCTTTTTGCTTTTTACGGTGGGTAGCTCTGATACCCGTCCAGTCACTGGGCTATCCCAGCACTGCCCTCAAGCCCTAGTCCTCCATCCGCGGTGCTAAATTGCTCCCATTGGTCTGTAACCCTTTGCAGGCATATGATGGCTAAAACATTATTCGTATCATGGCTTTTCAAGTAGTCGATCAGGGGGAGAAAGAGGGATTTGATCCCTCTCCCCCCCCCCTATAAGTCCCTCATGATAATTCAGGAGGAGAATACTGTCTGGTGTTTTGGATTGAAAGGAAGCAGACAGACAGACACCCTACAAAGAGTGAACTGCCTGACCCAAGGGTAACGGTGCGGGTGTTTCCGAGTACCAGGAATTTGCTGAGTAGCCACGGGATATGAGTTGACAGCCCGACTTTTGGCTTTGAGGGTCCATGTTTCTGGGGAACAACGAATCGCATGGAATCAAAACACGAGACTTCTTTGTTTAGAGCTCCAAGCGATGTTGAATCTGACTGTCTCCTTGATGTCTCTATCCTCCCCATCTTCTTCGAGCAGCTTCAGCTACAGCTTTCTCCTCTCGGACATACATTCTCTCTTTTCGAAATTCGCTATGGACACAATTCAATGGGACCTCACTGATCTTAGGCTATGGCACCTTGTTCTCACCCTCTCCCTGCCCTGGTGGATTTTTTTCTATCTGAGAAGACGTCGCCAGAATGAAGTACGTAACTGGGCTTTCTGGTGTCATTTCCCATCAGCGCTCCTCGAACTCACCCCGACTATCTCTAGGCCGATGAGCTCTTTGGTCAACGGCATGGATGCCAGCCCATCCAGCGGAAATTGCCCTACAAGTGGCCTCTGGGCCTCGATGTGTTCAAGAGCCAATATGATGCTTTCGCGCGTGGCAAGCTACTGGCCTACCAAGCCGACTATTTCCAGCGATTCCGGGTCGGCCAGACTTTCGAGATCCGGCTGCTGGGTCGCGTGGGCTACTTTACGATGGATCCCAGGAACCTGGAGTCCATGTTGCAGACGCGGTTTGACGGTATGTTGAAGTTCTGTCATGGAATCTCCCAGTTCACCCCCACCGAGAAATCATCAAACTCACCAATACATGATTCTTCCTAGACTGGGAACTTGGAAATAGCCGGGATGCACTGCTGCCCATGATCGGCACGGGCATCTTCACCCAAGACGGCCTCGCCTGGAAGCATTCGCGCCAGCTTCTGCGGCGACAGTTCGCCCGCATCCAAAGTCAAGACACCGAGATCTTTGACTGTCCGATCAACGACCTCCTCGCCACCCTGCGGTCCTGCCCCGGGGACATCGTGGACCTGCAGCCGGCCTTTTTCCAATTCACCTTGGCCACCACCATCTTGCTCATTTTCGGGGAGGCGTCCGTCGGGGGCCTGGCACCGAGCGATCACGCCCGGTTTGCCCACGCCTTCGACTACACCTCGCTGATCTCGGCCATGCGGATGCGGCTGGCGGACTGGTGCTGGGCGTACAATCCCCGAGCCTATCGGGACGCCTGTGGGGTGATCCGCCAGTATGCTACCCACTACGTGAACCATGCGTGGGACGATATGCGAGCGAACGGAGAGGAGAAGGCGGCCACACGCCATCCATTCATCCTCGATCTCCTGAAGGAGCTCCGGAGCCCCGAGCTGGTGCGGGATCAGCTCCTGAATGTGTTGATCGCGGGGCGAGATACGACGGCTTGTCTGATGTCGTGGGCGTGGTAAGCGGACGACGCTATCCCCCTTTCCCCTGATATGCTCGCCTTCGAAACGATCTTCTCACTCATGAGTTCACATTCAAAGTTATCAATTAGTCCGCCACCCAGCATCCCTTGAGCGTCTTCGCCAGGAAGTTCATTCAATCACCAAGGGTGAAAAGCAGTTGACGCGAAGCCAAATCAACAAGATGACGTACCTGCGATACGTCCTCAATGAAAGTGCGTAATCCCCCCTCCCTCTATTCCCGTCACCCTCGCCAGCAGGGCTAACCCCTTGAATCCGCTGCAGCCAACCGCCTTTACACTCAGATCCCCGTGAACGTGCGCCTCGCCCGACGAACCACCTACCTCCCCCGCGGCGGCGGGCCCGCCGGCAACTCGCCCCTGCTCATCCCCAAAGGCACCGGCGTGGGCTTCTCAGCCTACCACATGCACCGCAGCCAGGAGATCTACGGGCCTGACGCGGAGGCGTTCCGACCCGAGCGGTGGGCGGGGCCCGAACTGAAGAATCTCGGGTTCGCCTTCATGCCGTTTCATGGTGGACCACGGATATGTCTAGGAAGTGAGCGTCCCCCCTGCCACCCTGGGCCCCTACCTTTCTCTCCCTGATCGATAGATCGATACACCTGGAGCTGGGTCTTTGGCTAATGATACCGTATCATTGATGAAATGATAGAAGATTTTGCTCTCACCGAGGCCTCGTTTGGGCTGATCCGACTGATCCAGGCTTTCCCGAACCTTCGCAAGGCACCCGATGCAGCGGATGTGACGCCCGGCCAGGAAACGCAGACCCTCACGCTCGTCGTCTCGAGTGCCGAGGGGTGTAAGGTGCAACTCGATTGAGGTGCTTACCGGGGTGACTCTGACTGGCCACAGGGCTTTGTTTCTTATTTTCTTGCTCTCCCTTCAGATAGAGTCGGTGGGTGATGTCTTGCGGAGAGTCAATTGTGTCGTTTTTGGTAGACTGTACTTGGACAACATCCGGGCAGTGATTGTAGTCTGCTGGATGCGGGTGCCAGAGAGGGCCAATTTCACATGATCATCCTGCAGATGGATAGATGCTGGAATGCGGCTGGCAGCGGGATACAGATCGGCATGCGGACTGATGATGGATCCAAACTGATAATGCGAAAAACCTTTCCAATCGAATGAATCTCTCATTCCCCAATTCTCTGACAGTGATCCCATCACGCTCGTCATGTTTCCACGCCAAACTGACTATTTACCCCCCCCCCCCCTCTTCCCTTCTCAGCCTTCTTTGAATTGAGAAAAACCACCTAGAAACAGCTCCGCTCAGGCATAATATATACAAAAAGCCAACTGTTACACCTCAAATTGCGGGTTCCCATTCCAAACGAAAGACCAAGGATGATAATGCTCGGGGGTGGTGGTGGGGGGGTGGTGGCAATAGCAAATCGAAGCTGCTTCTTGCTGGTCTCCCGCCGTGTAGTCCCTCTCACCCCACCCCGGAAGGACTGGCATCGGTATGTCCTCAAGCCGCCCAGTACCTGAGATGTGGGACTGTCTCTTCATCTCTATATATCGTCATGTCGATAGGATAGATAGTACCCGAAAAGCCACAATACCCGAACGGATGCTGTTGTTGGCCACTCCTGTATCTGGCCGATCTCCTCCCGCCAACAGAAACCTCCTTTAGCGAACTTCGAGGTCAAGAATGGAGGGATGCCTTGCAGAGCGTTCGTGCTTTTTTGTTCCCGATGGGCGCGCTGGTCGTCGTGCGAGAGCTAGAGTGGGGCATTCAGGGTTAGTATGAGGTCTATTCCGGTTGACAGGAATAGAATGTGTGCCTTTCCAGACGGGCGCGAATCTGTTGCATCTTTGTGCATTCATTTTAGGTGGACCTTGTGCTCTCTGTGCTGCTCTTATCGTGGTTTTCCAGGATAGGCAACCGAGCATGGCGATGGAGCTTGGGTTTGGTGGGGTTTGGTTGGGTTAGTGGGACTATGATAGGAACCCTTCACATACAGTTACATTTTTCCTGCCGACTGGGTCGAGGCTTATCAATGGAGAAAAAGGCGATGGCGATGGCAATGGCGATTGTGAACGCCATGATGCTTCCCGTCCAGACGTCGATGTCGAGGATAGGGATGCAGGCCAGGAGTGAGGAAGAGATATCCATGTGCAACGGGGGGTTGCTGTCGTGCAGTGAGGCTGTGATTGCAAGGCAGACGCAAGGAGTAGCTGACCTTAAGTTAAATAAGGTGGTGACCGTCGGGTTTATACTAACTAGTTATGATCCATGTTCTTTCTAGTTATATGTGCCGCATACAGATTGACCCACTGCATCCGGCGTGATCGGCGACCATGTGGGTCACGGGGTACGCTAGCTGGATCGGGTGGGTCCAACAGCCGGCCGGGTCCGGCTGACATCCGGGATTTCTATTGTTCCTTTTCCCCTCTGGGCTGGTCCATTCACGTCCAGACCACTCGGCGCATAGCAACAACAACAGCAATAACAGCAACAACAACAAAAACAACAGACCCCCACAAACCCCAAGGAGTGAGACAAAGAAGTATCACGTGATAAAGCGGCGGCTGGTATGAATGTGGCACTCATTGATGCGTTCAATGGAAGGAGAGGGTCTATTTACTCTTTCTTCATCTGGACACGTCAATCAGCCCAGGTCATCAAGGGCGTTCAAACCGTTTCTCCCCTAAGTTGTCTTTTTCAGTCAGCATATACCACTTGAGCTGCATCAGCTGCAGCTTGATCTCGTCATGAGCGAGTGCCACACCGCCCAGGACGCTTTCGAGCACGCGCCGGCGATGATGGCGCCGACCGGATCCTCCACCCCAGCTACTCCATTCTCCAAGCCTTCCACACTTCCCCCGCAATCCCAATCACTGTGCAGGGACAATCTTGATAGATGGTTACTCAAGCGGAACCCCCCACGGTGCCCCAAGAATCTAGCCGACTGGCTGCTCGATCATCAAATTGGTGGGTGGTACTCCGCGTTGTGTCTGATGCTCGCCATCTGCGCCCCATGAACTAACATGCCCCCAGAGATCCCCCTCAATCTCCTCGCCCTCCTCATCGTCAATCACCTGTTCGTTCCCCGCGCACGCCAACACACATCCAAATTCTTCTCCCTATCGCACTACAACCCAAACACGGGACGATATGCCATCGGCGACGGGGACTTTTACTTCCTTGGGTTCTGCGTGGTGCTCTACACGGGCCTCCGCGCGGGAATCATGAAGTATATCCTCGCACCGCTAGCGACACACTGGGGCATCTCCAAGAGGAAGGATATCACGCGATTCTCCGAGCAGGCGTGGCTGTTGTGCTACTACTCGGTCTTCTGGACGCTGGGTCTGGTACGTGCGAATCCCGCTAATGACTTCGTCACCCCTCCAAAGAAGACGCACAGAATCTTTTCTAACTGTAACCCACTAGTACATTTACGGCACCTCCAAGTACTACCTCAACCTCCGCGAGATGTTCACCGACTGGCCCACGCGCGACCTCCCGGGCCTCACCAAGGTCTACATCCTGGGCCAATGGGCGTTCTGGCTGCAGCAGATCCTCGTCCTGAACATCGAGGCCCGTCGCAAGGACCACTGGCAGATGCTCGCCCACCACCTGGTGACGGTCGTGCTGATTTCCACCGCGTATGCCTTGCATCTCACCCGGGTGGCCAACCTGGTGCTCATCCTGATGGATGTGGTGGATATCTTTTTCCCGGTGAGTTTTTTTTTTCCATCCTGTATCCCTTTCTTCACGCAGCTAGAGAGGAAGATAGACTTATACTCAGAAACAGCTCGCGAAATGCCTCAAATATCTCGGCTACACCACCGCCCGCGACATCCTCTTCGGCGTCTTCATGCTCGCGTGGTTCCTGGCCCGCCACGTCTGCTACCTGCTCACCATGTGGGGGATCTGGAAGTACATGCCCGAGACGATTGCTGAGGGGTGCTACCACATTCCTGCCAGTGGCACCCAGGACTCGCTCCAGGGGCCGACGCCTCTCCCGGTCCATGGCTGGTCCCACCTGTGGACCCCGTTCTATAACCCCACAGGTCCCATCTGCTACAGCGATGGCATCCGGTGGGGGTTTTTGGGGGCCCTGGGGTTCCTGCAGCTGCTGACGGTGCTGTGGTTTGTGTTGATTGTCAAGGTGGCGGTGCGGGTTGTGCAGGGGATTGGGGCGGATGATATTCGGAGTGATGATGAGGAGGAAGATGAGATGGATGTGGAGGAGGATGAGAACGAGATGGTGAAGCTGTCCCCATCCCCGTCATCGGGGTGGAAGCGCAGGGCAGCTGGCAGCCGACGGCCGGCGAGCTCGTCAGGCGTCAGCTTCGATCGGAAGGAGTTGCTGAGTCGGATTGGGTGTGAGAAACAGGTGGATTGATTTGAGTATCTTTCTTCTATCTTCCTAAGGAAGCTGAAAATAAAACGCAGCCTGTTGGGGCCTGGTCGATTTCCCTGCGCAAATTCAGATGCGTTGTACGGCTTGGATGGAAATCTTCTGTTCATGCAGTGGCCTGTATGAGGATCGGTGCTTACAGGGTAGACGATCGCTGCATCGTAGGTGGATGTATTCAGGACGGCGTTATGATATACATGAGAGGAAACAAATAATCCGGAAACTGGCGAGTATGATGTGTGCTGCACTAAATGATCAGACACTCTCCTTGATTCCGTTCCACAATTCTCACGTGACTTACTGATCGCGATGATGAAGTCTGTGACCGCTTGAGGTAAAGTAAGAGCTGTAGAAGGAATTGGGCCACGCAAAATGGATGGTAAGCACGAAAATACTAATATAGATCAAAGCAAAATCACAGATGCTCAAATAATTGGACAACATTTCTGCATATCAAAGTATATCACTATCTTTATCCTTCTTAGTTTGAGAACTGAGGGATATTCTAGTGCATCATCCAGCTTTTTCACGGGTGCTGGTCATCGGTTCCACGGGCTAGCATAGTAATTAAGTCTCGTCTATGACTACCAAAAGTAACACAGTTTCTGCACCTGATCACTGTACTGGCACTTGCGTCTAAGAGGCACTCTTCTCGCTCAACTACCGTACAGCCCGGACACGATGCTCATTCATTAACTGATCTTCTTTGAAACAGCCTTCCAAGTTGATTGTTGACTAGGATTGACTGGGCATGAATAGTGTGCCTATGTCCCCACCAAGAATTATGCAGTCTCTCCAATCTAATCAAAATAGATACTAGTATGAAATTACTATTTTCTTACTTAGCGATCCAAGAATAATACGAGCCTAGATCCAACCCGTCAAAATTACCCCGCATCGATGATATCTTGTATTTATTATCACAGGATCTCCTTCCAGAGGAGGGGCTGATTCAGATTCTTTCGTGTTTCGAAATACTTATCATTCCGTACTAAACCTATCAGCAACTGAATCACCTGAGCAGAACGATGGATTTTGACGATATCTCTCAATGGCTTTCTAACCAATAAGCTCCTATTGTTCCTCTTACTAAGGTTTTCAGCCAGTATGTGACTGTCGCAGAGGCAGTGCGAATATTTGAACAATTCCACTCAGAGTGGATTCGCAATGGTCAAGTTCTTTGGAGTGGCATACCGTTCGACAAGGCCCAAGTATGGGCTAAGAAAAATAACCTGCAAATATTAACCACAGCCATGGGCTTTTTGATGAATAAAACAAATCCAGAATGTCCGAGGATAGGAAAATCAAGGAATTAATGGATTCGGTATGTTTATGGTGCTTCGGCAATTTTTACTTGGCATATTGCTAGATTCGAGAAAGTCATACTACTTTCCCTCCCACTACCTCAACAATTACATCCTACTGGTCTTTCAAACTACCAATCGATAGAAGAGCCTATTATTCAAGGACTTCTTGGCCATTGCGCGGTTCAAAAGATTATTAATATTCATCCTACTGTTCCGGGCGGCGAAAAATGCCCATATAAAATATGGCCTGATGACGAAACTTCCAAATGGATTAAGCAATTCGGAATGAAATATACCTTCAAAGGATGGAGATCTATTGAGAATCCCAAAGACAAGCTATTTTTGAAAAAGCTGATCACTCAATCAGGACAGCATATCCTTAGTGGAAGGGCCACTGAGCGGAGCGAGAGATCAAAGATTTGGCAGAAAATATGTTTTTATCGCGTTGACGCTCACAATCTATATAAATACCCCCGGACAGCCTTCCTTCACCTGTTCTGTGGTCTTTATTACTCGTTATAATAATTAAATTTGCAGTCTTGAGTTCGGCCTGTATTCTTTTTACAGTGATAATCAGAACCTTGCAACAGGAAAACGAAGCTAGCAAGCGTTGCCGATTGAGACCTGACTCAAATAATGCAGGTGGGTCTGTTCTGACAATGAGGTCAAGCAGGAAGGAATCCTTGGAAACTTTTCTAAGAAGCATTTTCGACTTTGATAAAAACGCCTGGGATGTAACGCAGGAGGAAGCTCAAAAAAAGCGCGCAGCAGAGGAAATCCACCCTAGGGTCCAGGAAGGAGCTCAAAAGAGGCGTAAAGCGAAGAAGAAAATCCGGACCAAGGCGCAGAAAAAAGCTCAAAGGAAGCTCAATGTCAAGGGGGAAAACGGGACCCAATTACAGAAGAAAGCTTTAGAGAGGCGCAAAGCGAAGAAGAAATCCGGGCCAAGGCGCAGAAAAGAGCTCAAAAGAAGCTCAAAGCCAAGAATACCGGGCCAAAGGGCAGAAGGAAGCCAAAAAAGCGCAAAGCGAAGAACATTGAGACCAAGGCGCAGACTGAAGCCCACCGCAGAGTATAATCTGGAGGAATTATCGCAAGCTGCACGTACTTTTGAAATATTCCTGTACTATATTTTTGCACTGCTTTAGCCACTGTCTCAACCAAGGACCGCCTTGTAAGCGTTCGGGGGCCTCGATACGAGAACATGGGTCAATATCTCTAGCTACTTAGTCTCAGAAAGATTTTCAACTTCTACAAGTGCTACCGACTAAAACTCCTTAGTTACAATAGCATAATTAACTATTTAGTTCCAGACAAAATAGAGGACAGCATTATTGGGGTTGACCGTATGGATAATATAAACCCTATCGTGTATTCCCTCCAGCTGTTGCACTAGCGACACCTCCCTAAATGGACTAGATCTCAGAATTTGTACACTCTTGAATGACTATGAGAACCTCTGATTCAATCTTCTATTCATCGTAAGCTTGAGGTACGTAGCCGAACTGTGTACTGGACGATGCTGGCAATGAATGGACTCAGCGGCTTGCAATCGAAATGGCCACCACTCTATCTCAGACACGCATATCCTACACATTCAGCATAAATGTGATGCCCTCTTCAAAGATTTATAATTATGCGAATACAGTTTTTATCTGGATCCAGCCGACAAGTGGTGGGTCGTGGATATCTGTCTGGATGGTAAGCTATTGCTATCGTAGGAAAGGCTGCGTATCGGACTCCGTACTTAAGGTTCACTTTTACCAGCCAGAAAACTAAAACTGAGGGTCTAACGAGATTATGGGAGACTGAAACTAGAATTAAACATAGTCCGACTTCGAGACAGGGACCAAAGTGGGTCCAGAGTATCTAGGCCGAGATACCATAATTATGGCCACTATGCTGATTAGTGAATAATAATCCGCGGGCAGCTTGCAATAATCTTCTTCTTATGGATTCGCGCTCACTCGAGGGTGGACAAAGCTATCAGTCCGCTACAGCTTGGATAAGAAAGGGTTGAAGGAGAGCTGGGCCTGTTGGTAACTATGACATTTGCTTTGTCCTGAGGCCCCATCGAGCGCCTGGACCATCTGCTTTATATAGAGGCCAAGGAGCTATGATGAACCGTGAGTTTATTGGCTACCGACAGCCCGCCAAGCCTGTGGTCGCTGGGAGATTCAAGGTTCCTTTCGACACGGCGGCAACCCAATGTCTCTGGACCATTGGAACATTGAAAGCAAGCTCACGGGACTTTCCGAACCAAAATGTCCGTGGAATAGGATTAATGAAGTACCCACTAATCATCGATCGATCTCGCATTTTTATGCCTAAGATCCATCCCAGGCCAAGCTGGCTTTACATCAACGTGAACTAGGCTTATACATCTAGTTGGTTAGAACTAAAGTATTTATTTTATAATATTTTATTTTTAAATATCTTAAAATAACACGATCGAATATAACATAGCGAGACCACCACAATTCTAAACCAAAAATTATAATTCTCAACCAACAGAAACAGAACACATATTAGTCAGCAGAACTCAAATAATTTATAACCGATAAAATACTCTTTAATTTCTTCAGATAGTAATATAATAGCGCGCAAAAAGAATAATAAGCATACAAATTTAAGATCGCTATCTTTAAAAGAAGCTTTACAGTCTGACTATTTAAAAAACTATTTTTTATTTATCTTACGCAGAACCTCACCTTCACCTCAATTAACTGATAAAAAAATGCCAGGGACACATAATATAACATACATTAAATATATTTTTTTTTAATATAATTATAAATAATACTTATATTTATCAGCTTTCTAAACTCAGATTTCGTATTTCTTCGAATTCGTCAGACGGGACGATTATTTAAAATCTATCGGAAATTGCTTTAATCAAAGTCCAAACTACTAATTACAGCTTTAGATAATACACTCAGAGAAGAACAAAACTCTCTGTACGAGTTTAAAAATATAAAAAAAAACAATAGCTCGCTTTATTAAATAAATATATCGAGGAGATTATCCTACTCAAATCGCCCTTTTAAAGCCTCTTTCGACCCCGTTTACCCCGAAAAAGTTCGACACAGAGGTTGAGAATAAGCCTACAATAACAATTCCAGAAACGGACTTTACTTCGGAGAATTATTTTCTTTCTATCCACATTCGGCTCTATATCTTCTTCTATATTTATATAATTCCTAAACTCCAAAAATTAGCATACAACAAGGTGACCGCCTGTTTTACAGATTTAGATAAGCCGGATAAACTCAATAAACAATTTATAATAACTAATACTTTACAGCTTTCGTTTACCAGACTGTTTTAAAATAATACTTTATTGGACTGGTTGACTTAATATACTGCTTACAATATTAACAGATTACGGCTACAGGACTTTTTTTATAATCTTCTAAAAGATTTTCCAGCTTTAAGCTCTTATATAATAATCTCGCTGAGTCCAGTACAGTCTCTATTATAAAAGACTATACAGTAAAAATACCAGTTTACATAATACTCTGCTAAATAAACAAGTAATAATTATAATCTTTAAGAATCTCAGTAAGCCAATGCAGCTAAGCAGATCTTATAGTCTATCCGAACTAATATATACTATTTATCTAAACTTACTGTATTTATACTATATTTATTAAAATATTTTCCCTCTCTATTTTCTATTAACAGCTTGGTTTTGCGCGCTCGATGTTCTATAATACCTATCTATAATCAGAATCTTATTTCATATATCATATTAAAAAATACTGGCGAGCTTCCGTGCAAAACTTAGTATTATATACTTAAAAGATCTAATATATCTTAATCGACATCTTTTAATCAGAAATAAGATTATTTTTATACTTCTATTAATCTAATTTAAAAACATATACTTTTTTACAAATTAATACCAGCAGGAATTATATTAGATACTCTATTCCGCCCCTCCTTAATTATATATTATATTCAAAAGCCATTATTATTCGCAAGATATATTCTAGCAGGCTCGTTAATATTTACTAGTTCTAATCTATTTATAAGCGAGCCGCTTTTCACTAATTAAGATACATCCGGCCGTTCCAACCCAACAGAAGAAATTCCCCGTCAACTGACAAGAAACTACAGGATATCCACCTGACTGAGCGATATATTACATAATCTTACTTTCAAAAAACCAGCCTAAAACAGCTTAATCATATCACTGTCCTTTAAAGTCTGATCTTATTAATCCGAAAGATACCCCAGAGAATTTAAAGAAAGAGCGACCAGACAATCTCAATATCGGTAGTATAATAACCATATAGAACATACTACAACTCTCTTATTCACTTTCGTCTTAAATTAAGACAAATAAGCTTAATGGAGAGTGGAATAAGATTAAAAGATATAATAGCTTTTGGTAAGTAGTCTTAATCTGCTTTTTAGAATAAATAATCTGAATTGACCTTGCTTTTTTTTAGAATAGTCTCCTTAAGATAAACAGAATAGCAACATCTGTCGTATATCTTACATACCTTTAAAAATCCTCTAAAGTTTCAATATCAGTAATAACTTGCAAAAACCCAAGTATAACAGTCGCGGCATTCTTAAGTCTAATTTCCAAAATCCAAACCATTTTAAACTTCTTCGATCAACTTAAAGTATTATCTCCGTCAGTCGGGTATGAAATAATTATAAATATTTACAAAAACAACAGAAAACTTTAAGATCAACTAAATAATATAAGTAATAAGGTTAAGAAAAGAAAGGCGACTATTAAAAAAATACTTAAAATTAATAAAAAAGCAAAAAGCCAGCACCGAGAGACAATAGCCTAAGTCCAAAAACTTAAAAAAATTATTTAAAAAAAGAAAGTCTGGTTGAAAAGCAGATTTAAGGCCTTCGTAATTAAAATATCCAACTAAAAAAGCTAACAGCTGAAAGTAAGAATCAGGCGGAATATCTAATACAAACAAGGCAGAAATATAACACATTATAAAACACAATCAAAGCCAAAAATATAATTATTACCGGCCTTAAAACAGATAAGATTAATCTAAACAATCACTTAATAAAATTAGAGAAACTCAATTCGGACATTACAGTAGTAAATAAGAGTCTAAAATCTATTTTTAGTAATATCTAAACCAAACTATACCGAATTAAGAGGTTCACTGTTAGTTATTTTAATAGAAAAAAAATATTCTATATATTTTTCTGTATAGGCTTACTTATCTGCTAATTCTTATATAAAATAAACAGTTTCACAGAACTCTAAAAACTCGCTAAAACGAAGTTGAATTCTGTATTTACTATTAACTTACCGCCGGAGAGTTTTTAAGTATATATGTCGTAGCGTTTCTAAACAGCAACTAACTACTCCTTAAAACGTTTCTATATAGTCTAAATTAAGAAAGTCTCACCTTACTCAAACTCACCGAATTTCTTTACCATATTCCAATTCTCAAGCAGCAAAACAGATTCGATCGGCATTAGTTCTCGCCATTCTCGCTAGAGAGATTGACCAGCATGTGTTCCAGCCCGTGTATATCCTGCCTCTGGACCCACGCATACGGCAAACTCTCAAATATCTCGCTAGGACTGACTTTGAGAAAGAATCGTTCTGTCGCTCGCTATTGCAATCTATCAATTCAGATATGCACGATAAGTCGCTTCAGACCATTATCAAAGATGTTGTTAGCAATGTACTGAGTTACATTGATGACATACTCCCTGACACGCAACGCGCTTCACTGTACTCGGAGATCGAAGTAATAGTACGGAAGGCTGCCGAAGTCTGGCAGCTGATCAGACGTTCCAAGCGAATGTATGAGCCCGACTTTGACCCACCCGAGTCCGATGAGGACTGAATCGCTTTCGACGCCCCCGATAAAGAACGATCAGCATCAAGTAGCAAGCACAATCCTCGAGAGCCCGATACCTTGACCGTGTTCCCTCGTCTCTCTTCCATCGAGAATAATAACGTGATCGATTATTCGGTTGTGATCCAGCTGGCCAGCTCTTCACATTTTCTTTCGAAGGCGCGGAGCGAGATAAAGCGAGAACCATCCAGTCCTAGTGTCGTTCGGATGATGGCCAATTCTTGGCGAAACCGTTCTGTAACCTCCAAGGATACAAATGTCCGCCAGTCTGTGGAGCTTGCGAACGGCCATAGCAAGGTCAATGGCAAATGATGGCTCATTTGACTACCATCTAGGATCCTGCACATTACAACATCCCAAGTTACTGCACTGATTTCGAAGAAAATTGTGTCTTGTCTCATCGCTTCTTGAAGGCGAAATCTTTAGACTTCTTAGCATCAGAGTACTCTGTCTGGATGTATCCGTTACAGCGGCCCGGCCCGGCCTTCCATTCACAGAGGATCCTTTCATACCCAACGATACCGTTATTTTTCAAAACAGAGTAGCCTGATTATGAGTGAAGTGCAGCCGAGCGTGGAGCAGTATTTACCGGTCGGTACATTGAAACAATCGACCAGCTCCTTAATCCTGCATCTCTCCCCACCAGACGATTCCCAGGTCTTTGAAATCTTTAAATCAATCCACTGTCCCCGTCACCGTAACCCCCACGGCGGAATATCACCAACGAAAGAGAATGGTCGAACACGAGTTCGGTGGACCGTAAGAGACTTGCTCCTGCTTTCTTGGGCCTTAACTTCTGCTTACACTTTCATAGTCTGGGTGCCGCAGCCCATACCTTTGGCCTGCCCGTCCTGCTCTACGCGTTCACATCGCTTGCAACGACGTGTCTGGCTGCCCAGTGCCTACTCTTCTGCAACCTCGCGACTTCAACTGGGAACAGCTGAAAGCTGACGCTAATCTACGGGATATCGGTCTGTCGAATTCTCTCTCCTGGAAAGTGACGCTGGTCACTGTCGCCTACTATGTCTTCGGTCTTTTCCTTTGGAAGATTATTCCCGCCAAAAAAGTCCATGGAACCAAATTGGGGCATCATGATCGCCCCCTTCAGTATCGATTCAATGGCATCGACTTCTCCCGGACCTCCAGGATCAACGCAGGCTAACGGACGGCATAGCGTTCTCGGCCAGTATGGTTATTCTCTCTATCTGCGCGGCAGGCCCGTTCCTCCAGGGGGCCGAGTTCCCCGTCTGGAATTTTATCACCGAAAATTACGTGCAGCTTCTGACGGCAAACATCCTCCTTTCATACGCCCTATCTGTCTTTCTCTACGTCAACAGTTTCACCGGCGACACCAAGTATCCCAACCGCGGCGGCACGACAGGCAACCTCATCTACGATTTGTACATCGGCCGGGAGCTCAACCCCCGGGTTACCCTGCCTCTGATTGGCGAGGTCGACATCAAGACGTGGTGTGAAGTTTGCCCCGGTCTGACTGTCTGGATCCTGCTTGACCTGGCATTCATCGCCCAGCAGTACCGCAACTATGGATACAATCTCCGATAGCATCGTGTTCACGACCGCCGTGCAGGCATACTACGTCCTCAGCAGCCAGTACAACGAGTCATCCATCTTGACGATGATGGATATAACAACCGACGGGATGGGCTTCATGCTTGCCTTCGGCGACCTAGTCTGGGTCCCCTTCCTCTACTCGACGCAAGCTCGTTACCTCGCGGCCTTTCCCGTGCATCTCGGCGGGTCACGAATCCTCGCGGTCGCCGCCGTCTTCGTCCTCGGGATTTACATTTTCAAAGCGGCGAATACCCAGAAGCACCTGTTCCGCACCCAGCTCAACCACCCCGCCGTGCGGGATCTATCGTCCATCACCACCAGGCGCGGCGCCCGCCTCCTCACCGCTGGGTGGTGGGGTCTCTCCCGGCATGTCAACTACTTCGGCGACTGGCTGCAGGCTTGGCCCTTTAGCCTGCCCACGGGGGTGGCAGGGTACATGATACTCCCGGCGTGGGCTGCAGCATTGGCCTCATCGGGCCATCTCGCCGAATCGCCGTCACGCACGATGTTGGACGGGCGAGTCGCAATTCAAGGCCCGGCAACCGGGTGGGGGATGATCTTCACTTACTTCTACGTGCTGTACTTTGGCGTCTTGCTCGTCCATCGCGAACGCCGGGATAATGCCATGTGCGCGAAGAAGTATGGCGAGGATTGGAAGACGTACAAGCGGACGGTGCAGTGGAGGATATTGCCCTGGTTATATCAAAAACAGTCTATCGCAGTGGAGTGTGTCCGTTTCAGTAGGTAGTGTCGGCGGCCCTGAGGCCACGCCGTTCGCCGCCACCTCGATGCTGGTTCCGCTAAGATAGCCTCATGTAGTCCGATATGTATTCTAAATAGTCGTCTGCCATCACGTGGATATCGCCAAGTCCGTGAAGACAGACCGAATCAACAGGCACGAGCGAACCCAACCGACTCTATTATATGAAGTATACCTGGCATGCACATGTCACATCATAATTGTCATTGAAACAGACGCGAAACGCTAAGAATTATTCTTCCTGAACCCAAAATCCTGGAAAGACGTCCTGGCCGAGTCATTTTGATCATGGTGTTGACATCATGGGGGTGATATCCGGCGACAGCAATCAACAGCAGTGGAGGTTGATTCGAACAGCGCCAGCTTGGAACGCCCCTGACGGTGAAATAGTGGGTTTCATAGTCACCGGATGGCATGATGCTTTTTCATATCGGAGAGTCGGAGCAATATCACTCTATTACTAGTCATTCACTCGTTAACAGAGATGACTTCAGCATCCGCCGCCTCCGCCGGCATGGTGTCCTCCGCCGGCATGGTGTCCTCCGCCGGCATGGTGTCCTCCGCCGGCATGGTGCACTCCGCCGTGATGGTGCCCTCCACCGGCATGATGCCCTCCACCGGCATGGTGCCCTCCACCGGCATGGTGCCCTCCACCGCTCGGGTCTCCTCCGCTGCTAGGGTCTCCACCAAAGGCGGCAAGGTCTGCTAGTATCAAGCGCGATGACGAATTTATTGTGGCTTCAATTGTCCTATCGAGTATGGCGACAAACTCCTCGAGCCTCCGTCGCTCAGCCGGGGTCAAATGCTCCTTCTGCGTCTCTGATCGTTTGACCCATGTCGCGGCCGCGATTACCTGCTCGTTGAGTTCTGGCCATGCCAGGTAGCGGTACGGGGTTGCAGTGTTAGTTCGAAACCAATTCCAATCCGGTGCCCTCGTGGTCACGATCGCGTCCGCCAGTTGCTGCAGATAGTCATGGCAATTGTTGAACAGAAGGGTATACGTGCCAAAGTTGGCCCAGACCTGCCGACTCCTCTCGTCCACTTCCTCTTTGGAGAGCGTGGTCCAGCCGATCATGCTGTAGAAGTGGTCGCCGACCTCGGGGGAGTAAGCTGTCCTGACCGATTCTCTATACGTGTTGAAGTCAAAGCGGTGTAGTTTGATTCTTGCCTCATAACGTGGTTGTTTCCGCAAGGAATCCTCGTTGTTTTCGTGTAGTTCATACTTGTGGTCGTGGACATATAAGACCCAGTGCCGGAATCGACCGTTGTCGATGAAGTGTGACAGGAAGATTGGCTCCCCGGACTCGGTGCTGGTTTCTATCTCCAGCCGTGCGTCGACAATCTTGTCTAGCGCCTCGCGATACAATCGCTTGAGATCTTCGAGATGACTAGTCCTCTGGAGTCGTCTGCTTAGGACAGCTCTGAGGACGAGTGCTGCTACACATACACTACCAAGTATGATACACGGCACTATCAAAGCAAGTTCTTCTGAGGCCATGACTGATAGACTGACCCAGAATATTGTTCTGTGACGGTGACTCGGGTTGAAGGGCTTCGGAGCACCACGAGCGCAGTGTGTATATGCTTCGAGATACTGTAAGGTTATATTATGCCTGATTCTGGCAGAATGTAGAAGATGGGGGGGGGGGGGGACACGGCCATAAGAAAGAGATATGCAGCGTCATTGCTTAGGGGTCAAGGAACGAGACTGATGGGGGGAGTTGTTTGTGGTGGCTGTGACCCTTGAGTGGCTGTTACCTGTGACATAATGCTGTGTGGCACATGACTCACTCACTTTTGTCGTCTCGAATCCCAAGTTTCATGCAGCTCTTTCTCAGCTGAGTGAGTACGGAGTAAACCTATGCCTATTATAGTAATACCAGCTCAGAGCCCAGCCCACAGGTGAGTGAGTTGGCATTGTCATTGTGGCTAAGTTCCCGTGCCAAGGGGCTCAGCTGCCGGGTCTATAGTGTCTATAGTAGGTATAGTACGGCGAGTCCCGGGCCCTCCCGGGCCCTCCCGAGTCCGGCGCTTTCCGGCACTAGGAAACAAAACTGTGGGTTTCCCCCCACTTAACTGAGACTGTACTGTACCTGAATCTGAGCCGGACACGTCTTCATCAGCTCCTTCAGCTGCGTTCCTGATGCAACGAAGCTCGAGACCTAAGCACCCTACCACCCCTACCTTGCAGATAGGCCGGAAAATTTGTCTCACTGCTAGCATTTTAGTCAAAAGAAGGGTTTCGCGCATCATATCCAATTTCTACTGAGTACCACGGCTCTGAGAACCGAATTGAGGGAGCCAGAATCCGCATCCCCCCACCCCCGGCCCCCCTTCCTCGGCCTCGGGTTTGATGGTAATCAATCCTCACTTGAAGCCCAAAACATGCTGTTGGTACTTTCTACTTCTGATTGTATTCATCCTAGCCTGTTCTTTACTAATGACAATAGGCTCCCTCCCCCCTTCTCGATCCGGCTCCTCGAGCACTCGAACCTGCCTAGCACCGACTCGTTACGAAGCAACCACCCCGACCAGCTCCTCTACCTCTTGCCTGCATCGTACCGCAAAGCCTCTGGGGACGTGGTCGCTGCGGCTCGTAATGTTACCGCCTGTATCGAGAAGGAGCTCAATCTGGATCGGCTCACCATCATCCACCGTTGGCTCTGGGTCGCCGGGCGGCCCTTGCCACCACGCGCTCTACACCATCAGCTTTTACTTAATCGAGGGATCCTTATCACGGAGCAGATGGACATGCATCTCGTCTGGACCGCGGGCCGGATCTTCCTGAAACCGATCCCACGCTTCCTCTTAGAGCCAAATTTCTGGGCTGAGTACCTCAGCTGCGAACGCGACTGCGAATGCTCTTCCGACGAGACAACCCAAGGATTCCACGCAGTCACTCTTCGCAACGAATGCAAGCGTCGCGGACTCCGCCGGCGAGCGCTCGGGTTTTTGTTCTCCTACACCGCGCTGCTCACCCACGAGAGTGATTTCCGCATCGCGCAGGACAAGCATCTCCTCCCGGAGGAGGTTACATGGCGCGCGTGGCGCGTGCTGATCGAACAGCTGGACCCCGAGCACATCTACCCGCACATCGACCGCCGCTTCGTCCATGGCGAGCTGCGCCTGAGCCGTTTAAATAAGATCTATGCTCTCTACCAGACCCCGCTGCGCGGGTACCTGGCGCGGTGGGACCGGTATGGCGCCTTCCTGCGCGAGAATTTTGCCGGGCTCGCGAGTCTCACCGTATACATCGCCATTGTCCTGACGGCGATGCAGGTAGGGCTCGCGACCGAGGCACTGGAGCGTAGTCCGGCCTTCCAGTCGGCCTCCTACGGCTTCACGGTGTTTTCCATCCTGGGGCCCCTCGTCGCCACCTTCCTCATTCTCCTGCTATTCTGCGGGGCCTTTATCTACAACTGGGCCGAGGCCTACAAGTGGAAGCAGGCGCGGTATGCTGAGCTGCGCCTTTCTTAACCATGTGATCATGTAGCAATTCTTCTGCAGTTGCAGCACTTCCACGGGGACGCGGTGCTGGAACTGTCTGTCTGATTTTTCCATTCAAATCTATAAATACAGAACATGTCTGTCGCTTGATTCAAAGATTTGCTGTTGATCCAATTTGGACGACCCACCTAGGGCTACGGGGATAGATTAGCCCTAGGCCGTGAACGCTAGGCTCGCAGCATCCAGCGCCCGGGGCACGCGCTGAAGGATTTCCTCTAGTTGTTCCACGCCCACGGCGCACCGGACGAGGGTCTCATTTGCGCTTGTGTCGTTCTGCTGCTGCTGCTGCTGCTGCTTCTGACTGACCTGCCCCGTCATCTGCATGTAGGGCGCGGCAATGCAGACATCCGCCCCGAACGAGAGCTCCTTATAGACGTCTAAGTAGTCAAAGAACGCCGCGGCACCGCCGACGTCGGCAAAACTCATCGAAGTCGCCCCCGCACCCGGGGCAAGGCCCGTTGTTCGTTCCGGGATGGGGAGAAGGGATCTGCCGCTCGTAGTACGGCCGGGAGGCACACAGGGACGGGTAGAGGACGCGGGTCAGCGGGCTCGTGGGATCCGCGACGCGGGCGACCAGCTGGCTGACGAGGTACTCAGTGGTGACATTGATGCGCGCCATCCGTGTCGAGAAGTCCCGGCTGTTACGTTCCAACCCGATGGCGTCGTCGACGAAAAGGCTGTTCTCGTGCGTGGTGGCCATCTATCTTTGCAGTGTGGCGTAGTGCCGCGAATTGGGATTCAGAATCGCGCTGGCAATACACCTCCCTCCCCCCGGGAAGGGGAAAGAGGCACCCATGCGTTAGTTTCCCTTTTTTGTTTGTGTCTCGCACCTCTCCTTTTCCTTTTCTTTTTTTTTCTTGGTGTGCGTGTAAACAGAGACAAAATCCGCTTTTGCGATTTACCTACCTGCCGGCCATTACGTCGGCATACCCGCTGAAGTATTTGGACAACGAGAAGACGACGATGTCCGCCACCCCCATCAGATCGACGTTGGCAAAGCTGGCGACGCTGTCGTCTACGATGACAAGGACGTCGTGCTGGTCGGCTAGGGCGCGTAGCTGTTGCAGTTCGACCGTCTGCAGGACTGGGTTGCTGAGACATTCGCACCAGATGGCTTGCAGCCAGCTCGCATCTTCGCATCCCAGCCGCTCCAGCCGGGAGGCCAGATCATCCAGGTCGGCCTCCGTCCCGAGACGGTACGACCATACTTCTGGCCCTTAGGTCTGCAAGATCTTCAGGGTGGGCCCGTACGGCAGGCCCGCCTGGACGGTCAACCCGGTCTTCCAGACTGAAATGGACTGGTGGACGTGGTAGATGGCCGCCATTTCCGACCCATAGAGGAAGACGTCGGAGGCTGCGGCCTGTGTCGCCATCTGGGGGTCGGCCGCTGGGCTCTGCGCGTACCTTGAAATTCGATCACGGAGCTCCTCGTATACGGGGTGCGAGTCGGGGAGGCTGCTGCTCCCGATCGTGGCGGTGGCAATAAAGCAGCAGGCAAGGCGTCTACTCGAGGCCTGCACCCGTGCTGCTGCAAACTTGGAGCATTGCTGTGCCAGCCGCGCCGAGATCCCCGGGCACATCCGTTGCTCGGTCAGAATTTAGACTCAAAGTATCACTGTAGCCCTTGCTGCTGCTTGCCCCGTCTTTCGGGTGAAGGCCGCCAGTGTGGCCGAAATAAAGAACCCCCGTGTAAGACTTCGCTACCCACACTCGACCCTACTAGCGCCCTATACCTGGTTTTCACCTCTGGAAGCACCGGTCTTCCCAAAGGGAGTAGCTATCAGCCATTCGAATCTCAGCACCGCCATCGCTCAGCAGTGCCAGATAGGCGACTAGAATGGGTTTGTTGCTTCCTTGAGGTTTGAGGAACGCTGCTACCACCGGGACTGCGGCGACTGCTGTCGCTGCTGCGGCCGCACCGTTCAGCAGGACCTGCTCGATATGTTTCTCGATCTCTTCCAACTCCACCCGCTGACCATGAATCTTGATCTGATTATCCTTTCTCCCAACATAGAGAATGGACCCTTCCGAGGCATACCGGACCAAGTCCCCGGTTCGATAAGGTCGGCCCTGTCGACCGGGGCCATTCCCACGGGGCCCTCCTGCTCCCAGGACCAACCATGGAGGGTTTTCACGAATGTCGCTGTGGTTCGCTCCGGGTCCTGAGGATAGCCCAGTCCCACGAGTAGACCTTCTAGCCAGAACTCCCTCGTACAGCTCACGGGGACCAATTAACCTGGACGAACAGGATCCACAATCCACGTGGTGCAACCTCCGCCGCCTCCAGTTGCGATGGCGGATGGCGGCATTGAGATGCCCGAGTTGAGATGCGCAAGCATCGACCAGATAACGACTTGCGACGGGCGCTAACCGTTGATCAGATGAAGGACATGGGGGCCCCACTGTTCCATGTCCGTGCGTGAGATGGCCTCTCCACTCGAGACGAGGATTCGGAGGCGTGGCAGACGGGAAGGGTCCCTCAGCCGGGCGACTGGCGGGGTCAGATGCAAATAATTCACCTCCATCCGGCGGATGGCTCCACTGATATCCCCACGGCGCTCTGACTCCTCGGGCACGCAGACGCAGCCACCGGCTGCAACCGTGTCGAGCATCGTGCCCCAACAGAAATCGAACGCGTACGAGGCAAAGTCCAGGAACCGCGAGGAGGCGGACAGTCGCAAGACGGGTCTTTGGGCAGTGGCAATCAGGCAAGGCGTTTTTTGACAGCTACATCGGGCTCATCAACCAGAACCTGGAGAAGCACCTACCAGTCTACATCCGGCCCAGCATCTACATCCCCGTGGCTGACATCCCCACGATGACGAATGGAAAGGCTGACTGCAGAAAACTCGAAGCGCTTGGGTCTAGTCGCACCGTGGCTGAATGGGCTCGCCTCCAGCCCGCCAAGGACAAAAGGTGGGCAGCAGCCTCATCCCCTGAGGAGCTCGCGCTGCAGAGGCTGTTCGCCGAAGTGCTGGATTTTGACTGTAATCTCGTTGATACGAACGACAGCTTCTTCTCCCTCGGCGGCGATTCCATTGCAGCGATGCGCTTAAGTCAGCATGCGCGCGAGACCGGTCTGGCCGTGACCGTGGCCGACATCTTCCGCAATCCCGGTCTCTGTGACCTGACTATATTCATTCGTGACAATCCGACCACGACGACGATGCCGACGACAACTTACCACGACCCGCATCCTTTCTCCCTTCTATCCTCGCGTGGAGCTAGGAGTAGCCCTCGCCTACCCAACGATCTAGCCGCGGGCATCAGTCCGCTCCTGGAATGACCCCAGCGCCATATTGCGGGCGTCTATCCCACCACGGACCTCCAGAACCACCACGTGTCTACTGCAGTGAAAGAGCATCTCCGGGAGGTCGAGTACATCTACGTGAACCTGCCTCGCCGGGTGGACATTCCCCGCGTGCATCGCAGCTGCCTGGACCTGTGGTGCCATCTTAACATCCCTTTGCACCGTGTTCATTGTGGATCATTGGGGCCGTCAATTGCAAGCCGTGCTCGACGACAATGTGAAGCCTGAAGCTGATGTGCAGTCCACCGAAGGGGATCTGGCCACCGCATGCAAACAGGCCTACAGCGATGATCGTCTCCATCGGCCATTCAGCCTGGGCCGCTCCTTCAGGCGGCTCTTCATCATATCGTCCACCCGCCGACGGCCACGCACGACTCACCACACGACTGTCTCACGCCCAGTACGACGGTGTCAGTCTACCCATCATCTTCTCTCTCTTCACGACCTTCTACCGGGGCGGGCCCTCACCCCCACCCGCGGCCTGAAGTTCGCCGGCTATATCCGCCACATGCAGCAGCGGCGAGCAGCCGCGGAGCCCTACTGGCGCACACTCTTGCAGGGTTCCTCTATCACCCCGACCCGACACCTGTCCGGGCTCGATGGATCCTTCTGTAGACCCAGCCAGCATTACGGCCGACTGGTTGCAGTCCAAGACCGCCGTGCCGGCCCCGCCCGCGCTGCCGGGATCCACGCCGGCAACAGTCTTCACCACGCTCTGCGCGCGCACGCTGGCCCAGCTGGCGGGCGTCCACGACATAGTCCTCAGCACCGTGGGCTCGGGCCGGTCCTCGTTACCCAGCGAGCTGCAGCATGTGGCCGGGCCCTGCGTGAACACCATACCCGTCCGTCTGCGCATCAAACCCGAGCAGTCCCTGGCCCAGCAGCTGGCCGCGGTCCACACCCAACACATCCAGGACTTGCCATTCGAGACCAGCCAGCTCAGCGACATCGCCGCGCACAGCACCGACTGGCCCGTCGACGCGCGGGATCCCAGCTTGGTCATCCAGTTCCAGAACCTCGACACCCTGGAGCAGGAGCATGACTTCGGCACGGAATCCCCCGGGACGACTAGCAGTGCCCTGGCCGCGTACCAGCAGGCGGATCGCCCCGTGGACGGCGAGTTTCTTTTCATCCTGGCCAAGCCCGTGCGCGGGGCGTGGGAGCTGGCCGACACCGCCAGCTCCAAGGTCCATACCCAGGAGACTCTGGATGCGGTGCTCGAGGCGTTGTGTCGACAGGTGGAGATGACGGCGCGGGTGGGTTGATCTGCTGGCGGGTCATGACCTTGCTGTCTATTCTTTCTTTCTTTCATTTTCGTATGTTTGTTTTCCTGGATTTTTGGTTTAATATTTCCTGGTTATGATTTTTGTATTTCCTTTCTGTTTTGAGGTGCACTGCTTTAGTGAAGACAGAATTTCAGCATTCAAGGAAGGCTAGGCCCGGAAGCCAACACTGGATGAGCCCTAGGTTAGAGAATCAGGTGGATTTGTACTTGATTGCCCCCCCCCCCCACCCTCCACCCTCCTATTCCATGTAAAAGTCCGTCAGCAATCGATATCTCGATTGAAATAAATATATGGAGATATGAAAAGTCTCCACACAAGCAAAAACATACAACAGAAGGGATTCGCTGGTGGTCACCCACCCAACTACTAACCTCCCGGCGTGTGGCTTGAGTACGGCTGAGCGGACGGGAAGCCCTATTTTCCACACCCTGTGGTCGTATGTATCTGTTCTTCAAGCAGTTTGGGTCATGTGTGATAGTGTGATCAGGCGCTTTTTGACGGAAACAATCTGATCATTCGATTTTGAGTCTGCTTTCATGATTGGTCGGGTTCTTGTGGGTGTACAATAGTTCCAGCCTTGAAAATCATGAGTTAGAGGGCTTCGGAGCATCTTATCGGTGGGATGGTACGGGGCAGCCAGCCATGATAGTCTCTTGTCTGTGGGTCTGCTGGATTGGAGAATCAGAGCATGACGAAGTTGGGTACTGTAAAAGAGTCGAGTAGCTTTGGGACGTGGTATGATTGGTAGTCAAGCTGTGAGAGTGTGACAGCTTAAGCCGCTTGGTGGACTACCAGTGCCAGGGCACCCAGCCCCCGGTCGACGAGCAAGACCGCACCCTCCGCCGGCAGCGCTTCACGCTCAACGACTGTAACGGCTTGACCCAGATCCAGACCACGTTCGCGGTTCCTGACCGCGGTGTATGACAGCCAGAACCAGCTCCTCTGCGAGTACGGGTACGATGCCACGGACCGGCTGGGAGGCAGTCGATCCCCAACGAACTGGACACCGAGTTCTCCTACCGCGGGGACTCGTTGATCGCCGTGGAGATTTCTGTTTGCAGCCGGTTCCCCTCTGGCAGTCTTGAAGACAGAGGAAGAAATCAAGACACGTACAAGAAGCTTAACGGGTAAGTAAAGAAAGCCTCAGGGCTTGCTCCGCCCGATCCCACGGATGTTGATACTTGGATGGCACAGAGACGGGCTAATTGACGCCCTGAAGGAGTCAGTTGCATGATCCCAAGCCGACGACTTTCCGCATCGAGGCATTTTCTCGATCTTCCAAGTTGTCCCGGCGACTCGGAAATGCACCGAGTCCCGAGTCTACAGTATGCGGGGTAGTTCTATCTTCCCCACATCTCCAACAATTCAGCATCTCTACACTGCCAACTTGCCATCAATCCACCTCGCCTTCGGCTAAATTCAGTCGGATAATTCGTAATTCATGTTCCTGGCAGGTTGGTCCAGTGGATTTATGAAGGGCCAACCTGCCAGAAACTCATCCTCTACTTGCATTGCTCATCTCCCCCTCTGTCAAGATGCTTCTTCAAGTGGTGGCCGTTGTGGCTCTGACAGTGGCAGATCTTGCCCATGCCACAGCAGAGTCATCAGAGCAAAAGTCATCGTCTGCACCCTCCCTCACTCGGTGGACCGAGGGGCCTCACCTGGCCGTCGACTACTACCCTTCACAATGGCCCGAATACCTGTGGGAACACGACATTGCCCGAATGTCCGCTGCCAACATCTCATATGTGCGGATCAACGAGTTCGACTGGGCCATTCTCGAACCGGCGGAGGGGCAGTACAATTTCACTCTTCTGGACCAGACGCTGGATCTGCTGCAACGGTATCACCTCCAAGCGATCATCGGGACGCCCACGGCAGCACCACCAGACTGGCTCTACCAGAAGTATGACATCAATTTTGTCGACTATACCAATGCGACCAAGCTGTTCGGCTCGCGCCGGTACTACAGCTCGTCCTCGCCGGACTACCGTCGAATGAGCCAGCAGATCACGCGGAAACTGGCCGAGCGGTATGGCAACCATTCCGCGGTGGCGGGCTGGCAATTGGACAACGAGTTCGGATGCCATGATACCGTGCAGAGTTACGATCAGAACGCCATCCAGCGGTTCCGGACATGGTTGAAGGACAAATACAACACGATCGACCACCTCAATGCCGCCCAGGGCCGTGTGTTCTGGTCGAACCAGTACACGAACTTCGACGCGATCCACCCCCCGTTCATGGAGGTCTACACGCCCCCGCCGAGCCACCTCCTGGACTGGTACCGCTTCAGCTCGGACATGATGATCGAGTTCGCGCGGGAGCAAGCGACGATCCTGCGCCAGTACGCCCCCACCCAGTTCATCACGACCAACATGATGATGGGCTTTCTCGAGTTCGACCACTTCAAGTTCGCGCGGGAGGTGGGCCTCGACCTGGCCACCTTCGACGAATACCCCTTGTCCGGGCCGAGCACCTTCTCGTGGCTCTCCGCCACCGAGCAGGCAAACTATCTGTACACGGGTCTCCCCGACTGGCAGGCGCTGCACCACGCCCTCTACCGCGGCGTGGCGGGGGCAGCCTACAACACGACCGCCGGCCCGTTCGGCATCATGGAGATGGAGCCCGGCGTCCTGAACTGGAGTCCCTACCGGGTATCTCCCTATCCGGGGATGGTGCGCCTCTGGACGCACGAGACCTTCGCCGATTTCGGGGACATGGTATCGTATTTCCGGTGGCGGCAGGTACCCTTTGGCGCCGAGCAGACGCTCTCGGGCCTCTTCACGTCGGACAACACCGCCGACGAAGGCTTCGACGAGATGCAGACATTCGCCCACGAAGATCTCCCCATCCTGATAAACGCACTCAAGACCAACAACCACACCCAAAAACAGCAGCAGCAGCAGCAGCAAGCAGACGTAGCCCTCATCTTCGACTACACGGCCCACCAAATCTGGAGCATCTCGCCCTACAGCGGCACCTGGGACCCGTCAACAACGAGCTACACCGACCCAGCAGTGAGCTATCTGGATCTAGTCTACAAATTCTACTCCGCGCTGCGCCGCCTCGGCCTGTCCGTCGACATCCTCCCAGCAGACCAGCCCCCGCCCCTCGAGGCTTACAAGCTCCTCGTCATCCCAAGCCTCCCCATCATCCCGAAGACCCTCGACGCCTCCCTCGCAAACCACACCGGCCCCATCATCCTAGGCCCGCACACGGGCTCCCTGACCGAAACCTTCAGCTACCAGCCCGGCCTAACGCCCCCGCGGGGCCCGATCCACGCCCGCCTGCCCATGAAAGTCACGCGCATCGAGACACCGCCCGACTACGCAGACCAAAGCGTCGCGTACGCCGGCCAGAGCTTCAATATCTCCGGGTGGGCGGAGTGGGTGGTCTGCGCGCGGGACGGCCGCGCCAGCGCCGAGACGCTTCGGTATACAGGCCCGCGCCACCGGCAGGGCAAGCCGGCGGGCTGCGCCGGTGACGGCGTGCATTATCTTGGTGTTAATCCCACTGTCGAGCTGCTTGTGGCGTACCTGGGGGATGTTGCGCGCGAGGCGAATCTGACGGATGTTCTGGGACGGCCGGTTCGTGCGGGGGGGGATCTTGGACCGGACCTCAGGTTTGCGAGGCGCGAGGCGTTGCTCTGGGGGTTTAATTATGGGTTGGAGGCGGTGAGGGTGCCTGATATTGAGGGGGCGAGGCTCGTAATCGGTGGTCGGAATGGGTCGGAGATCCCTTCGGCCGGGGTGGTGGTTTGGAGGCTGGGGGGGGTGACGATGAGAGAGGAGGACGCTTGAGGAGGGGCGGGCTTGCGAGATGGGTTGAGTTGTCTTTCGACCAAGTGATTGTGCTCTCCAGTACACCGGAGACGGTGGAGGGGCGTCTTGCGAGCGTTGCTGGCAACTTGCGGACTCAGAGCGTGGTTACTACTAGCCTTTTCCCTGAAGTGTCGCAGCTAGGCAGGTAGAGAGAGGGATATTGATTATCGGCGCTGAAGAATGATCATCACTGGGAAATTCATGACAAAAGAGCTAATTGTTAGGTTGGTAGATATCCTGTAGTTAGGTATTCGAATATGAAAATGGTTCAAGTTTAATTATCAATCTGATAAAAGTTATGAAATTTAATATGGCTGTCTGCTGCTGTGACAATCTATACATAACTGAGAATTCTTGAAGACTGTCCACGACTATTAGGCAGGAGCCCTAATCCAGAGAATAATTCCTTATCACCAAGGCCACTGTACTTGAGTGTCTTTCATTGTGTTCTTATCACAAGGGCCACACTAATTGGCCCAGCTTCTTTCGAGCTCTTTCCCCCAGGCTCCCCAAAACAAAACGCCCATATCATGCTGATGCTTTCCCTATCGTGTGTACATAACCATAAGCATTCCCGAAAGCGCCATATTCATGCAGAAAACAAAAGCCTCCTCCCAAGATTCCCCTCCATGATCCAGTGTAGATGCAAACATTGGTCTTTCCAGATAAAACCGATTTCTATCAGTGGGACAGAAAAGAAAAAAGGAAACAAAAAAAAAAAAACGCCACAGTGTCATGCTATGTCGTAACGGAAGGGTCGAAGACAGGGAGAAAGTAAAATCTGTACAGTAATACAAAGGGGACGGTAAATGAAGTGAAGGTCAGGTCTTCTCGTATGCATCGTATCAGTATCAAGGTCGTAAAGCTGCATTCAAACGGTGAAAGACTTTTGCTCGCTTCATGGGAAGTTGAAGCTGGAGGAGTGAAACATGGGCTGTCCAATGGGTCCAGAGGGCCAGGCTTCGTGGTGGAGGTATGGCAGCACGCCGGTCTTGCGTTCGGCTACCGTCTTTCCCAGCGGCTGGTAGTGCATGTGGTCAAAGGGGACGCTTCGCTGCTGCTGCAGGGAGGCGGAAGGAGGGGGGATCAGAAGGGTGTTGACACTCCGAACGGGTCGATACGGCGAGTTGCGATTGGCGAGGAAGAAGGACGGCGACAGGTGAGATTGAGGGGTGACGGAGTAGGCGGAGACGGCGGGGGAGATGCCAGCCGAGGAGATGGCAAACGGACTGTTGTGGTGTCTGCTGGGGTCCGGGAGGGAGGTGTAAAGCCCGTTGCCAAGTGGAGGAACGGTAGGGACAGCGACAGCGGGGGCCACGGTCGTGGTGGTCGGCATCTGCGGTGGAATCCAAGTGTTGGTAGGAGCGTATACAGGCGGCATCACCCGGCCAGTGGAAGGCAACTGGGGAACTGTGGAGACGGCAGGGGGCATGGTCGGAGCCAGGCTGAGAGAGGGGAAGTTCGGTCGTGGAAGGCGAGAGACGGAGTCAGGCATAGCAGGGACGAGAGGAGGCACCGATGTCGAAGGTGCTGTGCATGTGGATGTGGATATGGATGGCATGACGGGCGGCAAGGCGGGGATGTTGGTCAAGGCGGAGGATACCGGCAGATTCGGCACCATCGCGGCAGTATTTCTCTTGGACGGCAACGGCAATTCCTCCACCGCCTCGTCGCGGCTCCGCTTGCGTGGGTTCGGGTTGCTGCTGCTGCTGCTGCTCGGCAGGGGCATGTCACTGGGTGGCAATTGACACGCCCCTCCGGCATAGGGCATACCGTTCAACGGCAGCGGCCAGTGGTGCGAGCGCAGAGCATCAGTCGCAGGCGGCGACGGCAACTTCGAAGGCGAGCACAGAGCAGCCCGGGAGATGGGAGCCAGATCGGAAGAAACCCGCAGTGCAGGAGGCACAACCGCTCTGTCGCTCTTCTCCGCCACTCGAGGAGCGTTGTTGAAGTAATCCGCGAAAAGGCCCAGCTTGACATGCCATTGGCGCCATTCCTCCTTCGACACGTACAGGTTGTAGCGAATGTTGCTCAGAAACTCGACTTCCATAATGTGGATCTCCTGCACCGTGATGCCCGACACCTCGGCCCACGTCTTGTTGGTGTAGGTGTTGTCATCGAGAACTGTGGAGAAGTATGTCAGCCTCATCTCATCTAGATTCCATGCACAGAATCCACCTGCGAGAAACCCTACATTTGTTTCCCAGCATGAGTGCAATCGTCATCAACCTGTACTCGCTGCCCTTCTTCCCCCGTACTCCAGGATTGAACTTCTTCAGGCGGTAAACGAACATGAGAGCGAGCAACACCACATTCTGGCTGACCTGGGTCGTGGAGAGGATGTTGGTCACCCATTTCTGAAAGCCAGCCGTGGGCATGGTCTCGGGGGCGAGAGAGCCGGCCGAAGGCGAACGCTCCTCCACGGCCTTCAACTTGGCCGCACTTTCGAACCAGAAGAGACATGTCATCTACATACATCCGTAAATTAGCCCCCTCGGCCGAAAAAAGCAAATGTCTGTGAGACTACTCACCTGCGCAGCAAACTCGGCCAGACTCCCCTTGCTGTTGTTGATCGTCGATGGGATCTGCAGATACGAGGCCGTAGAATTGGTACTGCTTTTCTTCCGACTGTCCTGCTCGCGGGTGTTATTCTCCTTGACCGGAGGCTGGTAGTGTGGCTTTGACATGGGGACCATGGCCGTCGCTCCATCGAAGTTCATGCGCGGATAGTCGGAGACCTTGGCGTACGGCGGCAATGTGATTCCATCGAGCTTCGATCCATAGCCGGACGAGGGGATGACGTTGTAGGTCGCAACTCCGTTCATTTCGCTCGGAGGCGTTGGGAGACCGTCCCGGAAGGGAGCAGTCCAATTGTCCGAGATATCGGGGATCGACTCGAAGGGTCGCTTTCTCGCACTGGCTGGCCGTGTGTAGGGGCCGATGGTGGGTGTGACTGGGTGAAGTGTGGGGAGTTGAGGTTGCGGTGGAAGTACCGGGAGAGACATATGGGCAGGACGTCCGAGGTTCAATTAACACTTGCGAAGAAGGTCTGGAGGTGAAGAGCCAGAACAGCGAGATATCTGTAACACCGTGCTCACCAAACTCTCATCGGGATTGTCTTTGACTAGGTCGGGTTAGGTACGGGGTGGTATTTGTTGTTCAATCCCGGTAGCCCTTCAAGTCCGGTGCGTGGGAGAGGTATGCAATGGCTTGCGACCACAGCTGCTGATGTTGATCTGTATCCTTGAAGTTGAACAGGAAAGTCGCCGGGGGGTCTGGTTGGCTCGAGAACCGCGAATATCAAAGGCCGCACGGGGGAAACGGTAGGATAGCAACAGCAGCGGATCTGTTGAATGTTGCCCGCCTCGATGGAATGAAGGCACTGAAGGGGGTGGAAGTATTGGAAAGCCAGAATCAAGGATGGACAAATATCACATAGTATATTAGTGGTAGTATGTATGTATGATGGCAAGGCAGTGGTAGTAGTAGTAGCAACAAAGTGGATTAACACAGTAGAACTGAAGTGGCAGTGACCAGAATGATATGGAAGGAGAGGTTCAGGTAATAGATCCTGCACGCTCAACCCAGTTGTAGAACCGAACTATATCCAAGAAACTTGAAGACGCGGCAATGAGATGATGATAAAGGAAAGTCAAAGCAGATAATCTTATTAAAAGAAAAAGTGGTTGAAATCTCGAATGGATTGGATTGAACCCATATAGGAGATTGTAATAAATTGGATAAGGCAGTATGGATCTAGAAAGCGAAAAGGGAAATAAAACTAAATACTCAAAAAAAATAAAAATAAAAATAAAATAGATTGAGAAATTAATGAAAAGGTAAAAGAAGGGAAAAACTAATAATGAAGGATGAGGTCAAGACATCATCCTCCATCCAGCAAGCAGCAGAATAACTAATCAACTCAACCTCATAACAACGCCGCTAGAGGAGCCAGGGTAGGTTTAGTTTCTTCGTCCGGAGAAAGTGCTGTGTCCATACAGGAGAGAGACAAAGTTTGACCCGGACGCAGGTCCAGAGGGTTGATCCTCCCTTCTGGCCTCATTTGGGTCGGGTCCCGTTTGGTTGACCAGGTTTGATTGTCTCTGCTTTGTCTTGAAGAGAATGAAAATACCGGTTGATGTCAGAGCCACGGGGGGGGGAGGGGGGAGGGGGGTGGGAGGGGGATAGAAGGTGGAGGTGGGAAAGAAAGTGGAAGAGAGGGAGCGAGGGAGCGAGGAGGAGGGGGGACAAAGTGGATGCATGCTACTACTACTACTACTACTACTACTACTACTACTACTACTACTACTACTACTACTACTACTACTACTACTACTACTACTACTACTACTACTACTACTACTACTACTACTACTACTACTACTACTAC